AGATGGATCCCCCGCCCCCTGTTGATATTCCCGCTTGTGTCTTGGCTGACAATCTGGACGGTTGGCCATTCGCTCCATAGCTCCCGAGTGAGGGTGTGTGCGATGTGCCGAGCCCATGTGCTTAAAATAGTCGCCGCACGTGTCTGCAAAAGCTCAAGTCACTATATTCAGCAGCAGTTCCCTGTGGAGCACAGTGTTGAGATCTTTCTTCTCGAGATGTTTTAATGTTACAGCAGCTATATCGCTCGTGACGATTATTGTTATTAGTCCGCCGTACCCTGTTAGACACGAATGGGTTTTAAATTGTGTGTGTGTGTCCAAAGTTCAGTTGACTTGTTTAGTATTCCACAATGAATACTCATAATGTTGTCATAAGATCATTTATTGTTTTCAATAAAATTGCTGACATGTGAACACTGCAACATTAGATGTAATTTTAACAGCGGGCTGCAGGAAGCATATGATCCAGTGGCCAATCTTGTTGGTCGGCCAACAAAATCAATTTTCTTGATTTATTCTATAAATCAACAACAAGTTGCATTTATACAGCGCCTTTCACATCGGGAGGCCATCCCAAGGCCCTGGGACAGTGTAGGGTTTGCACCCGAGCTGGGAGTTGGAATCAAGAGGGGTGGAGGGCAAGGTGCCGGTAGGAGAATGACTGAAGGCATGGTCAACAAGGAATGTCTTGAAATGGACCTTGAAGGAGGTAAGGGAGAGGGTGAGGCGGGGGAGTTCGGGTGGCGTTCCGGAGGGTGGGAGCAGAAAGGCTGAAGGCCTGATCGCCCATGGTGGAGTTGCCAGGGCGAGGGACATGGAGCATGCCAGTGCCTTCCGAGCAGAGAGGCGGAATATCAAGAATTATTCAATCAAGAAAAACCTGGAAAACGCACTAATGATCAAATATGGACTTAATTGGACAGTGGAACCACCTATTCAATCTTTTATAGAATAGTAAAACTAACAGGCCGGGACCATCACATTTAATATGACTCAGTTAAAAAGTGACAGCTCAAATTCTCTGTGAAGATGTGACCTTTGATATAATGAGGTCTTTATGTTGTATATTTTAATAGGATCTTGTCAGCCTAAGTAGATTGCTTTGGCATAGTAACATAATTAGGTCATCTTCAATGGAAATGTGATGTCAAATTAAGGAATGTAAAAGTAAAGAATAGGCATCTTCACTCTAAAGGGCCCAACATTTCAACTGATCTCAGCCACTAAGTCCATTTTACCTTAATACTTAAGAAAGTGCGGAATTGTGAAAACATTTTAAATTCGTTCTTAGTTTCACTGCTAATTTCCACAGTTCATAAAAATTATTCGAATTGAGACTGAATTCAAGAATCTTCCACAATTCTGCACCATCAACTGCAGAAAACAAGAGATTTTGCTGTTTGATGGGTCACAATAATCCTGACTCTTCACATCAGTTCATGACCACAGCAGGTCCAATACTGAGCCAATGATGTAATAATGGGCCCTTCCCCATTGCTTACATAAGGCCACATTCCCTCAGAATTTTATTTTAAAATTAAATCTAGCTTTATCTCTTCCATTTTTAAAAACTTTTTGTGAAGTTGGTTGCAGAATCTTTGGAGCAGGCCTCATTCCTAACTCTCAGTGGTATATTTGGTTTAAGTATATTAGTGTATTTTAACCTTACTCTTAAACCTGAGCTTTACAATGAGGTACCCCCTATGAGTGAGAATGATCACTTTTGGGAGTGATCTGCTGAATGAAGACTGTCGGTTCCTGCTGCAGCTTGCAGATGGCAGCATGTGAGTTCCAGATTTAGCTGAACCTCAATATCAGTATAACGCTGAGCCTTTTATTTGATGCTTCTGAGTGTTTTTTGTTGGTACATGTCGCTGTGATTATGCTGATACCAGAGAGGAGGCTGAGAAATGAAAGTACATACATGGGTGGCTGAAAGGAGCTAAGTGCTCAGTGCTATTTTTATTCACATCAGTGTTGTTCTGCACTCTGGAACAAGATATTTTCTCTTGCTGAGCAATAATACATGTTTTCATGGTCAGTATGCAATCCAGAACCTCTCTTGGTACCTCTTTAACTTGGCTTTGTTGCTCTTAAGATGTGTTATTACGTGTGAAGTTGATACATCTCATCCTAATTGAGCGAATTTCATTATTTAAAAGGCCTTGCAGGTTTTAATTTGAATCTTGATGGTCTTCTATGAGTGAAAGAATCTTCTCATTGTTATCGGGAGCATGAGAGGATATGTAGCTGCCATTGTAATGTCATGAATGAGTGAACTGACCAAATCAAAGAGGACCTGAAATGGGGTTCACTCTGCCAAGCTGGGGAAGAAAGTACTTTATTTTGTATTTAACCTGTCTGAAAGTGACAGAGGCCACCTTTGGGTGGGAGGGAGGGAATTCTGGTCAGTAAAATGACTAACCTTGTCTGCTTATGCTTAATAGCAAAAAATTCCCATTAGAGATACACAAAGCCAAAGTCAGTAACTTTACTGATGAGCAAAAATGTTCTTCTATAGTGCCTCAAGGAAATGTTTCATTCCGCACGTGATGAGCATGCAAATTCCCGAAGTAAGAACAATGGCGTAAATATAAATTCCCACAAGCAGTTTACTTTCTGCCTTTTCGCTCCACTGGTTTTAATCATACTGTTGGCAGAAATTAAAGCCATACGATCATTTGGCTGACTTTATCAAACCTTTCTTGCAAACTCAAGGTAAAATATCACCTTTATTACGTTCATGCCTTGGTTAAAACTTACGTTACACTGCCTAGATGAGCAGAAATCTGTTTTCGAATTGGTGCTCGTAAGTGTAGCTATTACTGGCAATGCCTTATTTCAAATAAGACCAGTTAAAATCTAACATCCTACTCGGTCTTTTACAAAATACTACTCTGAAACAGAGCACAAAAATATGATTTGGAAAACCATTTCAGTATTTTGTTCACTATGAAGGAAATTCATGTTAAAATCATTTTTAGGAACAAAATCTGATATGCTGTGCACTTGTGTTTGTAAATGTCTTGGCTTCACAGAAGTACCTGCTGTGAGCAATGACCTCTGCATGGAATTTCCATGCGTAGGTGGGATGCATGGAACTCCCAGTTTGGTTAATAATAATAATAATAATCCTTGCATTTGATAAAGCGCCTTCAATACTTTAGTTTTGGTTACTTATAACCATGGTGGTGGGTTTCTGCATCTGTCAAACGCCTGGCTGACCAAACAAAAAGCAATTGCTTCACATAATGATTGCATTGAAGTGTAGCGACGATAATGTAGGCAAATGTGGTAGTTAATGTCCCATAAACATGTGTAAAATGGATGACCAACAAACCTGCTCTTTGGGAATTTGAATGAGGGAAGAACATCTACAAGGACATTTGCTCTTTCAAAAAGCATTTGTGCCAACTTTACATCTCATCCGAATAATGACATGACTGGCGCTGCAGCTCTCTCACTACCACCCTGGAGTGTCAGCATCAATTATGAGCTCAGGTCCTGAGATGGGACATGAACCTGTTCAGGAGGTGAGAGTGCTACCAATAAAAACAAACTAGCACATTCAGGCTTCAGCAAAGGCTGATCGCGAGGCAGGATTTTGGGAGACACTCTGTGTTTTTCCCACTTTTCAGTATTTTTTTTTAAACAATGATTTTAGTTTTTTTAATGGACGAAAAGGAAGGGATACCTCAAAGGTGAAGATCAGTTTGAACCCTTGTTGTATTTGTTGATTTTGGAAAAAACCAATCAAATTGTGCCAACCCTGGCGAATACAGGCCATTTACTTACACGCGCTGAAGAACAGGTGGTGTGTCTGGTTTAAGGATTTTCAGCGTTGTGAGATTGTTGTGATTTGTAGGTCTGTTTTGGATGCAGCATTAATGAAAGCAATACTTGTACTGACCTGCAGATAAAGCTCGCTTGGATCAACTGTACTTCCTTCAGTGCTCTTATTCTAGAACCAGCAGCAAGGACAAATGGGCAGGATTCAAGCGATATTGCCGCTGTCCCACACACGTTACCTCACCTGGCTCAGGAATCGGCTGGCCGTTTCAAAACATTCTTTATTCGCAGCGATTGAGTAAATCAATAGTATTCTCAAACTCTTAAAGCCAATTCTTGCAGAATCGAGGAATAATGCGAAACCTTCAAGTGAACCATCACCGATTGATGGATGAAGCTTTGGTTCTCCCGTGAGCCAAGCTCCTGCTCTCAGCTATGTTGCCGTGGGAGCAGGCAAACCGAGGTCATGTTGTTCCGTTCTGGCAGAGAGGAGAAAATCCCTGAATGGCCATATCCCATTCACCTTGTGCTGGCTAGTCAGGGTGGCAGACACTGTTTGTACCCCATCCTATCTCCCCTTCAGATGTAGCTACAGGGAAAAACAAAAAGGGTAACAAATATTATGACGGAATGCTTCGCCCCAATACTCAGCTCACTGAAACACGAGTTTGCATTTTTCCCCAATCCTCTAACTTCAGAACATAAAAGCACTGAGTAATTTGAAGATTGCTTCCTTGTCCAGTTAGGCGGTTGCACCTCACGTGCTTCCAGGCATAGGTGAGTGGAAAAGCACAGTGGAACGATTTAACTATGAGATGGGATAGGTTCTGAAATGTCACTCGTGCAGTGTTACTGAGGATTAGTCCAAATTGCCCTTTTGTGGTGTTTGATGCTTGTGTTTGTTTCTCTAGTGGGCAAAGTGGAGAGTGCCATTTAACATCACCACCCGCAGAGGTTGGTATGGCAACACAGGCCTATGTTACAGAACTCCCACCCGCTCAGCAACAGCCTCAACAACAACAACAGCAGCAGCCGCCGCCGCCACAACAGCCGCAGCAACAACAGGCACAGCAACAACAGCCACAGCCGCAAGCAGCCCAGCAACAGTATGTAATAGAACTGCAAACAGCTGCTCCGCCACCCCAGCCACAGCCACCATCTCAAAAACAGTATGTCAGCGAGCTCCAGGTGTCACAGCAACAACAGCAGCCTTCAACACAGCTGTCGCCTGTCACAGCACCACAACAATGTATTGTGGTCACAGTGTCTGGTGAGTGCAATGCTGTACAAGTTGCGTGCCTTTTCTTGGGTTAGTGTGCACTGCGGGATGGCGCAGTGAGTTGTCTTGCAGTCTCACCCTTGTAATGCCCCAACAGCCTGCATTCATATAGCGCCTTCACATAGAAAGAACCTAAGTGCCTTGCAAAGACTGGCGCATCGTTAAACAGGGGGGGAAAGGAGGAGGAATACTAAAGATCTAAAACTTTTTGGGAGACCAGAATTGGAAGGAACTGTCGGTGTGAACCTCTTTGAACCTGCTGAGGATTAGTGAAATCTTTAAAACAATTATATTCTCATTATGAAGCAGAAAGTTAAGGTGAATTGTACCATTCAGTGATATTCTGCCACCAACTTGACTTCCTGCACCAAAATAAATCTAATAAACAAACTTATAGATTGTAGATGAACATTTCCTTCATTGTTGGGAGTAATGTCACAAAATACACTGTAATTCTTAATGCAATTTATAACTAATAAGAACAATCCTTACATTTGACACAGCGTCTATCACGTCTTCAAGTGTCTCAAAGCTCTTCACAGAATATACTGTGGAGTCCTGTAGCTCAGTGGTTAGAGCTCTCGCTTTGCAAGCGAGAGATCTGAGTTCAATTCCAGGCAGGGCGAAACCTTGGGCAAGTTTCCTTACTCCACACGCCTAATAATAATCCCTCCAAAACAAAAAACAATAATAAATTGGTCATTTTCAATCTACGACTGTTTGTGGGACATTGCTGTGCGCAATTGGCTGCCGCGTTCGCCCACAAATATACAGTCAATTCACTTTACAGTCTATTCTGTGAAGCGCTTTGGGACGTCCTCCCGACGTGAAAAGCGCTATATCAAATGCAAGGATTATTATTATTATTATTATTATACTGTAAAGTGAATTTACTGTATATTTTGTGGGAGAAACACGGCAGCCAATTGCGCACAGAAGTGTCCCACAAACGTCGTTATAAAAATGTTATAGCCCTGAAACTTAACAGAAAACAAAGCAGAGCGAGGAGCTTTTAAAGAGCCTTATATCTGACCATCACACTTTGTTTCAAGTAACTGGATGATATGATTTGAAAGGGGAGAGAAGAATCATAGTGACATTGTCAGATCAGGTTTCTAAGGTCTCTCTTGGATACATAAGCTGGGGCTTTGTGAGTAGGCAGTGGAGGTGTATGAAGCACAGAAACTAGCCGTGAATTAATCGAATCACTGTCAATGAAGAAATTAATGTCCAGACACGGTAATTTTTAGTTAATGGTCATGGCTTTGCATAAGTACTGTTTTTATATTTATGCCCTCGTAACGTAAAGGAATGATGTTTCCAGCTTCCCCGGAATAATGATGCCACTCGGGTCAAGGTATAGAGGTATTATTTTCAGTCTGTATTTTGAAGGAAAGTCGGACATTTTTATTTGATTCTTTCACAACTGTGAGAGTAAAATTCTGTACTATAGGGAAAAGATCAGGAGAGTGGGACTGTTTGGATAGCTCTTCCAAAGAGTCGCACAGGCACGATGGGCCGAATGGCCTCCTTCTGTGCTGTAATATTCTATGATTTTATGGGTATTTAATTGGCATCAGTAAAAGGACAATTTGATTTGATGGAGTTGTTCCAATGGCTGAGTCAAACTGTATAAAAAAGTTTGATTCCCAATCTGTATTTAGTTAGCTAATCTAACTAGGGACTGGACTGGGCAAAGCAGAGAAAGACTCTAAAAAAACTCGGTTTGCCTGATATTTGATGATAAATGCTGTAAAAACCTTAGAAACTATAGTTAAGGGCATGCGGGACCTCTTATAAAGTATATGAGAAAGTCTGGATTTGGTATCCGGTAAAAGAGGTGATGATGAATGCAACTTGGCGGTAATATATAAGGTAAATATAACAAACATAGAGTATTAATGTACATTTGTGAAACCCTATATATTGGACTTGGTGCTCAAGCGAGTACTGGAGTAAGACCCATCTATGTAAATCATTTAAAGCCTGTGAATGGCTTGTGACTACATTGGCCAGTTCAGCTAGTCACTAGGAGAATATGTAAAAGATGAAGGTGATTAAAGTTGTGTACGAGAATCATGCGTAGACAAAGGTATAGTGCTATCACACACAATAATGCCATGTTATGTCATTGTATTATTATAGTGGACGAGGATTGAAGAGCAGTGTTCTCGTGTTTTCATGTATTTATTTTCTATTTTTATTGGTAGTGTGAATTAAAATTGTTTTTACGCTGGTCACGGCTTGTTTCATGTTGAGTTTGAGATTTAAATGCTATAAAGTTATATTTGCAGAATGTATGAGGTCAATGAACTTATTATTAATATAGCAATATAGTTATATTTGCAGTGAACAATTATCATAATCTCGATGTATAATCAGATCACAACAAGGGTCAATCTGCTTACGCATTGATACCATATGGTGCACATTTTAACATTGAAATGCGATTTATTTGAAAGTAAGTCCCTGATTTAATGAAGCAATTTATAAATAACTTGATAACGTGGTGACGTTTCCGAATCTCGGGTTTACGCTATAAATGTTCTTCATGTTGCTGTACTCTTTAGATGAACTGTTTATGTAAATGAAGTGACAGGTATTGATACAGTAAACGTGTTTGGAATTCAATCCATAGTTTCTTCGTTAGCACAATAAGAGCAACGTGACAGCGTTGTCTGAAACACCTTAACCCATGATCATCGCTGTTTTCATTTCACAAAATATCATTCCAACATGTGCTTTTATTAATGGGCGTTGGGGATTTACTTGAAGTTCTTTATTAAGATTTATCCCTGTTTTTTGAAGCACTTTATTAAGATTTATCCCTGTTTTTGTTTAGAAGCGAACATGAGGTCAAGCGAGATGGGCTCTGAATCCACGGCCTCCTCAGCCGGGGCCTCATCTGGAGTGCCCACACAGGTGGTGCAGCAGGTTCAAGCAGCACAGCAGGTCAGTCAGTGTCAGTGTCAGTCTCGGTGTCAGAGTCAATCAGTCTGCAGCCCAACACTGTTTATGTATATTATCAAATGTGACAAATAATTGAAAACGAAAAATATAAAACGTTGTTGGTGAACGTCGGTCACTTCTTGTGCCTCACACATTTTTAAATATAATAATACTTGCATTTGATACAGGACATTATCACGTCTTTGATACATCTCAAAGCGCTTCACAGAACATACTGTAGAAGTGTATTGACTATATATTTTGTGGGCGAAATGCGAACAGCAGTGTCCCACAAACAGTCGTGGATTGAAGTGTCTAATTTATTATTTTTTTTAAAGGAATTATTACCCCCAGAAAAGCGATCGGCCAATCGACTAACACCTGGCTTCCTACTTACTGCTAGGTAAACCGAGGCGTGTGGAGTAAGGAAACTTGCCCACATTTTCACCCTGCCGGGATTTGAACCCAAGTCTCTCGCTTGCGAGGCAAGTGCTCTAACCACTGAGCTACAGGACTCCACAAATAGGATGTTCATTCATTGCTGGCAGCTTCTGGTTGTATCTTGTAGCTTGTATCTCTGCTGCCACTAGCTTTGTTAACAACACTGCCTGAGTGAGTGTTTGTAGAGGGTGGGCAGCAGTTCCAGACTCCGAACTAGGACTTTTTTTTTTAGAACATTTTTCCTTTAGCCCTTCATCTAATAAAGAGGCGTATTGAACATCCGACACTGGAAAAATACTTCTCGAAATAGGTTCATGTTTTTTAATGCATTGATTTCTGTTTTTCCTTTGCAGAGAACTGTTGTGCAAACAACACCGCAGGCAGCTAAACCCAGCCAAGTGCAGCAGTTGTCTGTGCAGGGACTGCAGCAAGTTCATGTTTCTCAGGAGGTAGATTTCTTCCAATTTCTATTTTTCTCTATTCCCCCAAGGTTGTTCCTCACATATTGACTTACGTTTTGCTGGGCTCAGAGGGTGGGGAGAATTCAGTTATGAACACGATTGATTTTGTTCCCTGTGTGATCCATTGCTTGAGCAGGATGGTGAGAGAAGCATATCTTTCCCTTACGTTTTGGTAGTTTTTCTTCGTGCTTGCTGCTCAACCTCCTGGCCAGGACACCAGCTCTTTTACTCTCCAAATTTCAAAACTCCTGCCTGCCTAGTTTTTAAATTCCACCCCCACCCTATAATATAGCAATTGTTCAATATAAGTGAGGCTGGTCTTCTTTCAAAGAGGAAGGCGTAGTAGGTAATCTTTAACAGTAGAATAATTAAGTACATTTTGGTATAAAACGGATACTATCTTATCCTCATGGTTTGTAAAATAGTCAGACAACATCACTGTGTAATGGTTTCTTTCTCGTCGTGCCAGCTGTTCCCAATTTTAAAGCTGCTACCATGAAACAGGACGAGTATAACGTATGATCATGGGCTGTATAAATTGTGTGGTAATGGTTCACCCAAATCATAAGGCAAAAACACTGCGGGCTTGTGTTCCGATCAGGAGGTTTCAATAACATGGCTGAAGGCATTACTTTGTACATTACTGATCCGGGACAAGTTGAAATCGTTTTAGTGGTTGCAAGGAATAAAGCAAAGAGCAAAGTTTGAGTGCAGGAATTATAAGTAATCTATTTTTGGGTGTTAAAGGATTTTTGAGTTCTCATTAAATGGGCAATCTCAGCATTTTGTGGCAAATCAGATTCTGCAAGGAACCCGAGTGTGAAATGAACAGGCAAAAGACATTATTCTGGAGCTGAGCAAGGCTGTCACTCCCATACCTTGCTCTGCACCTTGTCGACTCCTTATTGGTTTCAATGATGATTTGTAATGTTCTAGTAAATTGTGTGCATATTAGCATAAAGGATGGCCATGCTGGGGAATGAATACTTTTTCTTCCTACTCGCTGCTAGCAGTACATACCCCAAGGTTGAATATAGCACAGATTTGGCACTGCTCTGTTCTAAGCCGTCTCAAAGATGGTTTTGACAGTGGCAGAACCCTCTCAGCTCTCTTCCATTCAGGCTTAAAGACTTGTGGCACTTTCCATGTACCATTTCCAGTAGCGGCCACATGTATAAGGATTGTGCCACTGATTTTGAATTGCCAATGCCTTTATCCTGTAGACATGAGCTGGATTGAAACTCTCCAGTGTTGATGCTATTAACAGCCAACAAGGAGATCTCCTCTTTTTAATGAAAGTCTAGTTGAATTCCCTGGCATGTTCATCCATCATGACTGTTCTGGTAACTGAATGTTGATTTATCCCTTCATGACCTTGCACCTCCCTACCTCTCCGATTTGTTTACCCCCCCCCTCCACTCCACCACCCGCTGCCTCCACTGGGCTGGCTCTGGCATCCTGTTCGTCCCTCTCCCCCTCCCCTCCATCATCGGAAGCCGTGCTTTCAGCCACTACACACCGAAGCTCTGGAACTCCCTTCCTCAATCCCTGTGCCTTCCCCCCCTCCCTCTCTACCCACTTTCAAATGCCACCTTCCATTTTGATCGTGCTTACGGTCACCTCCCTCTCCCGGGGTCAGACTGCAGGACTGTCAAGCGCTCCGGGACGCAACCCCACGTGAAGGGCGCTATATAAATGCATGCTATTGTTGATTTAGTAAGGCTGATTTGCTTGTATTGTACACTAGAGCACAGATGAGATTGCCAGTTTGATAGAGAAAGAGCACAAGCTGCAGGTTATGGCTGATTCTGGCAGCACAAAGACCAGTGTTCACGAAGAGCATCAGTTAGGAAGCTCCCAGGCCTTGAGTCCAGAACACAAAGTGCACGTCCTGCACATGATGCCCTCGACCTCAGCTCCAAGAGTGGAAGTCATCCGCTTTGGGCCACAACACCTTCCGAGCACAGAACAGAAAGTGATTATTGAGCAGGTTCCATTTTTCTCCATGTTGCCTCCCAGCCCTGAGCAGCGAGTCAAGGTGCAGCGCGTCCCACAGGCACTAGTTTTTGGAACAGGACCAACCGCTCTCAAAGTAGGTCAATTAGCCAGTAAGCTAAGGATGGACAGAAAATTAACTGTTTTATTTTTGCACTGATAGTTGTAGTACTGTACAGGGGAACCCCCACTATAGGGCCCAAGCTGATGTCTGGTAGACCTGTGCTAAAAGTGCAGTGCACATAGCTTCTGACGCTTATTGGCCAACTTTCAGTGCTAAAAAATGGCTGACTTCTGAGTTGCAAGATTTCCTTTCCGTCCACTGTGCCTGTGCAGAAAGGAAGTGAGATCAGCTGCGCTTCTTGTGCATAGCATGTATGTGTGTAACACACAGAGATGTCAATGGTGACTTGACAGCCATGGCTGTCTTTGACACTTCAATTATCACGCTGCCTCTGAGTATTGGACCCACTGGACTGTGTGGTAACAAGGTTCCCCTGTATTATGTTCCCCTGTTAAATAGTCAACTGATTTCTCCAAATGCAATTGAATGAAAACTATGTTCAGAACAGATACCAGCAGAAGTGTACGCAGAGTATGCTAACTGTTTGGAATCATTCACCGAGCAAGCAACGCAGCTAAAATATTGGGTTAATCAGAAGCTAATTGGCTGCCTTTCCTGTGGGAGGCACGATGGCTAATTGGCCTTTGCTCATTCCTGCCTCATGTCATGTGTTATTATGAACTTCGCTATGTCTATCTGCCCACCAATGATGCTTGTCTGAGAAACACTAGCTCAGAAGTAAATTCATGAGAAACCACAGCAAAATTCAGTTGATATTGGATAGATAATATAATTTAAAATAATGAAAGTCATTTTTTATGGATGTGTTTATTGTTCTTGTCCTACCTGAATACATTGAGAGGAAAACCACATCCCTGAATGTTTCCTATAACAACTTTCGAAAGGGGAATTGAAAGCAAAATTTGCAGGGTTATGGGGAAAAAGCGGGGGAGTGGGACTGATGGGAAAGCTTTTCCAAAGAGCCAGCACAGGCATAATGGGCTGAATGGCCTCCTCCTGTGCTGTAATATTCCATGATTCTGTATTGTGCCAGATTCCCAAGTGGTTCCTTCCTTTGAATTGAAAGAGTGATCAAAGCTTGATCATTTTAGAATAAAAATCTTTCTTGTAATATTTGGGTCTGTGACTCAGTTTGTGGATCCCAGGTAACTTTGTTATTTCATGGCTGCTCCGTGTTCAGGTTCAGCAGTTACAGCAGGTTCCCGTGCAGCCAGTCCAGCACGTCTACTCAAACCAGGTGCAGTACGTAGAAGGGGGTGATGCCAGCTACACCGGGAGCGCAATGTAAGTACAACCGGAATGTTAATGCCTGGAGCAGCTCTGCAGCTAGTGCATAATGGAGTCCTGTAGCTCAGTGGTTACAGCACTCGCCTCGCAAGCGAGAGACCTGGGTTCGATTCTCAGCAGGGTGAAACGTTGGGCAAGTTTCCTTACTCCACACTCCTCTGTTTACCCAGCAGCAAGTAGGAACCTGACCGCTCGTCGATTGGTGGATCGCTTTCTGGGGGCGATAAGTTCCTTCAAAAATAATAATAATAATAATAATAATTTGGTCACTCAATCCATGATGCTGCTGTGCTCAATTGGCTGCTGCGTTTTGTCCACAAAATATACAGTCAATTCACTTCACAGTATATTCTGTGAAGCGCTTTAAGACGCCTCGAAGACGTGATAAGGCCCTAAATCAAATGCAAGGATTATTATTATTATAATCTGACTCTCTACAATTCTGTGTACGATGCCTTTACTATACATTGCTTCACACCACGCATTCACACAAGAATCACAGTTTCACAAGCTACCTGCCTACTTCTATCAACGTCACACAGGCAGACACTAGTTCTCGTTTCCAGTGGACAGAAGAAAATCAGCTTCATTTTTGCTGTGGGTCCCTTTCGAGAGGATTGAAGGATCAAGGCACTCAATTATTTGTCAAGGGCTGACAATGACTCCAATACAAGCTTTACAGAGGAGTTTGGCGTCAATACAAAATGAAATTGATTACTAATTAAAACAATCCTCTCGAAAGGGACCCACAGCAGAAATGAAGCTGGTTTTCTTTCTGTCCACTGGAAACGAGAACTAGTGTCTGCCTGTGTGACATCGACAGAAGTAGGCAGGTAGCTTGTGAAACTGTGATTCTTGTGTTAAAGTGTGGTGTGATTTCAGAGACAAGTAAAGTTCTGTTGCAAAAAAAGAGTTTATATATAAAAAAATTGCTTTTCCCTCCAGGCCTCTCAATTACTTGCTTCATTCATCTTTCACATCTGCAGCGAGGTCTGATATACGAGGTGTCTGAGTATGAATAATAGTAATCCTTGCATTTGATATAGCGCCTTATCCGTCTTTGAAACGTCTCAAAGCATTTGAATGTCTGAATGTGTCACTAAAGTCATCTTTGTGGAAACCCTTTGTAATGTTTTTTGATTTCAGACGTTCAAACACCTACCCCTATTCAGAAACCCAGCTGTACAGCCAGAGCACAGGCGGCAGTTACTATGAATCTCAGGGGACTCCAAACCAGGTCTCCACGCCGGTGACGTCTCAGAACGTGGTCAGTAGTGGAACGGTGCCAATGTATGTCACGGGAGGGCAGATTGTGGCCAACCCAGGAGGAGGGACCTATGTCATCCAGGGAGGTTACATGCTGGGGAGCTCCAGTCAGTCTTACAGTCACACCATGCGTGCCTCTCCAGCCACAGTGAGTCACTGGTCAACTCTTCCATGTGCTGACTCCCCTGGCGATTTCTGTTTAGTCTTGTTCGATAGCATTAGTCACAAGTGTTTTAAGTGCAGCTGCCTCCCAACCAGACGGTCGCAGGTTTGAGTCCCAGGGATTTGCCTGTCACTCGAGACTCTGTACCACTTTTGAGAGCGAATCTGGATTGTGTTTTTGCTAATGGTGTAACGGAGTATCTATCTGTGTTGGGACGCTTCATTGGAATGGGAAGAGGCAAAAAAACTGTATGCGCGTCTTCATGGAAATGCGTTGACCGTAGCTGTGGAGACATCCGCATAGTAGTATCGGTCAAGCCTCCTGGCCAAAGAATGCTGTCTGCAGTGAGCAGCTCTGGGGGAGAGAATACACGAAGAAATTCCACATAGAGTATTGTCATCCGATTTTATTATTTTTGTGTCACAAAGAGCAGCGATGTTCAGAAAAAACAGCTGGGTGGGTGTGTTACATGACTGTAACTCAGCCAAAGGTTCTGATGACATTAGAAACAGAAGCTTGATATTGTCATTTGAAAGCTGAGGTTGTGTTCCAGCTGAGAATGACCCCCCCCCCACCCTTAAAGAAAGCTTTACATTCCAATTAAAATGTACAGAAGAACTTAACGCAAAGAATTACAGCGCTTCCTGGGGAGACATGACATTTCACGAGTGGTTGCGTGAAATACAATACAATATAAAATGACATTTGTCTAGCGCCTTTCACGATGGGAGAATGTCCCAAGGCGCTGGTTCTGGGGCATCATGCTCCAGTCTACTTGGTTTTCAATGACAGTGAAGTTGGAGTGACCAAGTAATATAATATATATGTAAGAAATATAACAAAATATTGATGTATTATCTCGGTGTGGAACAGCGAAAAGGCAGATTGTATCCCCGATTCACAACACGATACTTTGCTGTTTGAACCAAGTTATCTCCCCAAAGGAATGGGTCTGATCACCAGGGCATTGCTGGGTACTGTACCTCCTAGCAGGTACTTCTTGGGAGGTTTTAACCCAATAATGGTGTAGAGGAGAATCTAAAAGAAAGTGGGAGAAAATAGTACATAAATAAGTATAAAACAAAGTGTCCTTCTCCCTCACCCCCCCACCCCCCACTGTTAAATCTGTCAGATTATGGCTATGAGTTAGATGTGTTCTGTACAATTATACAAATCCTGTAACTCACAGTTTACTACAGAGATTTTGTGCAAGTGAGGAAAAAAACCTGGAATTCGTAGCAATGACGGGAGATTGTGTTTGGTTTTCAAAAAGCAGAAATATAGCCACATCTTAGTGTTTATTTCAATCTCATATGGGTGCTGGCCTCTGGGAATGACTTAGGGGAACATCGTCATTCGTTAGGTATTCTCGCTCATAAACCACCATGTGAAATTAACATTGTAAAAAGTTGACTGGGCTTTTGGGTTATGGGGAACTAAAGTAAAATCAGCGTAGATATACATTTGGTAGGTATAGCACTATTCCCTGGTAGCACTAACAAAATTATGACCCCAAAAAGGAGGGATGGGATCCTGAAAGTGACAAGATAATTGTCATTCAATGAGTACACCATGGCAAGAAAATAGTGGAGCAAAGTGATGAAGAAGCATGTGTATGTATTTTTTCGCCCAGGTTCAGTGGTTGTTAGATAACTATGAGACGGCAGAAGGAGTCAGTCTCCCGCGAAGCACTCTGTACTGCCATTACCTGCTCCACTGTCAGGAACAGAAACTGGAGCCTGTCAACGCTGCCTCCTTTGGCAAATTGATCCGATCGGTGTTCATGGGACTCCGCACCCGGAGACTAGGCACACGGTGAGCTTTCGATTTTATTCTCCTCTCGGCACCTGGCTGCAAACAAAAAAAGTAATCACTATTGTTGGGAGATTTGGGAAACCGATTCATTCGGTTTAATAGAAAATATTCTGCTACTCAAACTTCAGCTATCAACAACAGCAACTTGCATTTACACAGCGCCCTTCATGCTGGGTAGGGTCCCGGAGCGCTTCACAGTGGTGGAGTCTGACCCCGAGCCAAGGGGAGGGGAGAGGTGAACGTAAGCACGATCATAAAGGAAGGTCTTTAGGCAGGATTTGAAGGTGGAGAGGGAGGAGGAGAGGTGGAGGGATTGAGTGAGAGAGGCTGTCATCTTCAGTCCTGCATCTCTGACAAGTGAAGCTGCAAAACTTTTTTTTTTACACACAAGGCATATATGTTCTTAACATCTTCTTAACATGTTTACTATGTTTGATTCCAGCGACTAGCTAATGTCATAATTCTATCTAAATTTGCGAGGTAGACGTGGATATCTTGACGCATTGATACAGAGAAGAGCAATGCAAGTTTTGTAAACTCAAAATTCCTTGAACAAACTAAAATAATTAAAACTTGTGTTAAGAATCCTGCCGTAACCCAAAGATCTGAGCTTTTGCGTGGCTGAGAGCTGCGGAGATTGTGTGTAATCTTTAGACATAGCTGTGGCGTCACTGTGTGGCTACAGTAGGGATTACACCAGAAATCATTGGTATGTTTTATACCCTGGACAATACTGAAATTGATGGGTAAAAAGTACTGAATTGTGGCTTTTTTCTTTAACCCTGGAATCGAGCGAAATCTTGCAAACCATGTGCACTGGGAAATGTTATTCAATCTGATGCAAGCCAAGCAAGTGGTTAGTTGTGGGTGAAGTCCATGATGGGTGTGGAGCTGTAGCAATTGGCTCGCTGGACCCAATGCACCTTTTTTTCTGCCCGTCTTATCTGTGTCCTTAAACAAGACAATGGCGACAGACAAAATGTGTGCAAAAGGGCATCGTTAAAAAAAAAGATCTGTAATGGGAAGAAGCAAAGTCCTGACACGAGGGAGGTGTCCGGAAAAAAAGTGAGATAAAGTGAAACCAATGTAAGACATCACAAAGAATGGAGGAGGACTGTATGGACATTGTGTTGTGCAGGCTCCTGTTCTCGGCGATAGTTTCCTATCTCACGTCAATGTTTTCAGTGGCAGCTGTTAGGCCAGTTGTAGAAGAGACATGGGGAGCCTTAACCAGGGATTACGGTGGTCTCAAACACAGCCTCCAAGCTCCTATACAAATGACTTCTTGGAAACTGTTGACGTCAATAGTTAATTGATTAAGTTAAGTGATATTTGTGGGGACTGTAGCTTTTAAAATTATATTTCAATATATATATTCTAGAGTTTATTCCAAGCTGCTCTACTCTACATAAATCGGTCTCTCTGAATTTACAGGGGAAACTCAAAGTATCACTATTATGGGCTTCGAATTAAGGCCAATTCTCCGCTGCTTCGCCTGATTGAGGATCAACAGCACCTGGCCATAAGACAGCAGCCATTTACACAGAAACAGAGGTGAGTGAGCGCGAGGAGGTGCTTCCACTGACTCTGCTGGTGACCATTTCCAGCAGTTATGAGCACCTGATTCATATCATAAAAAAAAGTGCAATTCCAACAAAATGGATTCAACCTGCACAAATACCTGGGATCATCAGATCTGCCTAAATTGCTTACCATAGAACAACTTGATTTATAGAGCACGCCTCACACAGAGCAGTGTTCCAGAGCGATACAACAAACTTTACTAATGACAAAAGTGGAGTAGGTTTTATTTCACTCAAATGCCTCCTACCCCTACATATAAATCAGAACTTCTTATAATTGTGTGTAAGACCATAAAATGGAACTAACCTAATGGAACAAGACTTGCAGTGACTCTACCCACAAGATCTTCCTCGGCTCCACCTTTCGAAAGTTATACAAACCTGTAATTATCCCCGAACTACCTACTCATCTACAAATCCTGGCAAGGAGGCTGAGGACTGTCTAGTTAATAACATGCACTGTTCCACAATCCATTATCCTGCAAGTAATGTCTGTGCTTCTGACGTCAACCAGAAGTAAAGATAAATCCTGCACCAAGAGCATAACAACAACAACAACTTGGATTTATATAGCGCTCTCCATGCCGGACGGCGTCTCAGAGCACTTCACAGTAAAGGATCCCACATAAAGCTGTCCTGACAAGCACTTGACCCCACCCTTTGGAACTCCATCCCACAGTCCCTCCGCCTCACCTCCTCCCTCGCCGCCTTCAAATCCCTCCTCTTCAACTGTGTCTTCGGTCACCCTCCTACTCCCACCCTCTCTGCCCTCCACCCCTGCTGCTCCCAGCCACCAGTTCAAGTGCGGATCCCTGACTGTCCAGCGCCTAGGGACGTCCTCCTGACATGAAAGGCTCGTGTGTAAATGTCATTTGTTGTTTTGGTCTCTTGACTGACTTTGACTGAGAGTCTGTTCCCAGTGTTCATGATTGTCTTTCATATTACTGTGACAGCAACATTAGTATTTAGGAAAGAGTTTCTGATGAAATGCTCCTTGCAGAGTGCCAACTATGCCCATCCACCAATCCTGGTCCAGGTAGTGACAGCGGAACAGAGCAGGTTGTATTTTATCGGGGTTTTTTTTGTTGGAAAATCCTACTTTGACCATTAAGGAATGGGCTGTATTTCAGTCCGTTTTCTCCTTCCTGCTGCAGACTCAAGCCCATCCAGAAGGTGGAAGGGATGACAAATGGTATGGGAGTGGGGCAGCAGCAGGGTGGTGGCCTGTCAGATATCAGCGCCCAGGTCCAACAATACCAGCAGTTCCTGGGTAAGTAAGTTACAGCTGCACAGTGTAAACCTGGTAAGCTTTACTGCTCACCCGGTAAACTTCACTGCACTGAGTATAAAAACCAAGGAATCCTTTACTTTGAAAACGAGGGCATTGCAAATAGTGATTTATTAATACTGACCTTCAACCGCCTCCACGGGCTGAGCAGGAGGTTGTTCGCCTGCTCAGTAAGATGTACAGAGTGGAAGTATTTTTGCAGGTTTGTCACTGAGAGTGCCTGGATTCTCTGCTAACTGCTCTGTCTCCTCCATTATTGGCACCCATCCAGGCCTTACATACTAAAAACAATGAACCCGTCTCCCACATTCATCACTAAAACATCATAAAACATGCGTGTTATTTGAGAGAATCTTGTTTTAGACATAATAGAGAAAAGGAGAAACCATATAGTCTGTAATAGAAGCAGAAATCAGTACCATAAGACCAATAATAATAATAATTCTTGCATTTGATAGAGTGCCTTATCACGTCGTTGAGATGTCTCAAAGCCCTTCACAGGATATACTGTAAAGTGAATTGACTGTATATTTTGTGGGTGAAATGTGGAGGCCAAGCGATAACAAGGTGCTTTACCTTTTCCAAGCATTGATCAACAGGCTTCAAACAGTGATTGGCAATTGGTGCCAGTTTTCCCTGTTCCCAGATCCCAAATGATGTTTGCCTTGTTGGCCCGGGTAAGACCTGGGGAACTTGCTCACAGATCCCCAGTTAGACAGCGTTGAACCAGAGAGTGAAATGGCGACACGGTTAGCCTGACATTTGGCCTAGAAGAGTAAAGTAGTCTGTGGTCATTACTACAATTGGTGGTGTCACTTCCTCTGTTGTTTCAGATGCTTCTCGGGCTCTGCCGGAGTTTGTTGACATAGACCTGCAGGGAAAAGCCCTCCCAGATGGAGTCACTATGGAGCACATCAAGGCTTTCCAATTGTTGTATCGGGAGCACTGCGAGGTAAATGACACTGTGATGTTTTTACTGAACAGTTTATTAAGCTCACAAGTTAAATACCCGAAACATAAAGACCTTGATGTAGAGATATGATCCCATCACCTGTTTTTCAGGAGACAACTTGTAGAAAGAGATGATGTAGAGAGTGCTCTAAACTCGGCATCAAGGCATTTTGTCAGTAATTATAGAGTTCAGTAGAAAGCAAACAGACCCGCACAGAGACCTTGTGCAAACCTCTGGCCAAACAGATCAAGTATGGAACAATACAAATGTCAGCACTGCTCAAGTCACATTGAGTATAATAGCCGTAATAATAATCCTTGCATTTGATATAGTGCCTTATCACATCTTCGAGACGTTTCAAAGCGCTTCATGGGAACTTCATTGAGAACAAGATGTGAGTCCTTTGACCCACTTTGATCTCGTTCTTTCAGCATGTCCACCAGTATATATTTAGTAGAATATCCTTTGCCTCTGACCCCTCTCTTGTCTCTCCAGGCGATCCTGGATGTGATGGTTAACCTGCAGTTCACTCTGGTTGAAACTCTGTGGAAGACGTTTTGGAGATTCAACTCTTCCCAATCAAGTGACGGCTTGGGACTGTCTGTGTGAGTGACTGACTGACTGGGGTGGTGGGTGGGGGTTGGGGTGGTGGAGTTAAAGGAATGCATTGGGTTGTTCTTAACATTTGGCAAAAGTAAATAACTGGAAGAGTTAACAGTATAAAATCTGATACAAATTTATTTCTCCAAATCGTGAGTTAGATGGAGTTGAACTATTTTTGGCCATGCCCCAGTGGGAGGGAGCCTGGGAGTTTGCATGTTATTTGTTTAAAGAGCAAATTAGTTCGATTTCTGCTAGAAAATAATATCTCAGGGATACAGTATATAGTTTTAGACACAACATGTCAAGCGACTGCTGGGAGGGTAGAAGGTGAACTGGATGGACCTTGGTCTTCTTTCTCCAGCGAATTCTTCTGAGCGAAGGCGGTTGTTATCTAACGGAGAATTTCCGCTTGTTTGTGTAGCCACGACGAAGCTGAGAAGCGGCTCCCCAAGTCGTGCCTGGTTGTCCTCTGTAAGTACGAGCCTTCGCTGAAGTGGACAAAATACTGTGATAACATGCTTTACCAGGGGCTGGTGGAAATCCTTATCCCCGATGTACTAAGACCTATCCCGAGTGAGTACTGCAGTCAAACCTCACTGACTAATTAATGATCACGTCAGAAGATTCCAATGCTGAACCGATTGCAACAGAGGCTGATCTTACTTACCTTCTCACCACACAGGTGCCTTGACTCAAGCAATTCGGAATTTTGCAAAGAGTTTGGAAAGCTGGTTAACCAACGCTATGATGAACATCCCCGAAGAGATGGTTCGTGTTAAGGTGGGAAGGTTTTTCCAGCTTGCTGCTTCGTGTAAGGCACTGGACGCAGAAACATGAAGTTACTTGCCAGCGTCGGTCACGATGATGATAGTAATAATCCCTCGCATTTGACACAGCGCCTCATCACGTCTTCGAGACTTCTCAAAGCGCTTCACGGGATACACTGTAAAGTGAATCGACTGTGTATTTTGTGGCTGAAACGCGGCAGCCGATTGCGCACAGCAGCGTGCGAGGATTATTGTTCATTCTGTGTTTGCTTTCTCCTTAAACGCTGTGTGTAGGTGGCAGCCGCGAGTGCCTTCGCACAGACGTTGAGGCGTTACACCTCACTAAACCACCTGGCGCAGGCCGCCCGGGCTGTGCTGCAGAACACTGCTCAGATCAACCAGATGCTCAGCGACCTCAACAGGGTGGACTTTGCCAATGTCCAGGTCAGTACAGCGGCTCCACAGCAATGTTTGACAGTTTCACACACTGTCTGTACTGAGGTAACACAACAACAACAACACATTACGTTTACACGACGCCTTTCACTTCGGGAGAACGTCCCAAGGCTCCTGAACAGTCAGGGATCTGGACCCGACCTGGCGGTTAGGATCTGGAGGGGGTGGAGGGCGTGGAGAGAAGGGGTGGGAGGTTGACCGAAGGCGCGGGCAAAGAGGAGGGTCTTGAAGGACGACTGTTTGTGGGATATCGATGTGCGCAATCGGCTGCCGCGTTTCCCCCCACAAAGTACACAGTCACTCCACTTGACGGTGTCTCCTGTGAAGCACTTTGGGACATGTCGAAGACGTGATATCAAATGCGAGGATTATTATTATATTATTATTGTTCCCTGTTGTAGGAACAAGCCTCGTGGGTGTGTCGCTGTGAGGATGGAGTAGTACAGCGCCTGGAGCAGGACTTTAAGATGACTTTACAGCAGCAGAACTCGCTGGAGCAGTGGGCGTCCTGGTTAGACAGTGTGGTGACACAGGTGCTCAAACCCTACCACAGCAGCCCCAGCTTCCCCAAGGCAGCAAAACAGTTCCTGCTCAAGTGGTCTTTCTACAGGTGAGGTGGTGAACATCACAAGGTGACTGAGCACAATGCCAAGCACTGGGGATATCGGAGACAGGAGGGAACGTGCGACAAGGCACCAGAGATTTCCGCTCGGGGTTTGAGTTCTGAGTTTGTGTTGATATATGTGACCTTCACCTTCAGCAATCTGTTCTTCCCATAATATGTACACAGGTGATTGATAGTCTTAGACATTCAGAGCTTTCTGGGCTCCGTGTAATGTGATACATGTATTTCTGTGATGTTAATCATCTGAGTGTTCACTTTTAGGTGTGTGTTGTATGACTCAGGTGTTAGTGAGGAGGATTGTAGTGTCACAGTGCAGGGGATGCATGTATTTTGTAGTGTGGTGACTTACCATTCTGTTCCTTAGTCTATCCTTCCCTCAGATCCCAGCTCCAATTATCCCTCAGTTTGTTGCTAGGTTGGTGACTGACAGTGGCTGACACAGCAAGTACAGTCTCACTGACTGCCCGGATAAAACACCTCAAAAGAGCCTGAAGCCAGAAACCTCTTGTCTTTTGATTTTAGTTCAATGGTGATTCGGGATTTGACTTTGAGGAGTGCAGCGAGCTTTGGGTCCTTTCATCTCATCCGCCTTCTGTACGATGAATACATGTACTATCTGATAGAGCACCGTGTGGCACAGGCAAAGGGGGAGACACCGATTGCAGTCATGGGGGAGGTGAGTTGGATGGATTCATTCCTTTGTGATCGGTGGAGATCTTTACCCGCACATTGGTCTCATGTAATCTGGCACAGTCACCTGTTAATCCAGTGATGGGGGCGACTTTTGAACATTTTTCTTTTGAACTAATGTTGAAAAGAACAAGCAATTCGGGGGTTAGAACAAGCATTTGGGTGGTGGGTGGGGGTGGTGTGTTGGGTTAGTGTCACAGCCACTTTCATGAACAGTAACCTCTGTGGCGAAATACAATCCAAAATTACATTTGTATAGCACCTTTCATGTCAGGAGGATGTCCCAAGGTGGTGGAGAGTCAGGGATCTGGACCCGAGCAGGGCGGGATGGGGGGGTAAGGGAGTGTAGAAGGGTGGCTGAAGGCAAGGTCGAAGAGGAGGGTCTTGTGCCAGGAGCAATGGGCACCCCTTTACACTCACTAAAACACACTTTATACCCAAATGCTGATCAATTACATTAGAAACGATAGAAGCCCAAATATCCCCTTTCAAACGCTGCCACAAACAGCCGTGTCCATCAACTGGTGTGCACACTTGATGCCCATTAATCCTAGGCTTGTATTTGATACACTAAAGGCACAGATTAATTTGAGATTGTCTTTTTGTTGTAGTTTGCTGATCTTGGGCGAGCTTTAAATCCACTGGACCCTGACAAAGGTAACTAGTCCCGTGTTTTCAGTCAGGAGATTGTTTATAATTCCCTACGCTGAGCTGAGCAGCAATGCCTACAACTTGCTTCACTCTCTCCAATCCTCACAAGCTGACTTCCTCATTGCTCTTTCTAGTTGCTTTCTCTTTTGTTTCTCTTAGCAACCGTTATGTGATTTATTAGTCCTGATTACACTTGTCTACAGACGAGCCTTAGCACTTCCCCCAGTGGCTGTCCTCACAGTGTGCTGGAGGCAAGTGTGTGTGATTTGGTTAATAATAATAATCCTTGCATTTGATACAGCCCCTTATCACGTATTCGAGACGTCCCAAAGCTCTTCACGGGATACACTGTAAAGTGAATTGACTGTGTATTTTGTGGGCGAAACACCTCAGCCGATTGAATAGAACCCGGGAATATAACCCGGGTCCTCTCATTTGCGAGGCGAGCGCTCTGACCACTGAGCTACAGGGACTCCGCGGTTAATGAACCGGCTACGATCCTGCTCTTGAACCACATTGTCTGTTTTATCAGATGAGGAGGAAGAGGAGGAGGAGAGTGACGATGACAGCCAGCACGAGATTACACTGGACACTGAAGCCACGTTAGTGACTGACCCCATGGAGCCACCCAGCAAACTGCCGAGGACCGATTCCAGGGGAGTCTTTGTTCAGGTGCCGCCCGCTATCTGACGATGAAATGTAGGAAAAAGATGGAAAGCTTTTGAGTTTGACAAAGTCCACCCACAGTCCCAGCCACTGAGCTGCCCCCTGCATAGGAAGACACTGTCTATAGTTATCACGAATCTCAAACAGCACACCCAAATTATTTTAGTTCAACGTTTATTTAAATATAAGAGTTGTATTGATAAATAAAAGAGAACAATTCCTTTTTGACAATTGGGATTAGATGTACATTTGGTAAATAACTGCTTTGAGGTCACAGATAGTAAGTCCACGGTTACTGTGGGGTGGGGCTGTATCTCACAGCACATTCCACACACTCTGGGTGCCATGTCAGGGAGTGACACCACCAACATTGAAGTCAGTTACTGGGTGATTAGTTAAAAAAAAATTACAGTGATTACAAACTCCAAGATTACAGTGCGATCGATCTCCCCCTTGACTGTCAGCCCTCCTCACTTATATCCGCTGGGACAGGCGATCGAACCAGAGCTGGTCGGGGACAGGTGAGAATATTAGCACAACCTGCTTGGTCAGAAATAATCAATAGTCAGAAATTGACCAGAGTTACCTGAGGTGCTGATAAATTAAACCAACAACAACAACTCCAGCAAGCTTGGTGATATATGCTGCTGCTCCTGACAATCATATTTCCCCCCGTCTTGGCTGAGAGCCACTGTTTATTATATGGATGAGTAGTTTTTAAACAATCATTTCACATATTTATTTGACACTTTCTGAATGGGCCTCACGACATCTCACACGATGGTAGGACGCAAATCAATTGTTTCAGCTTCAGCAGGCGAGTTACCCCTTTTTTGACTCTCATACCAGTATTGCCAACCATTCTGGTGGTCAATTGATCTTTCCTGCCCATAGAACCCACTTTTATTTGCGAGTAAAGTTAGCGGATTTGAATGGTGGAGTGCCCAGCTTCTGTGTTTTTTCTGGCCCCAATTACTGCTGGCACAATCACTTGTGTTTGATGCAGAGCACAGTTTAGGCATGTCCCTTGTGACCAGCACATTGTGGTGAGGATGGTTTTCAAGCCACTTTCTTAGAATTTTTTTTTGTCTTTGTAGCAAACCAGCAAAGAGCAGCTCCCAGCTCTTTAGTTTCTCTCCCTGTCCCGTCAAGCTCTGGATTGGGCTCTGTGTCTGCACTCATTGGGGGAATACTCGAGGTTTGAGTTCAGACAGTCATTGTCGTACTCTCCCCTTACAGCCCACAGCAGAGATACCGCAGACAGCAAAAGGCTTTAGATAATGGAAAAGAGAAATGACTAGTGGCAAATTATTGTCAGGTTATCTGCTAACCAACCCTGCTGAGAATCAGATGAAACTGAGACTAAGAAAAAAAACTGGGTTGTAAAATAAACTGGCATTGGGTTGTGAATGGGCTGTGGGCTGTGCTGATACTGATTGAGACGAGCAAAACACAAGGCGTGACACTGTTGTGGTGATAGACACACACACACACACTCGCACAGATGCACTCAGCCCAGATCTGATTGCATTAATCCTAGAAACGGTACTATCACTAGACATGAGTTGCTTCACACAACATCAGCTTTTCACTGATCAATGACTCCCAAGTTCTGAAAGTGAACCCTGAACACGAACAATGTTGTAGAGAGTTGGGAGATTGTGAGGGGTTAGAGGTGTGGTGGGGGGGGGGCGGGGAAGGTGAGATCTGTAACAGGTACAGAGTGAGACCGAGGAGGGCGAGAGGGAAACACACACTGCCCACCTCACTATCTGCTCACAAGCTGGCAAGCTTGGCCTCTGGTGAGGTTCAATGATGGTGAGTTGCTGAACAGTCTATGTGCAGACTGCCCACTGTATCTGGATTAGCACTTTAATCTTTCTGTAGCTCTAGTCCGTCTGCACTTCAGTGAAAAAGGAAAAAAACAGGAGAGATGAACAAATGGTCAGTGTGTATATGTGCCTTAATTACCAACTAAAAACTCTTTTACTCAAGTTTGAGTTTTCCTGCTTTATCGTCCACACACGATGGGTGTTTGAGGATAAAATAACATTGGTTGCCACTGGGCTAGCATCCTGTCTCGGGGACAGTGGGTGATGAGAGAGGAACGTTGGTTAGCAAGTGCTGCAGGACTTGGCATTTAAATCCATCCTGAGGAAAGTATTGTCAATTACACAAGATATTTGCCCTTCACCAGGTTAGATTGTGTGACTCATATTAAATGGGTTATTTTACTGTGTTTTGTTGAAGCTGACTTTTGCTTAAACCAGGAAAAGGACCTGAAAATCAGATTATTAACTCATCCCTGGGACTGAAACCTAAGCTCAGTTATCTGAAACACAAATCCTGCCTTTGCCCCACTCCGCAGCCTCCTCTCTCCATGGCCAAGCCTTTTGTCACTTATGTCGGTGCAATGCAATATCTCCCTGTATCCCTCGCCCTCCCTTTCCTGCATTCAAAATCCTTCGTGAAAAAAAACCTACCTCTTTGTCTAGGATTTCAGTCATTTCCTACTTGCCCACACGGCTTTGTGACCTACTCCTGGGGTTCAGCTGGGAATAGGCCCCTTTCACGTGGTTCATTGGCTTTCACGTCCCTGACCTAGATCAGACCAGTGTCTTATCTCGCTCGAGTCCCGTCTCAGTAAAGTGAGGCCACAGAAACAGTCAGCGTTAGACTGCTCAGCAACAGGGGTTAGGCCTCCACTGTTAGTGATGAGTTGTGATGTTCCTGGCGATTGATTGACGTTGCTTGTGCCAGTGGCGCGCTGCCAATTTTCAACCCGTCGTTTTCTGGTGTAATCAGGTTTTCGGTAGCGTTTTGAAGAAAAAGGATTGAATGGAATTCAGTGGAGCTTTTTAACGGAGTTTGTTTTGATAAACGATCATCGTCATTGTGCGGAGCTGCTTTCAAACCATCAGAAGGCCGTTCTGTCCGCGAAAACACTTCTCGTTTAAATTGCGATGGAGCTAAAAGGTCTTATGCCCCTGTACTAGTTTAGCAGTGTTGCTGCTAGTTTAGGTTACGAGCCAGGCAGAACGGGACGCCTTCACTGTTGTGATTGCTAAGGCCACGATGGACCATTTGATCCCATCCTTCCAGAATCCCCAATCTTTGCTTTCCCGGCAACAAGAACCTTCCCTGTCAGTCTGTGGCATGTGTGCCATTTGTCTGTCATGTGGAGTGTCATGGTCACAGCTGGTTACCCAACGATACTAACCAAATCCACTCCCTGGCAATCCCCTTTGAATCTCTGAGTGATTGTCGCGGTTAACCTATACAGACGTTAATGGGATAACATCTGACAAGCCTCAGTACTCTACCTATATTAGATCTGATCTGTTTGATTTGTGAGTGTCTTGTTTTTTTTTATTAAGTGCAATTAAAAGGGGGTTGACGGTCTGTTTTACGATCAGGCTTTTTGTGTTTCAGATCATTTTATTTTGAACATGTCTTGTTTGCATTTAGCTTAGCAGCAGGACATTAGCTAGGGATGGGTTCAAACCCCACCCCCAGCCCACCCCACCCGCACTACGCCCCACATTCGCCTTGTGTTTGTGTCACTTTTTTTCCTGCCAAACGGCAGGCACTTGGGCTTGAGCTACAATCTGACAGCGCTACGTTGTCCTTTCTGACAACTCCCTTATTACTGCAATGATTTTTACAATGTGTCCAAGGTTTCATACGCGTTTCGCCCACAAATACACAGTCAATTCACTCCAGAGTATCCTGTGAAGTGCTTTGAGATGTCTAGAAGATGTGATAAGGCGCTGTATCAAATGCAAGGACTATTATTTTTTATTATATGGTGTAAATCCTTTCAGGCCAGTCAGTGTGTTACACTCCGAATTGGCGGCAAGTGTGAATGTATTTACCAAGCCGGGTTCTCTGGAGAGCCTTATTTGGGGGAAGCAAGGTGCTGAACCGGGCGGAGAGCGATAGGTTAGAGGGTAGGGGGAAAGATTTGAAACAATTATAAACTGATTCAATTATCGCAGCCCCAAAATACAGGGCACTTGATTCAGATTTACTCCCGTGTGTAATTTGGTTTCCTTGAATAAACTAGACTTTTGTTGTGGGCAGGTGATCGATCCCCTGTCGGGACCCTTGCTGGGTTCTGCCTCCCATTTGTGCAGTGGCCTGGGTTCAGCTGAGAACAGGGAGTCTCAGGGTACACTCCCAGCTGCTCTGGCATTTCCAGACTGAATATTGAAGTAGTTTTAGCTTCAGACACTGGAGAATGAAGTGTGATATTTCTCCAAACAATAGTAACGCGGTGTGCCAATGAGCTGATGGTAAAGCCCAGTGTGTCTGTCTGCTGTGAATAAATGTGTGTCGTCCCAGCTGTCATTGTGCCTGGCACAGGCGCTGTTGTAACCAGGGCTCTGTTTATAAAGCTGGCGGAGGAACGGACGGGTCAGAGATGAACTTACTGGATCGGATTATACCGTTAGTGGGTGTTTCATCACTGAGACTCAGCTCAGCCCTGATGGGGCGAATGCACTCCGCGATGGCCGTCAGAGATTGTGTATCCCAGGTGTTTGTGCATAATTCCCCCAAAATGTTTTGGGGATGTAGGGGGGAATCATTGCCGGAATCCCACTGTCCTACTATTGACACTGGCAAATCCTGTCCAGTAAATGATGTCCCTTCTTTAGCAGAGTCGCAGCTCCAGATACATGGACTGAGCTTGTAATTAACTGGTTTCTGCTTTGTGTCCGGCCAGTGCAGTATTCCTGACAGCGTCCAGATCTCGAGGCATTTGGACACTTGGATTCCTTGCCCCAAGTGCTCAGTAACTAACAATTTTGTTATTCTGATACGAACCCTTAACCTGTTACCACCACTGCACAGCGTTTGGCAGCTAATGTGTGGTGCTAAAGGGCCTCATTGTGCTCACTAAAGCGGTAACTCCGTGTACACATCTCTCAGCTGTTCCCACAACTGCAAACTCACAGCTGGAAGGCAGAGAATGTGTGCACCGCACTCCCTCAGAGACCAACCTGTTGTTGGTCCAGATCCCATTCATTAAGGATTCCTCTCCATTCTCAAACTCCCCTGTGTTCACCGTTCATTATCCTGGAATAATCCACTGCGGTGTCACAGTTTATCAGCCTGGGTCCTTGCCTTTCATTAACTCTTCACATTAAATTAAATCCTTTGTAGATTTTATTTTCCTTTTCAAAACAGTTTTGAGAACCACAGGAAGTGTATGATGTGATAAATGTATTTTGCAGTCATTTGAGGCACTTGTAATATATTTGTGTACATGTACCGACCGGTTTGTAACTCAGAATTGCATATTATAGTTTTGGGAAAAAAAAACTAAACCTCTGTGCTTTTGTATGTAATTTTTATTCCACGTTGCATTATTATTGCGTGAGGTGTGTAAAAAAAATAAAAATGATAATTTGATATTTGTTTCTGGAACCATTATGGCCTTATTTGTTGGAACTTTAGTGTTGAAATACATCTGTGATATATAGTTGTCCACTGTTCTGTTTGGGAAAAGTAAATATTGTATTTTGTATAAACAAATGCTTAGTTTTGTGGTAATTTTAGTGCTGTTAGCAGCTGTGGCTGAGCTATAGACATTACGCCAGGAGGAGCAGCTAGTGAGACTGCTGTGTTTAAATGTTGTCATGAAGCTTGGAGTGAACTGTGAGCGTTTTTAAGTCTTTAGTCATATGGTGCAAAAGCAGTTTTCTACTTTTTGTAGTTTTTCTTTTAAACAAATAAAAAGAGCACATTATAACACGTCTCCACTTGTAATCACTTTTTTTTTTCTATTTCCATTCTTACCCCCTGGAAAGCAATCGGATTGCTTTACCTTTCTCCGCCGCTCCGCTGTGCGCTGTGCGCTCGGATATTGTTGAATCGGGAGCACAAAGAGACACAAAATCCACAGTTCAGAGCCCCAACAATTCTCCTCTCGGACTCCACACACGTTCAGCGCTTCACCTTCTTTGGGTTCCGATAAAATGAGGTGTCCCTCGAGGTGACTTCCCTGTGTGTCCCTCGAGGTGACTTCCCTGTGTGTCCCTCGAGGTGACTTCCCTGTGTGTCCCTCGAGGTGACTTCCCTGTGTGTGTCCCTCGAGGTGACTTCCCTGTGTGTCCCTCGAGGTGACTTCCCTGTGTGTCCCTCGAGGTGACTTCCCTGTGTGTCCCTCGAGGTGACTTCCCTGTGTGTCCCTCGAGGTGACTTCCCTGTGTGTCCCTCGAGGTGACTTCCCTGTGTGTCCCTCGAGGTGACTTCCCTGTGTGTCCCTCGAGGTGACTTCCCTGTGTGTCCCTCGAGGTGACTTCCCTGTGTGTCCCTCGAGGTGACTTCCCTGTGTGTGTCCCTCGAGGTGACTTCCCTGTGTGTCCCTCGAGGTGACTTCCCTGTGTGTCCCTCGAGGTGACTTCCCTGTGTGTGTCCCTCGGGCGGCACTGCGGGTTGTGTGGGATTGCGGACAGCGCTGTGTGTGTGTGTGGGTTCAGTTGGTTGGACTCCCCAACAGTTACCCCAACGCTCACTCTGGGTCCCTCCCCCCAAAGCCTCGGCTCTCGGCCAACCCGAGCCTCGCACTCTCCGGAATTAGGTGAGCAGAGGGCGTCCCTCCAGGGAGAGGGAGAGAGAGGGGGAGGGAGAGAGAGGGAGAGAGGGAGAGAGAGAGCGCATCCCATTCCGACGCATCTCTCTCGGGGACGTCCCCGTGCGGTGGGGACGCAGGGACTGGACTCCCCGGTTGGGGGGTGTGGAGGACTCCTGAGGAGAGCTCTGATGGGTCAACCGGTGACCGCCGGTGAGAGTCGCTCTCTGCGGCCCCCCAGCGGCCGCTGTGCGGCGTCGCGGGCGACTTGCTCGGTGGCGCCCTCGGGTGGCGCTCGGCGGTACTTACAGGCAGGTCGCCGGTGTGGCGGTGTGGCGGTGTGGCGGTGGGCGGGTCGCTCTTTGGCGCCCTCGGGTGGCGCTGTGTGGGCATGACAGGCGAGTGGCTCTCCGGCGCCCTCGGGCGGCGCCGCGTGGTATCGCGGAGGGGGCGGGGCCGTGACGCTGGGCCGACGTCGGGGTGACGCGCGCCGACGTGCGCCGCTGCCCTGTGACTGCGACGCGCGTGTGTGTGCGCGCGCGCCCCCGCGGGGGGGGGGGGGTGGAGGGAGGAGGAGGTGAGGGGGAGGGGGAGAGGCGGTAAAATGGCGGCCACCTTCCCCGGCGTTAGGCTCGTGTCCATCGCGGAGCAGAACGGAGAGATGCAGCGGCATCAGGAGCAGCAGCCGCTCCGCCTGGAGCTGCGCTCCGCCCCGGACAGCGCGTGTCTCAGCCTTCACAGCAGTGAGTCGCCGCCGCCGCCGCCGCCGGTGGTGGGGGGGAGGGGGGAGGGGGAGGGCCCGCGCGCGGGGCCGCAGCACCGGCCTCGCCTGGGCCGCGCCGCCCGCCCGCCCGCCCGAGGGGGGGCTCAGGCCGGTGGGGGGGGAGAGGGGAGAGGGGGAGAGAGGCTGTATATCAGTGGTGATGATGATGGTGGTGGTGATGATGATGATGATGGTGGTGATGATGATGATGGTGGTAGTGATGATGATGATGGTGGTGATGATGATGATGATGGTGGTGGTGATGATGGTGGTGATGATGATGATGGTGATGATGATGATGATGGTGGTGATGATGATGATGGTGGTGATGATGATGGTGGTGATGATGATGATGATGATGGTGGTGGTGATGATGATGATGATGGTGGTGATGATGGTGATGATGATGGTGGTGGTGATGGTGATGATGATGGTGTTGGTGGTGGTGATGATGATCATGGTGATGAGGATGATGGTGGTGGTGTTGGTGATGATGATGATGATGGTGGTGGTGACGCCCCTCCCGGTGTCGGGGGCGGAGCGATCGTCCAATATCGAAGGTTAATCCGACAATGAAATCACTTCAGTTATGTGTATATATATATATGTGTATATATATGTGTATATATATGTGTATATATCTGAGGGAAAGAAACGGCTAGAATTGGGAATCCGCCCCTCGCGCCCGATGGCGGCTCCGAGACGTCTCAGGACGCCTCACACAGGGGGGAGGGGGGGGGTAGTGACCGCGCGGAGTGGGGCCGGGACGCCCCCCCTCACCCCCCACCGCCCCCTCACCCCCCACCGCCCCCTCACCCCCCACCGCCCCCTCACCCCCCACCGCCCCCTCACCGCCCCCTCACCCCCCCCTCACCCCCACCGCCCCCTCACCCCCACCGCCCCCTCACCCCCACCCCCCCTCACCCCCACCGCCCCCTCACCCCCCACCGCCCCTTCACCCCCACCGCCCCCTCACCCCCCACCGCCCCCTCACCCCCACCGCCCGCCCGCGGGGCTGCGCTCGCGGAACATCGCGCGGTCGCTGCACTCCCCAAGGGGACGGCGCGAATCCCCGTGAAGCGCTTCCGAGGCGTTCTCGGAGCCGCGATCGGCCGCCGTATCACATTAAGGATTATTATTGTTATTATTAGGGTCAAAGTGAATGATTTACTGCCACTCACACATTATAGTATAATATGTATAGATAATATATCTGTGTGTGTCTGTGTACAGTATAGTACACAGTTGACGCCAGGGTTGGTGACCGGCTACTCACTCGCTGACTGACCGGGAAGAGCTTTGACCAAATGGCTGTGGCTCCATCCTCTCTCCTCACCGCCGGTTTGTGCAGCTTCTCATCTGGAAACACTCTGCAGTGAAAGCCGTTGCCAGAAATTGGGGGAAATAGCGAAACGGCTCCGGACACGCATTGCAACAGGGAATAAACCACAGCATTCCTGGAAATTAACCCAAATTAGATTAAGGGCAGAACCTGAGCTGCTTCCAGCGTTTGAGAGTTGTGTGTGTGTTTCTGTGTGTGTGTGTGTGTGGGGGGGGGCGGTGTTTGTTTGTGTGTGTGCGGGGAACATCTTGTGATTATTAGCTAATTAGAGCCGGGTGTAAGGGAATCGCGTCGTGTGTACAGAATAGAAGGAGAGTTGTGTAATCGAGCCCAGTTCAGTGAAACCTGACCCCATGAGAAGGAGATGAAGACTGGGATCTTTGGCCACTCGCACGACTTCTGTCCGTTCCTGCATCTGACCCATTTCATACAGTTTTACTTTGAACCTTCAAAGGTTAAGGTGGCTTTGCTTTGCTCACTGTTAGTGATCTCTCCGTAGTGCGAGTGGACCATTTGGTGTCGCTATCACCTGTCGGTCAGGAGGGCATCAGTGCCTCATTGCAGGGTTTTGAGCTCACAGTCCAGGCTGATGCTCCAGTGCAGCACTGGGGATCACTGTTGTCAAAGGACCCGTCCTTTTTATGAGAAAATAAACCTCCAGTTCCTATTTGAGTAGTTTAGGTGAACGTTGAAGATCCTGTGACACCATTGGAAAGGAGAAGGGTGTTTCTCTCTGTGTCCTGGCTGACAGCCTCCCTGATAAATTGGTCTGTCACCTCCTAACAGTCAATGCAAGGATTTTTATTGAGTGAGCTATCAGGAGTGTAAGGATGTGGTGTTAGTGTCAGTTGTGTACAGGACACGATGTTAGTTGAGCTGTCAGTAACGTACAGAAATAGGTTGTGATGTTTGCTAACAGTTGTTGAATTCTCATCGTGTGAATCATTCTGTGATGTTCGGTGCCTGTGCGTATCTCGAGAGAGTGGACAACGTACCCTCGGCCTTTTATACACAGAAGACGGCATCTCCCCCGATCCAGTCGCTCTGTGATTTTTATACGGAGTAACACGATCTGGAGCTCAGCATTGTGATCGCTCTTGGTTACAGTCAGTGAGGCTTTGTGAAACTTCACAGCAAACGTAGTGTGTAGGTGTGTGAATGGTGAGAGTGAGCTACCAGCTTCGCACCAGTGTTTTGGACATTGGGACGTCCTCCCGACATGGAAGGTGCTGTACAGATGTAATTTGTTGCTGTATCTGGGAAAGGCATCGAGCCCAGTCACAGTGCTCTCCTCACTCCCCCCCCCCACCACCCACCCAGTCAGTCTTACAGACGGGTTGAGAGAGTTGGCAACTGTGAGTGGCAGGTTTGTGCCTGGCACCACCTGTCCCGACACGGGCTCTGGTGATGAAGAGAACGTGTCTGAGATTGTTCCAGAGCCCAGAAGAGAATACTGACGTACAGTTTGCGGATTCACTGCCTGCAGTGCTGCTTGTAGGAATCAGCTACCAGCTACACATCTTCCCCCCGAGACCTGCTTCACCGCACTGCAGATTACAGAGATCATTCATCGTGTCACAGGCACGAGCACACAGTCATTCACGGCCAAACTCGGCTCCACAATGGGCCCGGAGACCAGGGATATTCCGCTCCCCTTGCTCCTCTCTCTCTCTCTCCACCCCCCACCCCCCCCCCCCGGGGGAGGCTTTTACCTCGATCAGTAAGAACCCACGTCAGAAAGTGCTGCGGATCATCCTAATGGAAGTTGAAGCCAGTGTGTAAATGGAATTATTAATCTGTTAATTGACGAAACTGTTGGTAATGGGGTAAATGTTCGATCCCTGATCACTGGAGAGGGGAGTACTGATTCCAAGAAAGGAAAGCTCTCTCTCTCTCTCCCTCCCCCACCACCTCTTCTCTTCCCCTCACCTCTTCCCCCACCGCCTCCCCCTATCCCTCTTGTGAGCTTAAAGTCCTTGTGTGGCAGCTGTGTCCTCACCATAAGCCCATTCACCCCATTGTTCTGCCGGGACACAAAGAGCTTTTCCTCCACATCAGAGGCTTTTGTTCAGCCCTTCGCTCCCTCACTCCACTCGCTATCAGTTTGGCTGTGACAGGCCGATTAGCATGAAAGTGAACATTTACATTCATGGCTGCGAACATTGGGCAGCGAAGAAAGGCCGGAGGAAGGAGACGGGAGAGACATGGGAGAGGGGTTGGGAGACACGGGAGAGGGGGCGCCAGAAGGGGGCGGGTGGGGTGGTGGTGGTGGGGGAGGGACACAGGAGGGCGCCGGGGGGGGTGGTGGGGGAGGGACACAGGAAGGGGAGACACATTACAATTGAACAACTTTGTAGGTTGTTTTTGTGGCAGGAATGAAGGTGGGTCATCAGCCTGGGGGCGTGGGAGGGTGGATTGCGTTGCACGAGGTGGAGCAGCAATCCATGCAGTTAGTTACCGTCACCTCACCTGTGTAAACAAAACAAGCCCCGGAGCTTGTGTTTCTCAGCGCTGGATGTGGGTGGGGGGGGGGGGGGTCAGAGAGAGAGAGCAGGAGGTGCAGGGGTGTGTGGCTTTAACACTGATTTGCTGTTTCTGCTCTGACCCGGCAGACGACTCCGTGTGTGTGTTTAAGTGCGGTGTGAGCAAGGACACAGAATGCAGTCGTGTGGGGAAGCAATCTTTCATCATCACGCTGGGGTTCAGCAGTATTCTCCTGCAGTTTCCCTCCCAGAACGGTGAGCACCTGGTCCGAGTCCCATCTCACAGTCACTACACGATTACAGCCCACAGCCACAGCTCCTCCAGTCCACAGCCACAACCACCTGCCCCCACCCACAGCCCGTACCCCCATCCACAGTCCACTGTCCCTACCCCCAGTCACAGCCTCCATCCCCAGCCTGGAGTCACGGTCACTCGCATAGTCTTCTCTCTGAATCCAGCAGAGCAGGATTGTGTGCAGATGGTTAAATCCAGCCTGAATTTAGATGCCGTCTGCAGTGCTTTGTCTCCACCATCCCCACCTCACGACTGCCCCAACCTGCCTCTTCCTCGCTGCACCTCTATTTAATGATCCATTTCCAGCCTTGACTCAGTCTGGAATATTATTTGCACATTTCCTTCCCTGCTCTTGTGCTGGTTTCACCCACAAAAACACACAACAGTCACTCCACTTGACAGTGTGTCCCATGAACCGCTTTGAGACGTCTCGATGACGTGCTATGGCGCTGTATCAAATGCCAGGATTATTATTATTATCTGCTCGGAATCTCACTCACCCAATCCGGTGATTCTCCCTGTCTCTCCCCAGATTTCTGCTCCTTTTATAATATCCTGAAAAACAACCGGAATCACAACGCAGAGAGGTCGGTGTTCAGTGAGCGCACGGAGGAGTCGTCAGCTGTGCAGTATTTCCAGGTATCGACTCGGCGGAGGGTTAAAATCTCTGCCTTTTTATCGAGTTAATAGAGAGGGTCCACCTCGCCTCGCACCCCTCCCTTCCTTCCCTGTCTTCAGCTCGCACTTGAAGACCTTCCTCTTCGTACTACGGTGCCTATGGTCACCTCCCGCCTCCTTCCTTTATTTATTTATTTATTTGTGAACGGGCAATTGGCGGGAAAGGATTTTAAACTCACCAACTCGAGAATTGAATGTCCACGAGTCCCTATAACTCTCGCTCTCTCGCTCGCTCTCACTCTTGCTCTCTCTCTCCCAGTTCTATGGCTATTTGTCCCAACAACAGAACATGATGCAGGACTATATACGGACAGGCACCTACCAGAGGGCAATACTACAAAACCACGCGGACTTCAAAGATAAGGTGCGAGGGGAGGGGGCAGAGATGGTGGGGGTGGGGAAGGGTTGGCCTGCAGGGGTGGGGGAAGGGCAGGGTGTGGGGAGTGGGGTGCTGCTATATGTGGGTATCGGCGCCTTGGGACGGCCTCCCAACGGAACGCGAAAGGCGCTTTACAAACGTAATCTGTGGCTGTGACTGTGGGAGAGAGGGAGAGAACGGGGGGTTCTTAGCCCCCGCCTCCCTCCCACCACCACCCTGCGAGATTGGTGCCACTGAACGGCTGGGGGTAGTTAGGGGACGGGGGGGCACAGTGTACAGTGACCGGGTGGCTGTTTGCAGGTTGTGCTAGATGTGGGCTGTGGCTCTGGGATCTTGTCGTTCTTCGCGGTGCAGGCCGGAGCCAGGAAGGTGTATGCAGTGGAAGCCAGCTCCATGGCTCAGCACGCTGAGGTAATCCCTCTCTCTCTCTCTCTCTCATTCTCCTCAACACCTCCTCATGTATTGCACTGCCCTCCTCCTACACCACTACCCGCTGCCTCCGCTCAACTGGCCACTCTTAAGCGCTCTGAGGTGCCGTCCGTTCGTGAAGGGCTGTGTAAATGTTGTTGTGGACGCTTGTGTCCTGCGCTGTGTGTTTGGGGGAGTTCCCAGGAGCTCGCGCTGGCTCTGATCTAATCCCTCTGGGAAGCCGCCTGACGTGGAGGGTGATGTTGTTGTTGTTGATCCGCTGCTTTGATTCCCTCGACAGCTTCTAGTGAAGAGCAATAACCTGGGGGACCGGATCCTGGTGATCCCGGGGAAAGTAGAGGAAGTGAATATTCCCGAGCCAGTGGATATGATCATCTCGGAGCCCATGGGCTACATGCTGTTCAATGAGCGGATGCTGGAGAGCTACCTCCACGCCAAGAAATGGCTCAAACCCAACGGTCAGTCAGTCCATGAGCAGCACAGGGCGTAGGCAGCCGTGTGTAATGTACCAACGGCTGTGCCGTTTCCCCAGTCACTGGCCTCCTCGCTGACTGCCCGTCTGTCTGTCTGTGCGAGCGTCTCGCTGTGGGCGTGTGCGTGTGCATGCACGTCTGTGTGTGTGTGTGTGCATCTGTGTGTGTGTGTATTTGTGTGTGCACATATACACATGCTTTTGGCCATGGATGTGCCTGGCTGCTAACTCCATTGGCTTTGGCTGGACCTGTCCCCGGACAGTCAGTGTTGAACACCGTGTGCTCAACTCGCTCCCTGCCTCGGGTTAGGGTTACGGCCTCCGGGTTAATGAAGTCCTTTGTGATTTGCAGGGAACATGTTTCCGACTCTTGGTGACGTCCATCTTGCCCCCTTCACAGACGAGCAGCTTTACATGGAGCAGTTCACAAAAGCTAACTTCTGGTAAGGGAGGATATGGCTGAGTGTCTCTCTATAATAATAATAATAATAATAATCCTCGCATTTGATACAGTGCCTTATCACGTCTTCGAGACGTCTTAAAGCGCTTCACAGGATACACCGTAAAGTGAATTGACTGTGTTTTGTGGGCGAAACTGTAGAGCAGTGACTGTGTGTTGGTGTCTCACTGTAGAGCGGTGTAGTGACTGTGTGAAGCACCTCTCAGCGCGGGTGTGAATCTGCGCTGCTTTGGCTCCTGTTTACCGTTCGGCGAAAGCGCTCTGGGACGCTGCCCCACGTGAAGGGCGCTCGATAAATGAATGTCGTTGTTGTTGTTGCTGCTGCTGTTGTTGTAGGTACCAGCCCTCTTTTCACGGGGTGGATTTATCAGCTTTGCGAGGCGCTGCCGTCGACGAGTACTTCAAGCAGCCGGTTGTGGTGAGTGTCTGAGCGCAGCTGGTGCCCAAACAGCACAAGGAGATAAGCTGCGAGCCCCGTGCAAACCCCCGACAAGCTCTGTTCAGAGAATACAATACCAATTGACACCACACGGCGCCTCTCACGTCGGGATGACGTCCTAAGGCGCTGGACAGTCGGGAATTTGGACCCGAGCTGGTGGTTGGGATCGGGGAGTGGGGGGGGAGGTGGGGAGTGGCGCAGGGAGGGTGGCCGAAGGCGCGGTCGAAGAGGAGGGTCTCGCTACAAAAAAAAAACCAATTGGTCGCCGGCCCCACTTCCGGGTCGCGCCGTCGCCGCCGGTGTCACTTCCAGCGCCGCCCGGCAGGAAGTCGCACCGGCTCGACAGGCGAGCGTTTCCTGCGTGCCCACCGACGCTGCGCGCTGCGGCTCGCCACGGCTGACAGATTTCCCCCTCTTTTTTTTCCCCTTTCCCCCCACCCCTTCCCCTTCCCCCCCCCCCCCCCCCAAAATAAAAGGACACATTTGACATCCGGATTCTTATGGCCAAGTCGGTGAAGTACACAGTGAACTTTCTAGAAGCCAAAGAGAATGATTTGCACCGGTAAGATGTCGAACTCAGAGTGCTGATGGAACTCGAGTGCCAGAGCATCGCCACAACACTCGTGTATGTGAGGCTGAAGTCACAGTGAACGGGCGCTGGGCTGCTGGAGTCGCCAGCCACAGAATCTCCTCACAACTCCCGGCGTGTGCTCAGTTGGCTAAGATCAGCATATACATGCGGGAAGAGCTAAATTTCCTGATAAATCAACCAGCCCATCCTTTATTGTGTTACTCGGTTGGAAGTACTGTAATTTCACGAAAATAACCCAGAAGGTATATCTTAAAACATGATAAAAAAATACAATGAGGGTTATTTGTGGGCGACTTTTGTTTGCAGAAGGCTGGCCGGCCGGTCAATTACCCCGCAGTTAACCGGTAAGTTACCATGCGTGTGTCTGTGCGTGTCTCTGTGCACGTGTGTGTGTGTGCGTGTGTGCGCGCGTGTGTGTGCGTGTCCGCGTTTGTGTGTGCGTGCGCGTGTGTGTGCCAACAGGCAACTTGTGAGTTACTGGCGAGCAGAGTGATTTAGAGTTGGTGTTTTTTTTTTGTGTGTGTGTGTGTGTTTGGGAGCGTGTGTGTGTGTTTGGGAGAGACTGAGTGAGAGAGAGAGAGAGAGAGAGTGAGTGAGTGAGTGAGTGAGTGAGTGAGTGAGTGAATGAGTGAGAGAGAGAGTGAGTGAGTGAGAGAGAGAGAGAGAGTCTGAATGAGTGAGAGAGTGTGTGTGAGGAGGTGGGGGAGTGACATTGAGCCACAGGGGTGCATGCAGTGTATTGTGGCCTCGTACTCTGTTCTGCTTATACCATGTGGAGGGGTGACATTTTCGTGAAATTACAGTAGGTCTGTTCTGATCTACTTCTCCCTGGAATCGCTCCAGATCCCGTGCGCACACAATTTGACTGGTGGGACACTCCCTACACTCTACCCCCCGCCCACATTCACCTCCCCCAACTCAGGGCTGGTTTGCCCCACAACAGGACACTTATAAACCGTGAGACAGACGTGTAGGTCAGGCTGAGACTAGGTGGAATTTGAGGCCAGTGTGGGAGGGCGCAGAAGACGAGCGAGAGCACAAATGCCCTGGAGTGTGATCATGTGAGGACAGTGGAGTGAGGTAAAAGGAGCTCAAATTATTAATGATAATAATAATCCTTACATTTGACACAGCGGCTGATCACGTCTTCGAGACGTCTCAAAGAGCTTCACAGGACACACTGTAAAGTGAATTGACTTTATATTTGGTGGGTGAAATTACTCTGCTTCCCTCCGAGGCTGGAGGTGAGATTATGAGCCCCCACAAAAGTAATTAAAAGTCCTGGTTTGATTTAAAATGTCCTGGGTTTAGTGCAGAGGTGAATTGATTTTCAGGGAGCTCGAGGTAGTTTAGGGAAACGCAGTAGCTTTGATATTCCTTGCATTTGATATAACGCCTTATCACGTCTCAAAGCGCTTCACGGTAAAGTGGAGTGACTGTATATTTGCGGGCAAAACCCCCCCTCCCCCCCCCCCCCCCACCACCCTAACACAGCAAGTCCCTCGCCAGGGAATCAGGTTCACTCGCTCATTCACTTACTCTAAGGGAGAAAGAGAAAAGGCTTTTAGACCTCCTACACCTCCGTTTGTTTTCTGGACCTTGGAATTAAACCACTTTTTTTTATCGAAATCTCCAGAACTCTCTCTCACCTGAAGGAAAGGTGGCAGCCTTGCAGTTTCTAACACTCTCTCTTGTTTTATATTCCTGTCCTGATTGATGTGTGTGGTGCTGACTCTCTCTCACTCACAAACAAGCCAGAGATGTGAGTTGCGTTGGCCTCGCAGTCGGTTGCTTTGGAGTCGTCGTCTCTCTCTCCCCGGCTGCTAACCCCTCGATCTGCTTCTCATTCCAGGATAGAAATTCCATTCAAATTCCACATGTTACATTCAGGGTTAGTCCACGGTTTGGCATTCTGGTTTGATGTGGCCTTCGTTGGATCCCTGTGAGTATCTGATTGAACCTCTGTGTCAATTGCTGTTCAGCCCGGTTCCTCTCCCACCGCGACGTGAGGCCGTCCATCCAATTGTTCAGTGGGTCAGTCGATCGGGGTGGGGTGGGGGGGGGGGGTTTGGGGCGCGTGCCTTTTGTGGGTGTTTTCTCGGGAGGCTGAGTCAGTTAGTTGTTGCCTTTGTGAGGCTGACTGAACGCTGTGTGCGTGAGGAGCTTGCCAAAGGGGCCGTTGAATCCCGAGGCGGGGTCCGATGTCTGCTGTCCGCCACGGTTAACCCCTTGGCTCCCCGTGCTGAGAGTTTAACCCTTTGTGCTCGGCTTGTGACTCTTTCAGAGTGACTGTGTGGCTCTCGACTGCTCCAACAGAACCGTTGACCCATTGGTACCAAGTGCGCTGTTTGCTTCAGTCGCCGCTCTTCACCAAAGCGGGAGACACGCTGTCCGGGACAGTGGTGCTGAACGCCAACAAGAGGTAACAGAGGCTTTGGAGGGTTGGGGGAGGGGTGTGGGTGAGTCGCACACTATTCCCATTAATACACGGCGATGGGGTGGGGGGCAGTTGACCTCTTGACTGACCTGTGCCCTTTAACCCCCCCCCCCCACACACAGGCAGAGCTATGACATTAGTATTGTGGCCCAGGTAGACCAGACCGGCTCCAAGTCCAGTAACCTGCTCGACCTCAAGAACCCTTTCTTCCGGTGAGTTCCGGGTGTGTTCCACGGCTCCTCCCGTCTCTCGCTGACGCTCTCCTTTATTCCCGGCTCCTCTCCCTCTTTGCTTCCTGCTGAACCCGGGGTGTGTATAAACACAAGTTGTTGTCGTCGTCGTTGACTTCTGCCGCAGGGTGTCGTGGAGCAGGAGGCTGTTCCCCACCAACTCGCCCCCTCTCATCTCTCCCCTGCCCCTCCCTCACCCCCTCCCTCAACCCCACTCCAGCCCCCGCGATATTGCCTCTCAAGGTCCATTCTAATAATAAACAAGTCCTTGCATTGGACACAGCGCCTTATCACGTTTTCTAGACGTCTCAAAGCGCTTCACTGTCGTGTGGAGTGACCGTATATTTTCCGGGCGACACGCGGCAGCCAATCTCGCACAGCGATGTCTCCCACAAACAGCCGTGGATTGAAGCGACCACTTTATTTATTAATATTATGAGCATTGAGCTCTCAAAGAGTTTCTCATCTGTTCCCAGGTACACGGGAGCCACACCCCTCCCTCCCCCGGGGTCACATTACACGTCTCCGTCAGAGAACATGTGGAACACGCCTTCCTCATACAACCTCAGTTCGGGCATGCCAGTCTCCGGTAAGGTTAACGTGTTCTCTCTCTCTTTCTGCTCTCGCTCGTCAGCAATGATTTTTGTCACTGGGCTGTGTGTGTAAGGCTCTGCTTCTCTTCCCCAGGTGTCCCCACGGCCTATGACCTGAGTGGAGTTATTGGTGCGGGTTCAGCCGTTAGCCACAACAACCTTATCCCACTGGGTAAGAGCAAGATTCCTCGCTTCCCTCTCGGGGAACCCTTATAGCGGTGATAACAGGTTGCGTCAGGGAAACCCGGGGGACGCATTGTACGCAGTAGAGAACGGATCAAACTCCAAACCAGTTTTAATCGACCGCGCGGCTACACATCACAGCCAGCCTTAAAATGACAGCAGCCCGTGTTACAGGCGAGCGGGTGTTTGCTCTTCCTGTCGATGAGGATGATTGTGTTGGGGGTGGTTGGAAGGCAGGGAGCTGTGCAGTGATTGATCGTTGCTGGGTACCCGGATCTGTGATGTTCTGGTCTGAATGGGGTTTGCTCACCTCAGTGCAGTGGGGCTGTGCTGTGTGTGTGTTTATATCCCCCGCTTGGTTTCAACACCTGAACCCAAACTCCCGAGCTGTGTGATGAGATGTTCCTCCTCGGGTTAGACCTGGCTCAGACCTGGAATCCGCTGCTGCAGGTTTAGCTCTTATCTCCTGTGAGGCTGAGATCTCGCAGTTAGTTTGGGATCTTGTGTGGCTCACACTCACACCTCTCCACGTCTGCCATTGTATTTCTTTATCCTACAAGTCTCTCTCCCCTCGGTGGAGTATCTTGTCAGGTGGCCTTCCCCCTCCTTCACCCCCCACCCCATGCAACGAGATTTCTCTGTAGAAACACTCATTACACTTCACAACAATTACACTGAGTGACAGTTACCTGCAGAGGTTTGAGCTGTTTGGAAGATTGTGGCCATATCAAATGTCAGGACCATTATACAATTGACACGACGTGTGACGTGATTGATCGCTGTGGCCTGGGCTGCGTCGCTGGTTCCTCAGGGTGTGGTGTGAAGGGGGTCTGCGTCCTGTCGGGAGGTCTGGCCTTGTGTTTGAGGGTCTCCCCCGTGGCTTCACTGCTGTTGGGTTAAGCTGTGGTCACCCGGTAGCCAGGGTTAATAGTGTTTCACGTGGGAATGAGCTGTGTGCTGTGCTGTGCAGTGCTTTGCCTCGTGTTTTACTGGAAGGTGTCTTTCTCCTCCTCTCTTCACAGCTAACACTGGGATAGTGAATCACACTCACTCAAGACTGGGATCCATAATGAGCACAGGATTTATACAGGGTAAAGACTTGCCCTTTCAACCCTCTGAGGTCAAATGAAACTTGCCAGAGGGAATGAACCTGCCTGGCTCCAGGCACCTGCAGCCAGCTGTGACCAGTCCACTTCCTATTGAGGGGGAGGGAGGGGGGCGTCACACAATGAGGGCTTTGTTGGCCGAGGGCACGGCAGACGCTTTGCACAGGAGAGCACCGAGTTTACAGTGCCAGAGTAAGGCTGCCGTTAGCTGGTGGGCTTCGCAGTTTGGTGTCCATAATAATGCCCGTCTCGTCCCCGGGGGTGGGGTGAGGGTGTCAGGTCAGGTCACTCTCTGGACCTGTACACGGGGGCCCTCCATACACACACCATCATTTGCAGGCACCAGAGGCCAGAATGGGCCATGTTTTTGTCCCCTCGTGAATCTCCTCAGTGCTCGGGGGTCAGTAGAAACCCGTCCGCTCTCTGTGCAAAGTGTGCTCGTCTCGTGCTGCGGAGAGGCTGGGCACAGAGCTGTCCTCGCCGTTTCATGTGGTGTTTGTTTAAATATGAAGGGGGCTGAGGTGGACCTGGGGCTGAGGTGGACCTGTGCTGACTGTCAGAGCAGCCACTGGTCCTGCAGCCAGACTGGGAGCAGCGTGAGCTTGTGTGTGTGCCTGGAGCTGCATGTTGCTAACTGTTGGTTTATAGCCCTGTGAAGTGCAGCACTCACTGGATGGACAGCCTGGCTTCCCCACAGCGACGCCGGGAGATAGTGGAGGGTGGAACCCGTGGTGGGCTGATGGGATGAGCTTGGCTGTTACACACAGTGCAGTGCGGGGGCTTTAACCCTGTTAATACCAGGCTTGGCAGCTTAGAGAGGTCGCTGCTTCCCGCCTCCTTAGAGAGCGTCATCGCTAGAGCGTGGGTTTGGAGGGAGCAGGAGATGAGAGTTACTTGGAATCAAATGTCCATCTGTTTCTGTCCAGCTTTAAGGGCTGACGAGGGTTTTTTTTTCTGGAGATTTACTTTTGTTCTTTTTTTTCAAATCGGTGATAAAGACGGAATTATTCGATGGCCATTTCCCTCCCGGCCTGTGTGACGGAGTCCAGGCCGTCTGTATCTCCCCCACTCCCCACCCCCTCCCCTGTTACAGTCTGTTACTCCTGACGGGAGTCGCTGGTGGGGATTAATCTGGAGGAAAAGCCAATGTTTTGGTCCGATTGACTGCCGGCAATGTCACGTTTAGATTGCCATCGCACGTGGTTTTCTCTGTTGCTCTGATTGCATTCAGTGCAGCTGTGGTTAACACAGACACACACACACACACATAGGCTGTGAGTTCTGTGGGTTCCGAGCTCAGGGTATGAAGGGTTCACTGGGCTTAAGGCAACAGATGTCCTCGCAATTCATTCAACAGTGTCTCACTCTCTCACACACACACTCTCCCCCACAGTCCCTGCACTTTACAACGTATCCTGTGAAGCGCTTTGAGATGTCTTGGCGACGTGATGAGGCGCTGTATCAAATAATAATAATCCTCGCATTTGATATAGCGCTTTTCACGTCTTCTAAGAAGTCTCGAAGCGCTTCGCAGAATATATACTGTAAAGTGAAGTGACTGTATATTTGTGGGTGAGGATTATTATTATAACTGAGCTTAAGGCCCCGAAGTGGGGCTCGAACCCATACCCTTCTGCCATTTCATGTGGATGTTAAATAAAGGCCATCGGGTAAGGAAGGTCTCCCCTGGGGTCCCGGCCGATTGACACCGACCCACTAACCCCTCCCTCCGATAGAGTGGTCTCGCTGACGCCGTGTGCAAACTTTGCTGTGTTTGCATGGAGTAGGCATTGGATGAGCAGTGCTCCGGGACGCTGTTGTCGTTGCAGTGCTTTAGAGGAGACGTTTATGAGGCTGCGGGGTGACGTGCTGACCGAGGTTCTGTTTCTCTGTTCTGTCCTCAGGTTCTTCAAACACTGGCGGCATGATTGCTGGCAGTAGCCATTACCCGATCCACAGCCAGTTCACCATGGGCGGTCCAGCCATCTCCATGGCTTCCCCAATGTCCATTTCCACCAACACAATGCACTATGGCAGCTAAGAACCAAGACAACGCAACACCTCAGACCTTTGAACTGATATAAACAGAGAAACCAAATGCAATTCGCTCTCCTCAAATTTCATCGTCGTGGATTCAGCTCAGTCGAAGAGGGTCTCTCTCTCTCCTTTTTTTTCTTTATTGGGTTTTTAAACCACGGATGGAACCGTGCGGATTCTTTGATACCAGTCTTGTAAAGTTTTGTAGGAAAGGAAAAAAAATCTTCAAAAAAAACCAACAAAAACAACACGCGCGCAAACAAAAACCCTATTAATCCTGCGACTAGGAACAGCGAGTCAGTCAGTCAGTCAGACAGACAGACACTGGCCGCCACACTGCAACACTTTGTATATATAAAAAAAACTCTTTGTTAATTCCTGACGTTAGCAAACCTTCCCCAATGGCCTCAGACCCCATTGCCTTCCCCCAACCCCACACTGTGTGATTTTTGGCTAACGTTGGGTGACAGATGCCAAGTGCTAAAAACCTGCATGTTTTGCTGTGAGTCAGGGCGAGGACGGGGCCGGGTTTCAGCTCAAGCCTGGTGTAAAGTGTCGGGAATCCTCTCAGATGCTCGTGAATTCTATCGTCGGGGCCTCGCCACCTGTGACGAAAGGACTGATTTCACAGCTTCTGTTTTCTTTTGAGTCTTGCAAGAAATCCTCACGAGCTGCGGGAATCGTTCACTGCTGCTTAATGGACTGTACACAGACCGTCACATCACGTCACCTCCCTGACTGGGAATGTGAGAGGGATCGAGTAACGCTGCAGCTTTTACGTTGGACACAATCATTTATAACGCTACATCCCTGCTCGCCGGGCTGCCTCTGTGAGATGACCATCCCCTCGTACACTGCAGGGAGCAGGCTCTGGTCTCGGTGACTTGATGATCCAACACTGAATGAAGCTCACTCTTTGGTGACCAGTGTTTGGATCATTCCCTCCTTTAGTTCCGTCCAGGAAAGCTGGGCAGCGAGGTTTGAGGCTGTGCAGGAAGGGGCTGTGCGGTGGTGGTTTTAGGGAGATTGGTGGGATATTTTATTTGTGAGTCCCCACCTCCCCCTCCAGCCAGATTGTTCCCATCCCCTCCCTACCCTGGGGATTGGGGGAGGAAGATATGTAACCACAGACTCGCCAATGAAAATATGAATTGATTGTGGGGGGGAGGGGGGGGGTCAGGTCAGGGGGGATCATTGCTGCTGTCGTGCGAGACCTTTTCTCCCCAAGCACAAAGCAGTGACCGAGTGACGTGGGGATGTAATAACGCTGCTTGTTAACGCATCTCTCGGTGTTGCATTAGAGCCAGCCTTGATGTTAGATAGCGAAGCTGTGCAGGTCTTTCTGAGGGTAATAGAGGCAATGATCTTGGAACAAAGGAATCCAGTTTCACCTCACGTTAGCGTTGGTAGCCGATTGAAAAGCATGGCTTGGCCTGGGATGCGTTGCACCCAGTCATTAATGTGATTGATGACTGTTAATTTCTCGAGAGCAGCAAGATGTTGTCACTGCACCGTGAAAATTCTGCTGTTGAAGCATATATTTGCCTGAAGAGCAATCTGCCCCTTAGCGGAGTGTCCTGGAGTCGGGGGCTGAGATTAACGAACAAAATACTTTTCAGTTTTACCCTAGGCAGCCTCGGGGAGAGGGCAAAGGAGGTTCTGAATTTGGGGAATATTTAGCTACTGTACTCAAGGTCCCCATTCAAGGTCTCCAATCTCGGGAGTCATTCACCACCTGCAAGTGACTTCTTTGTGGCCGTGTCTCTCCTTGGACTATGTGAAGTGCTAACGTGTTTGTCGCTCCTTCAGTTTTCCACTCAGAACCTCAGCTTTGCTCGTTTTTGAGCCAGTTTCTGGGTGGGATGGTGGTCAAGTGGCTCAACCATCGCCACATTGCCTGTGATGCTGAGCTCAAGGTGATGAAGTTATTTTCAAGTGTGAAAGAGAAGCATTCATAAGCCGTCAGCCTTGATGTCCCCTCAGAGTGCTGCCAAGCAAAGCTCGCGATATCTTCTATAGCTGTTGTTTTGTTGGGAGTGAGCGACACTCAAATATGTCCGCAGTAACCCTGCAAGCCAAAGCCCTAAAGAGTAGGTAGGGTGGTCTAAACTGGACAAGCAGAGGCAAACTTGTGGAAGCGCTCTCAATGATGAGCTATGCAGTTTGGGCTGGTTAGACTCCAGTTACCCCGACTCACACTCTGGTTAGTAAACAGGTTAGTCTCCCCTCCAGGGAGGGAGGGAGAGTGTGAGCATCCCATTCCAGACTTGGGGGATGTTTCCGTGTGTAAGCAGCAAACATAAGTGGAACTCTTGTCTGGTTTGGATACTCGAAAGCCTGGTGGTGGGTATCTGCATGTGTCTGACACTTGGCTGACCAGAACAAAGCTTTTGCTGCACACACTCACACAGCAGTGTGTGTATGGCAGTGTTTATACTCGCTTTGCACTCGAAATAGAATTCCTGCTTCACAAATGAGGCTCGTTGCTGACCCTGAACTCTTCTGGTTTAATCCATTTACAGCTCTCCTGATCCCAGCCGTGTAGAGGTATCTACCAACCTGTAGGTTGGCAGCATTTTAGACTATTTGTGTAATCTAGAAATGTCTGTAGAATCGGTAGGTATTTGTTCATCTGTTTTGTGAGTGGATTTATTATGCGAGAGACATGAGTGTTCATTAGAAACCATGGTAGAGAATCATAATCCTGTAATACATGAATTATTGAATAAAACACTAATAGTACATAGATTAGGAGTTACTTATTTTTGGTTTCTACCATCCGGACCAGTGGACCAACGCTTTCAGTTGGAAGAACGCTGAGCTGGAAGTAGACATGTTCCTCAGGGCCCTTGTTTTAGTCTTTTCAAACGCTCAGCACTTTTTAGGGCTCCAATATTCGCCCCTGAACCAGAATTGTGTCACTGAGGACTTGTTGATTTGTGTCGGTGTCTTTCGGAAACCTCAAGAAGTGTTTCACCTACAACGCGCACAGTCACTACACGTTACATTATATCCAGAGAAACACGTTGAGGTCCCCCCCCCACCCCTCACCCCCCACCCCCCGCATGGACCACGGACCAAAGTGAGGATCATTGTTAATAAGCGCCATCGGTCGCCCCTTTCTTTGCCGGTGAAGCGTCTGTTGGTCGCGGAACAGACACTTTCCTGGGATTCCCAGTCCGGGAATTGGGTGCAAACCTCGAGGGAGAAGTAAATGGGGGAAAAGAGACATTCCCACAGGAAAGGGGGGCAGCTCAGCCTCAGTGACGTCACTGGGGGTCAACTGATTTGGGGCAGAGTTTGGGGTTGGAGTCAGTTTTAGGGTCAGGGATTAGGGTCAGGGATTAGGGTCAGGGTCAGGGAGGGGAGGGGCTGCCTGTGTCGGTGTCACAGCTACAGGGTCCGGGGAGGAAACACATGCGGTCGATATTGATTATCGATCAGGTGTGGGGGGGGGGGAGAGGGGGCGGTGTCTGTCGCTCTTCTCTCCCCGAGTCCCTCCCGGACCCTCCTCCGGGCGGAACCTTTGTCCGGGGCCGCGGGGGCCGCGGGGGAGGGATTTGCGCGCGGACCTGTCATGGCGGCCGTGTGGCGGCGTCTCTGCTCCTCGGCCTCGGCCTCCGCCTCCCGTCCCCTCGGCCTCTGGAGCCGCGTCCGCAGCGGCAGAGTCGGTAAGAACAGCTTCTCCCCCCCCCCCCCCACCCCCGGGGGGTCACAGTCACCTCGGGGACAACCCCCCCACTGGGGGAGGGAGGGAGGGAGTGAGGGGGAGTGAGGGTGAGAGAGAGAGAGAGAGAGGGTGAGAGAGGGAGTGAGGGTGAGAGAGGGAGGGAATGGGTGAGGGTGAGAGAGGGAGGGAGGGAATGAGAGAGAGTGAGGGTGAGAGAGGGAGGGAGTGAGTGAGGGTGAGAGAGGGAGGGAGGGAATGAGAGAGAGTGAGGGTGAGAGAGGGAGGGAGTGAGTGAGGGTGAGGGAGGGAGGGAATGAGAGAGAGTGAGGGTGAGAGAGGGAGTGAGGGAGGGAGTGAGGGTGAGTGAGGGAGGGAGGGAGTGAGTGAGGGTGAGAGAGGGAGTGAGGGTGAGAGGGAGGGAATGAGTGAGGGTGAGGGAGGGAATGAGTGAGGGTGAGAGAGAGAGGGAATGGGTGATGGGATGAAGGAGAGGGAGGGAGTGAAGAATGTAGTGACTGTGTATTTTGTGGCCAAACGCAGCAGCCAATTTTCGCTCAGCAACAACCGGCAAACAGCCACAGAGTGAACAACGAATGTCTCCTGAGAGACTGTCGTCCCGGACACCGGGAGAGAGAAACTCCCCCCTCTCTCTCTCTCTCTCTCTCTCCCCCCCACGACAGCCCCGCGGGAGGCCTTTAACATTCCGTCCCTCTCCCACCTGAACAGAGCGCAGACAGAGAGCTCGGTTTAACGTCTCATCTGTTACTAAGTCACGGCTTATATAATTAAGTAATATTTGGTTAAACATGTGGTTTGGGGACAGGTAGGACAACAGGTAAGAGCTTCACTTACCTCCACATCCATCGCCACATCCATAGACAGTGCGTACAACCCAACTCACTAAATGTGCCAAAGTTCCTATTTGTCCATATTGTCCACTCTCTGATACGATGATAACGTTCCTCTGTTTTAAAATCTTTGCACATTGTTGTTGGAATGTCGAAGCTGGACCGACTCTGCACACTTCAGTTAAATCCTTTATGCTTTAAGGTTCGTGGACTGAAAGTCTTCTTCGTGACTATAAAGATGCCTGTAAAGACATTGTAATCGGAGCCAAGGAACGGCCGGTGAGAGCGGCGTTCTACGCGGCTCTCCTCACAGGGGCCGGAGTTTGTGGGCACTACAATCCCTGTGAGAAATCCTTTCGAGCTGCCCTGTTGGATGCGTCCAATCAGCTGGTGGTTCTGTCGCCTTGGGTGCGTAACGGGCGCTCAGATAAACATGTGCAGCGAGTGGTCAAACTGCAGAACGAGGGCCGACTGGAGCACCAGAGTCTGCTGGTTTTCTCTCTGATGTATTCATCCCCCTACGACTGTGAGACCAGTTCATACAACGCACAATGCGAGCATTTAGTGCCACGATGGGTGGACTTTCCTGAGAGGGTTTTAGACGTGGGCTTTTTTGGGAAATGGTGGATCCTTAGTTCAAAGATGACAGATTGGGACATTAACGAGGATGAGTTTTCCCACCTACCTCCTGAGCTGCGGGAAATCTCACCACAGAACCTCAACTCCACGGAAAACGAGAGACTGTTTGAGCTCAAGTTCCAGCCCGTCATTCTTGAAGAGGAGGAGGGGTAGAGTGTGAGGAGATGCTGCTCACTGCTGACAGTCTGTTGCAGAGAAACAAAGCTGAAAAATGAAACTGCTGTATTGAGATGGTTGTGTTGTGGGTGATGTCATTGTTCAAAATGTTGAACCGTGTTACGTTGTCAAATAAAATAATAATAAATAGTGATCCTTGCATTTGATACAGCATCTTATCACGTCTTCGAGACGTCTCAAAGTGCTTCATAGAATGCACTGTGAAGTGAATTGACTGTACAATTTTTGGGCGAAACGCGGCAGCCAATTGCGCACAGCACCGTCCCCACAAACAGTCGTGGATTGAGCGACCAATTTATTATTATTAGAGATAATTTTAATAAAGACAATCTGCCCCCAAACAAAGCCAAAGTGATGGTCAGGAAACTGTAATGAAGCTTCTGTCTGCAAAAATCACTGAACCCAGCAGCCAAAGTGGAGCGAATGTGGCAGAATGTTCCCACCGCCATTCTTAATTGGAGAGTGTTTTGTGTTAACTTGTGCTAAAGTATGTTTAAGCATTCGGTTTCTGCTTCTCTTAAAATGTCACTTTCAAGAGCGTTTCACCAGATGCATTTTTGGGGTCAGGTCATTCCCAACACTGTTGCAGAATAAAGGTTGATGTAGTTGCTGTCTGATCTTCTTGAAGTTTTCCAAATAATACAGTAAAGTTGAGATCAGATAGACTGCAACACGAGTTCAGTGTAGTATGAGTGTAAATGTGCAGTGAGTGTGTATATGAAGTGTACACAAATATTGTCCCCATAATAAAACTTGCAAATAATTATCAAATCATTTGGTATAGAGCCTTATCACGTCGTTGAGACATCTCAAGGCGCTTCATATAATACTGTATACTGTAAAGTGGATTAACTATATATTGTGTGAGCGAATATATAGTATAATAATAATAATCCTCACTTTTGATATAGTGCCTTATCACGTCTTCGAGATATCTCAAAGCGCTTCACAGGATACACTGTAGTGAATTGACTATTTTGTGCGTGAAACAGTATATAGTGTACACAATGTGTATGCAATATATAAACATTGTACACTGTGTGTGTGTACTCTATAAACTACACTATATATGTATACTATGTGTGGACCTTATATACACTGTATAGTGTGGGCTGTGTATTATACACTCTACTGTGTGGGCTGTGTGTATACACTGTACGGTGTGTGGGCTGTGTGTTTACACTGTATAGTGTGTGTGGGCTGTGTATACACTGTATAGTGTGTGTGGGCTGTGTATACACTGTATAGTGTGTGTGGGCTGTGTATACACTATAGTGTGTGTGGGCTGTGTGCATACACTGTATAGTGTGTGTGGGCTGTGTATACACTGTATAGTGTGTGTGGGCTGTGTGCATACACTGTATAGTGTGTGTGGGCTGTGTATACACTATAGTGTGTGTGGGCTGTGTATACACTGTACAGTGTGTGGGCTGTGTATATACACTGTATAGTGTGTGTGGGCTGTGTGCATACACTGTATAGTGTGTGTGGGCTGTATATACACTGTATAGTGTGTGTGGGCTGTGTATACACTGTAAGTGTGTGTGGGCTGTGTATACACTGTATAGTGTGTGTGGGCTGTGTATACACTGTACAGTGTGTGTGGGCTGTGTATACACTGTACAGTGTGTGTGGGCTGTGTATACACTGTACAGTGTGTGTGGGCTGTGTGTACACTGTACAGTGTGTGTGGGCTGTGTGTACACTGTACATGTGTGTGGGCTGTGTATACACTGTACAGTGTGTGTGGGCTGTGTGTACACTGTACAGTGTGTGTGGGCTGTGTATACACTGTACAGTGTGTGGGGGCTGTGTGTATACACTGTACAGTGTGTGTGGGCTGTGTATACACTGTACAGTGTGTGTGGGCTGTGTGTACACTGTACAGTGTGTGTGGGCTGTGTATACACTGTACAGTGTGTGTGGGCTGTGTGTACACTGTACAGTGTGTGTGGGCTGTGTATACACTGTACAGTGTGTGGGGGCTGTGTATACACTGTACAGTGTGTGTGGGCTGTGTGTATACACTGTACAGTGTGTGTGGGCTGTGTGTACACTGTACAGTGTGTGGGGGCTGTGTGTACACTGTACAGTGTGTGTGGGCTGTGTATACACTGTACAGTGTGTGGGGGCTGTGTGTACACTGTACAGTGTGTGTGGGCTGTGTATACACTGTACAGTGTGTGTGGGCTGTGTGTACACTGTACAGTGTGTGTGGGCTGTGTGTACACTGTACAGTGTGTGTGGGCTGTGTATACACTGTACAGTGTGTGTGGGCTGTGTGTACACTGTACAGTGTGTGTGGGCTGTGTGTATACACTGTACAGTGTGTGTGGGCTGTGTGTACACTGTACAGTGTGTGTGGGCTGTGTGTATACACTGTACAGTGTGTGTGGGCTGTGTGTACACTGTACAGTGTGTGTGGGCTGTGTGTACACTGTACAGTGTGTGTGGGCTGTGTGTACACTGTACAGTGTGTGTGGGCTGTGTGTACACTGTACAGTGTGTGTGGGCTGTGTGTACACTGTACAGTGTGTGTGGGCTGTGTGTACACTGTACAGTGTGTGTGGGCTGTGTGTACACTGTACAGTGTGTGTGGGCTGTGTGTACACTGTACAGTGTGTGGGGCTGTGTGTACACTGTACAGTGTGTGTGGGCTGTGTGTACACTGTACAGTGTGTGGGGGCTGTGTGTACACTGTACAGTGTGTGTGGGCTGTGTGTACACTGTACAGTGTGTGTGGGCTGTGTGTACACTGTACAGTGTGTGTGGGCTGTGTGTACACTGTACAGTGTGTGTGGGCTGTGTGTACACTGTACAGTGTGTGTGGGCTGTGTGTACACTGTACAGTGTGTGTGGGCTGTGTGTATACACTGTACAGTGTGTGTGGGCTGTGTGTACACTGTACAGTGTGTGTGGGCTGTGTGTACACTGTACAGTGTGTGTGGGCTGTGTGTACACTGTACAGTGTGTGTGGGCTGTGTGTACACTGTACAGTGTGTGGGGGCTGTGTGTACACTGTACAGTGTGTGTGGGCTGTGTGTACACTGTACAGTGTGTCTCTCTCCGCCCATCCCCCACTCCCGCAGTCCCGGGGCGGCGCATGCGCGGTGGCGTTTACCGGCGGCTCTTTGTTGCTGAGGCCGGAGCCCGAGAGTCAGGTACCGCCGCCGCCCCCCCCCCCCCCCCCCCCCCCGGGCCCGGGCCCGGCCCCGCGCCCCCCACCCCCAGCGCCGTGTGTGTGTGTGTGTGTGTGTGTGGGGGGGGGAGCGGGGAGGCGGTGTGTGTGTGTGTGGGGGGGAGAGGGGGAGCTGTGCTGCCGCTGTGGGCCCCGCCGCCCGGGAGATGGTGGCGCATTCGGGCCACAATTAATGACTTTTATATTGCGATTAATTCAAAATACATTGTCTGGCGGAGGCTCCGGGGCCGCCGACCCCCCGCGCTCTCCCCCTCTCCCTCTCCCTCTCCCTCTGTCTCTCCCTGTCCCCCTCTCCCCCTCCCCAGGCTGCCCGAGCGCGGGGGCCCCGCAAACAAAGCCAAGCAGCCGCCGTCCTCGCCCTCACTCACACTCACTCACATAATACATTCACACATAAACACACACTCAGATACACTCATAACTCACTCAGATACACTCACACTCACACACTCACTCACACTCACTCAGATACACTCACACACTCACTCAGATACACTCACACTCAGATACACTCACACTCACTCAGATACACTCACACTCAGATACACTCACACTCACACACTCACTCACACTCACTCAGATACACTCACACACTCACTCAGATACACTCAGATACACTCACACACTCACTCAGATACACTCACACACTCACTCAGATACACTCTCACTCAGATACACTCACACACTCACTCAGATACACTCACACACTCACTCACTCACACTCACTCAGATACACTCACACTCATAAACTCACTCATTAACACTCACACTCAAACTCACTCATTACTCACTCAGATACACTCACACTCATAACTCCCTCAGATACACTCACACACATAAACTCGCTCAAATACGCTCACACACACACACACATGTATACACACACGTACACACACTCACTCACACACGTATACACACTCACACACATGGTCACAGTAATTCATTGCAAAAATAAACTTTTTCCAGCCTTGCAATCCACCCCTTGAAAATATTTGTTGTGCAAACTGTTAGCAAAAATACAAATTATGTGTTCAGAAGTTTTTATCCAAACTATAGCAGAGGCGTTTGCCTTCTTGTTTGTGAATGAATTGATTTGAGTGTTTTGATAAACATGACAATGTGCTGTGCACTTGTAGTTTCTTAACTTATTTAAAATATATAAATGTTCTTGTTACTGTACTTATGGATAGAGATAAGGACCGGTGTTGGGGATTGTTTTGTTTGTGATGTGTGGTATCAATGACAGATCCATTTATTTCTGGGTATCTGTGTTGGCTGTTGAAACACAAGTCCCTGAATCTGCTATTTGCTCAATTTTTTTAAGTCCAATTTTGACTTTTCAAATGAATGAATGAAGCTGGTGGCATGGACGTTGGTGTGTTGAAAGTTAGGAGTGTTTTTAGACAGTAGGGACCTTCCAGAAGATTATCAGCTCCTATTTCAAAGGCTTGGAAGTTCCGAGTTGGCTATTCACAGCTCATTGTAATTGATGTTTGAGCAATCCATTCCTTTGCCAGGCTGGGGCATGGGACTGCAGCCCCTCTCTCTGAGGTACTTAAGATATCCTTACAGAGCTTGCCTGTTTAGGCTGATTGTGGGTGCTATCTTGAAGATAAGTCTTTTGAAGTTAGGAGCTGTTTGGTTGCGGTCTGACAGATCCCTGCGCTCCCCTTGTTACTCATCAAATTGGCCATCTTTCACGTCTGAGCTCTAAGACAGTTGTCTAACTGGCTAAGAGGACACCTGTAACCAAATCTTATCCCGTTTTCACCTGATGACCACTTATAAACATCTGTCACTGGATAATGATCAGGAGAGGAAATCCTGGCCGGGAATCTGCTATTCTCCTACTCGAGCCTGGGGACAGAAGTTGCTTGCTTTGTTCTGGTTCGGATTAATTAACTCAGAACAGATTAAGGTTCAAACCTGCCTCCTTCTGGCCTGAATGGCTCAGTACTACACCATGTGGTGCATTGACCAACAATGAAACTAGGAGAGGTTTAAAACGATATATAAAATAAATCACTTAACCAGGGTGTTGTTTGGGAATGCATATTTCATTCACTGTTGGGTGGGTGATGGAGCTGTAATTGCTGTGATCTCTTGGATCCATGGCTGGGGTGTTCTGCCCCAACAGTGGGCCAAAAGCCAAATCCCAGTGCGTGTCTTTCACTTGGTGGTCGATGGGTGAGGTTTCTGAAAAAGTTGCATTAACGACTAGAGCCTCAACATGTAATGTGTATGTATATCCGCATCGTCCCTGTAACAGTCCAGCCCAGTAACTGGCGGAAGCTCTGCATTGTCGCATGTGCCATCCTTTGGATGAGGTGATTAAACAAGGTCTTGCTCTGTCTCCTGTGTAAGTGCTCTGGGACGCTATCCTGCGTGAGGGCGCTATACAAATGTAATCTTGTTGTTGGTTATGCAAATGCAAGTTGTTGGTCTCTTCCAATGAATGCTAAAGATCTCCTGCCACTATTGAACGGTAAAATTGTTATCAGGAGTGTCATGGTGACTGGAATTTTAGAGTGACGTGTGTTTCCCGGCGATGAGCATAAGGACTGATTCATTGTCTGGGACTGATTTCAGGGTTTGATTGCAGAGAGACTTGGCTATCCCCGACACTGTCGAGGGGCTGCAGGAACCACAGGGTGGGCTGGTCAGGAACAGGAGGAGGTTATTCAGCCCACTGAGCTTGTTCTGCTCGTTTGTTAAATCGTGGCACATTTCTTTTAATCTTGTTTATCCACTTCTCACTTTTCGCTGCCTGAAAGGGTGGTGGAAACAGATTCACTGACAACTTTCAAAAGGGAATTGGATAGGTACTTGAAAGAGAAAAAATTGCAAGGATATGGGGAAAGTGTGGGAGTGGGACTGATTGGGTAGCTCTTCTGGCACAGGTACGATAGACCTCCTTCCGTGCTGCAATATTCTATGATTCTCCATTTCCCTTAGTGTCCCTGGCCTTCCCAATTATTTATCTCCTTCTTAAACACCCCATTGATTCCGTCTGTGTGATCAGTCTGTTCCACGTTTTCGCAGGCGAAATGTTACTGGAACCATTATCATATTTAATAACTGAAAGCTCTGTGCCTGTGTTGTGATGTGTAAATGCCATGTGTTTTTTTTGTGTGGCGATTGTTGCCATAGGAACGGGGAAAGTGGTTGATGAGCTGGTACAGAGATAGACTTCTGACTTGCTGTGTGAGAGAATTCTTCTCTTCAGTGGCCTGAACAACAAGAGTTTGAATAAAAAAAGCCATTGGTGGATTAACAGCCACTTGGGCTATTTCTCAGACAGGCAGAGGAGCATTAGAATTCTAGAATGTTCTGGCTCGGAGACTGGATGTCCATCTAATCCAGCCTGTTTTTCTCACCGTCTCTGCTCCTCGCTCCTTTAAATGCCACTGTAACTTGATCCTGTTCAGATGGGCTTTCAAGATCCCATAGCGCTATTAGAAAATAGAAGGGAGTTTCTCTATTTTCTGGTGAACTCGTTCTCAAGATAAATTGGTCATCTCTTCCTGGCTGTGCTGTGCTGTGTGTGGGACCTTGCTGTATGTAAAATGGCTGCTGCATTTGCCTCAGTCAGTACAACTGATGATCGTCTAATGGGTTGTATCAAATATAAGATATTTATTAGGTCAGGGTATCAAGGGATATGGGGCAAGGGCAGGAAATTGGAGTTGAGGTACAGATCAGCCATGATCTTATAGAATGGCAGAACAGACTCGAGGGGCTGAATGGCCTCCTCCTGTTTCTATGTTCCTGTATGTTCCAATGAACAGATCTGCTGTAGTCAGTGACATCCCGTGATCTTTGGAAATTAGTAATGTGCAGCCAGAGTAGAGCTAAAAATAACTGAGTGGAGGAGAGAGAAACTGTGTGCGAGCAAGGTTTTACTTCACTGTGAGACTAGCTACAGCTGCTGACAAATAATTCAACTGTGTTTCATTAAATTATTGAACAGTAGACTGAGGGAGAGGTGTCTGTGATGGTGTGTTGGGGTGGAGGAGGAAAGGGAGGATCTCACAGACCTCCCAGTAAAGCCAGTATCTAGATTGAAACTGAAATGAAATGCTCAGACCAGAAAGATCGCTTGTTTCAATCCCCGCCCAGTCTGTGCTGAGCTAATGGCAAACAGGGCAGTAATCAGGGTCATAATTGGCCTTAGGTTAGGTGGGGGGGAAAATCAAAAAGGATTGATGCTCCTGATTTCACTTCAGTGATTCCTGGTAGAGAATGCATATACAGTCTGTTGGCTTTGGATGAGGAGCTTGTCAGCCTGGCTGGGTTGGTGGGACTCATCTCTGGGTCAGAAGATTGTGGATTTAAGGCTTATTTAAACACATTCAAGTGCTCCAAGACGCTACCCAGAGTGAAGGGCGCTATATACATGCAAGTTGTTGTTGTAGTCCAGGCTGGGGTGTTGTAGTCGAGGGATTGCTGAATTGTCAGAGGTGCCTTCCTTCACGGGTAGATATTAAGCTGGAGCTCCTGTCTATGCCCGTTCAGGTGGACATCAAAAATCCCGGGACACATTTGGAAAAGGGAAGAGGTTTTCTCCTAGTGCTGTAGTCTGCACTGCAATCCTCCAGATAATTTGGTCTTTCTCTTTATGTCTGTGTGTGTATGGGAAAACTTGCTGTGCACAAAATGGCTGCATTGTTCGCTTATAACTACAGTTACTACAGCTGACAGTAATTCCCTGTGAAAGCATTTTGAGACGTTTTGACGTTGCAGGCAAATCAAATGTAAGAATTATTATTGTCTGTGTCACATTCTCCTCCCTCTGGTTATTTTTCATGGGTGAGTCCTGTAGTGAGAGTGAAACCCTCTCTGATCACAGCTTCCTGATGCTAGATATTAATTTGGCTGTGACATGCCAGGATATGTATTTTGCCCAGCAGATGAAGTGGAGTGAGAGGTTCTGTGTACAGCTCTCAGGGATGACCGTTGAGGAGACACAGATGCAGTGTGAACAAACCGACCACACGTCAGTTTCAATTCAGGCCAAACAATCTGCATTTCTTCTCACATCAGTGCACAGCCTGTCACCCCACCCCCACCCCCAAATTCCAGAGCACCAAATCACTTCCCATTCAATTCCCTCAAACAGAATTCCAGTCAGCAGCTCACAGCTTGCATCCCACTCCTTGGTATGTTTTGCCCACAAAATATACAGTCACTACACTTTACAGTATTTTCTGTAAAAGCGCTTTGAGACGTCTCAAAGACACGATAAGGCGCGATAACAAATGCAAGGATTATTATTATTTGGTCAAATTTGTATCCAGTATGATTGCTCACAGCTCTTTGCAATGCTCAGATTCTCACCTGGAGGACTGGATCAGTCCAAAATAGAAACAACAACAACAACTTGCATTTATAAAGTGCCCTTCACGCTGGGTATCGTCCAGGACGCTGTATAACGAGCTAAACAAGCAGATCGCTCAATCCCAGGTTCCCCCCCCTCCCTCATAGATAGATTGGTTTAGGGGAGGGGGTTAGAAGGAATTTCTTCAGTCAGGATGTGACTACAGTACAGTATTAAGGGCTACAGAGTCGTTTAAAAGGGAAGTGGATAAGCACCTGAGCAGTAAATAATAATCCTTGCATTTTAATGTAACACCTTCGCATGTCTTCGAGACGTCTCAAAAGAGCTTCACAGGATACACTGTAAAGTGAATTAACTGTATATTTTGTGGGGTGAAACGGATCAAGCTATGTAGCGAGAGAACCCGCAAGTGGGATGGATTATTGTTTAGAAGAGCAGGCAGCAGAGACTCAGACCCCATGATCTGAATGACCTCCTTCTGTGCACAAACTGTGTTCCTTCCTCACACGTGCCTGGCTCTGTGGAATAGCGGGAGGCAGAGGAGCTGGGGAAAGTCTGTGGAGCGGCGAGCACTGATTGATCACCTTGTTAGGCAGCCCCGGGACCAAGTTACGCACACGTCAGCCATTTGAGCAGGGCTAGAGAGAAGCCCAGCACTGATGCCCAGAATGACTGATCAATACAGGGAGAGCATTGACTGGATAACGTTCTCTGTCTTTCAGGATAAAGAGGCGACTGTTGAGAGACCTCTCTCTGTTGGATAACATGTCAACTCCCGATCCTCCAATGGGCGGGACCCCTCGCCCAGGCCCCTCTCCTGGCCCAGGGCCCTCCCCTGGGGCGATGCTGGGCCCCAGTCCTGGCCCCTCTCCCGGCTCCACACACAGCATGATGGGACCGAGTCCTGGACCCCCGTCCACAGGCCATTCCATGCCCCCCCAAGGACCGGGAGGATATCCCCCTGACAGCATGCACCAGCTCCACAAGGTAATGGGCCTCCATTATACTATCGTCCCAACTGTTGTGTTTATCTGTTAATAAGTAGGTTTAGGAATAAACCACATTGGCAAAACGCAAGCTCCGCTTGGCATTCAGTCTTCTCTTCACCCCGTCTGTAGCTCAGTGTCGGGCAACCACTCCTTTATCCTCATTCCTGTGTCTCCTGCTGTAGCTCATCAATCACCCAGTTTTCTCAATAAAGAGACTCAGAGTTCACTATATTTTGTGTTGGTAGTGAAGAATCCTCCCAGCTGTTGACGTAATGTCGGATGGGATGGTTCTGGATGCAAACTGCCTGCACAAAGCTGCTCTCTGGAGTGAGAGTGAGGTTCTGATGTTTCTGAAGACGATAGTGGGGTGGCGGGCGGGGGGAGAGGGAATTTCTCCTTGCACATGTTGTTTGTGCCGTTTCCCCCCCCCCCCCCCCCCCATCCAGTCTGTGTGCTGGCCATTGGTTGTGTTCCCTCCCTCGGCATTCATTCCCAGGCTAAACCAGGAAGAGAAGAAGGTAGGTGAAGCATGGATCCTGTGTCAGTAGCGAAATTGCACTTTGTTGAAGTCAATTTTAGTGGCATCAAGTTCATCGCAGTCGCTCATACTCTCCTGTCTCCCATTTAACTTACAGGAACCACTGCATCTCTCAGTGTAACTCTTGATGTACACGTTGCTAAGTTGTCAGACAGTGAGTTATTTGGATCTGAAATGCATTGCCTGAAAGGGTGGTGGAAACTGATTCGATAACAACTTTCAAAAGAGAAGTAGATGGATATATGGGGAGGACAGATTTGCAGAGCTATGGGGAGAGAGTGGGGCAGTGGGATTAATTTGGACAGCTCGTTCAAAGAGCTGGCACAGACACGATGGACCGAATGGCCTCCTTCTGTGCTGTATGATTCTATAAGTGTAAAACACTCCGATAGACCAGCCCTCTCTCTGTACATACACGCACATCCCAGTCACATGCTCCTGATACACCACAAATAATCCCTTGGTGTTCTTTGGTTTGCGAGAACTGTTTCAGGGAATTATTGCTCGTGTATTTTAAGTTGTATTTTTTTGTGCCGACATGAACGGTTAATGCCTGGCTGTGTTCTGCTCCTTATCACTTTATAGCTCATTGCCATTGCTGTTTGAGAGGGTGACTTTGACGTTCTGCGGCACATGCCACCAATCCACAGACTGTAAGCAGGATTCTTTCTACTCCTCAGCTTCTGCAGTGTTGCAGGCTACCGAGCGTTGAGGGCACATTCTCTCTCTCTCTCACTGATTCCAGACGTTTCTCTGAACTCCCCCGATGTTGCATTTCACGTGCAGTACGTTGAGAGAGTCTTAACGGTGCTCTCTGCACCGGCCGTTGTTTTTTTTATATATAAAACAATAAAACAAAACAAAACCTTCAAGGCAACTGCTCTGGCTCAGTGCTTTGGCTGCTGTGTTTGCTGCCGAGTCTTCCTCTGTAAACCTGCATCTGTTTCCTGAGTGCGTGGCCCGCAGAGCGGTGTGTGAGTGAGACGGATTAGATTGTGCAAGCACTTGTGCGTCTGTGGCTCTGTGCCGGAAAGGTGAAGCCAGCCAGAGCCAGCATGTGCTCTGTTGTTTGCAGGCCATGGAGTCCATGCACGAGAAGGGAATGTCTGATGACCCTCGCTACGGGCAGATCAAGTCTATGGGCATGAGATCCGGGGCGCACAGCGGCATGGGACCCCCACCCAGCCCCATGGAGCAACATTCCCAAGGTAACTCAACAGCGCTCGGAGGTTCATGTGGGGGGATGGTTGATTCACCTCCCTCGTGGAGGAAGAGTGTAAAGTTCTCTAGGAGTGTCCTTGTGGCCACACTGAAATCTCAGGGTAATGAGTTGCTCATGGAGACCTGTAACTCAGTGGTTAGAGCACTCGCCTCACAAGCGAGAGACTTGGGTTTGATTCCCAGCAGGGCGAAACATTGGTCAAGTTTCCTTACTCCACACGCCTCTGCTTACCTAGCAGTAAGTAGGACCCCGGTGGTTAGTCAATTGGCGGATTGCTTTTCCCGGGGTAATAATTCCTTCCAAAAAAAATTGCTCACTCAATCCACGACTGTGGGGACACTGCTGTCCGCAATTGGCTGCTGCATTTCGCTCACAAAATATAAATACAGTCAATTCACTTTACAGTGTATCCTGTGAAGCGCTTTGAGACGTCTCAAAGATGTGATAAGGCGCTAATCAAATGCAAGGATTATTATTATTATAGACGCTGTATCAAATGTAAGGATTATTTATCAACTTTAATCGCAGGCTACCCGTCCCCTCTTGGAGGCCCAGAACATGCCCCGAGTCCTGTACCTGCCAACGGCCCCCCAACGGGACCGCCAATGCCTTCTGGACCGGGAGGAGTACCGATGGATGGTGGAGACCCCCAGAATTTAGCACAGCTAAACCGCGGCCCGTCTCCTTTCAACCAAGGTCAGCTGCACCAGCTGCGGGCTCAGATCATGGCTTATAAGATGCTGGCGAGAGGCCAACCCATTCCCGATCACATCCAGCTGGCCATCCAAGGCAAGAGACCCCTTCCTGGTGTCCAGCAGCAAATGCCATCACTGCCTCCCCCCTCTGCCTCCGGGACTGGAGCTGGGACTGGGGCCACCCCGGGAAACTATAATCGGCCACTCGGTAAGTAACCAGCGTGCACACGCGTTTGATTCCTGGGCGGGTCAGGTCAGGGCGAAACGTTGGGCAAGTTTCCTCATTCCACACACACACACACACACACGCCCCTGTTCACTTAGCAGTAAGTAGGAACTTGGTTGTTAGTCGATTGGCGGATCGCTTTCTGGCTGTGCGCAATTGGCTGCTGCGTTTCGCCCACAAAATATACAGTTAATTCACTCTACAGTATATCCTGTGAAGCGCTTTGAGACACCTCGAAGACTTGATAAGGCGCTATATCAAATGAAAGGATTATTATTATCATGGTGCTGTTCACACGTGTAATGCTGAGGACCTACTTTTGACTGACATACATATTGCTTCTGAACCTAACACTAATTCCTTTATATCCTTTCCGCATAGGAGAAACCAGTCTCAATCGACCACTACGCTCCAGTGACATGACAGCCCTCAGTAAGTGGGAAACTGGCACAATGCTGTGTTGATAACAACAGCAGCAAATCACATTTACACAGCGCCTTTCACCACAGGAGGACGTCCCAAAGCGCTAGACAATCAGGGATCCGTATCCGAGCTGGTCGATGGGAGGGGTGGAGGGTGGGGAGGGGAGGGGTTGGAGGGTGACAGAAGACTCGGTCAAAAAGGAGGGTCTTGAGATGGGTCTTGAAGAACATAAAGGAGGTGGTGAGGCGGAGGGACTGTGCTATGAAGTCCCAGAGGACAGAGGGGCTGGAAGCCCACCTACGGGGGATGTGAAGCAGCCAGAGCCCCCTGAAGGAGGGAGTGGACATGTTGGGAGGGAATTAGGAGGTCACAGAGATATAGAGGAGCAAGGCCGTGGAGAGCTTTTGATGACAGTAAAATTGGGGGTTCCGGACATTGGAGGCCAATAAAGATCAGGGGGTCAGAGGCAGCAGCTGTCGGAGATTCCTTCACGTATTGCTGTCCATCCTGCAGCACTTGTAGACGTGGCGGTTGCTGCTGGAATTTTGATTTGTGTTCCAATTTTTGCGATTGCTACAAATGACACCTCTAATAAACCTCCTGTAGGCTCTTGTGGTTCAGACAGAGATAAAGGGATTGCATTCCCGCTTCTATTTCAGATAGGTGGCGTTTTATTCTCAGTTATCCCGGCTTACATTCCTCTCAGGAATGTGAGGTAAATGTGAAGTAATTGAGATGAGCAGCCACGGTTGATTGACTGTGGAAAGGACGTCGCAGGACAATTCAGCTGTGAGATTGCTTGTGTAACAACATTCACTGCATTTCTAATTACAATCTGTAAAGTGCTTTGAGACGTTTTTAACGGGAATAGCGCTGTATAAATGTAGCTTGTTCTTTCGTCATTGCTGATTTCTTGTGTTGTGACTTGAAACACGTGATCTCATTTTACTGTAAACGGTGATCAGAATGATTGAAGGCCTACGTATGTTCCACACGTTCTCTGTGTGCTTCTGTTTACCTCTGACTGGTAATCTTACGGCACTGTTTAAGACGCTTTCCGTGTTTATTTCGCTCGTCACATCTCTTTCCTCTCTCCCAGGGATGGGAGGATCCAACATGCTGCCTCCAGGAGCCTCTGGAGTCAGCCAGGGAATGCCATGCCAGCCTCCTGGCCCGCCAAAATCCTGGCCAGAAGGTGAGAGAAGTTCAGCCACTGTGGGTTTGGCTTTGATACATTCTCATGTGACAGAATACTTTACTTGACATTTGCTGTGGGTTGTACAAAAAGGGGTAGTTATAACATTGACCCCATCCTAGTCAAAGATCTCTGAGGGTGCATGGAAAGAGCAGGCCAGTGTGGGGGTGGGGGTACACGTCTGTAGTTTGAGGTGAAACTCCTAAGTTTGTCTAGTTCCGATAGACAAGAGGATAGAGTGATCTGGGGAAGTGAGAGTGTGCTGTGATGTGGTTTATTGCCCATAAAAGTCAGTAAGTGTTGCTTAATTATCTTGAAGTTGGCAATCTGTGACTTTTTATTACTTCCTTCAATTGAATGTAAATGGTGTAAAACAAACAATAACCGCGGTGAGGAGCTCAGTAGTGTTGGTGAGATCAGCAGAAGTTCCAGATGTGCAATTGCTATGGTGTGAAGATAACACTCAAACTAGCTCATCAGCCCCCCCCCCCCCCCCCCACCCCGTGTGTGTGTGTGATAATGGCCTTGGACAATTCGTGTTCACAATTTTCGGTGCTCCTTATAACCTTTTCTGGGACTACAGTAACAATCCCAAATTACATTTGTAAAGCGCCTTTCATGTCGGGAGGACGTCCCAAGGCGCAAGGCTGTGCATAATTGTCTGCCTCGTTTCGTCCACAAAATACAGTCAATCCACTTCACAGTCTGTGTTGTGAAGCGCTTTGAGACTCCCAAAGCCTCGATAAGGCACTGTTTGAAATGCAAGGATTCTTCTGATTATTTTCTGTTTCAGGCTCAATGGCGAACGCTACTGCTCCGACCAGCGCTCCTCAGAAACTGGCTCCACCACAACCCACCGGCCGGCCTTCACCAGCTCCCCCCGCAGTGCCCCCAGCTGCGTCCCCCGTCATGCCCCCTCAGACGCAGTCACCGGGGCAACCAACTCAGCCAGCCCCCATGGTACAGCTCCATTCGAAACAAAACCGCATTACCCCCATTCAGAAACCACGAGGGCTCGATCCCGTCGAACTCCTCCAGGAACGGGAATACAGGTAACGAGAGGTCCGATTGGAAATCCCACCGTAATTGATGAATGTAGAGTGTTGCAAGACCTGTGTGATTTCTGTTGGCAGGCTCCAAGCACGGATTTCCCATCGGATTCAAGAGCTGGAGAATCTCCCAGGGTCTCTAGCGGGCGACCTGCGAACCAAAGCCACCATTGAACTCAAAGCTCTGCGGCTTCTGAACTTTCAGAGGCAGGTGGGTATTGAACAATTTTGTTAGTGGAGGGAGCGATCACCAGCACAGACACAATGGAGAAAGAGCAGGAGACTGGGACTAGAGTAGAGAGCTCCTGAACGAACACAATGTATTGAATGGTGTCCGTCTGTGTTGTAGACTAGTATATGTGGTGGTTTTGTCACATCAGGTGGGTGGGGCTGTTACTGAGGTGTGTGTTGGGGGAGTTAATTCATTCATAGATTCATAGAATGTTACGTCACAGAAGGAGGCCATTCGGCCCATCGAGTCTGTGCCGGCTCTTTGACAGAGCAAGTCACTTTCACTAATGACTGCTCTTCTCTCCCCAGCTGCGTCAGGAGGTGGTGGTGTGTATGAGGAGGGACACGGCGCTGGAGACGGCATTGAACTCCAAGGCGTATAAACGCAGCAAGCGTCAGTCGCTGCGAGAGGCGCGCATCACAGAGAAACTGGAAAAGCAGCAGAAAATCGAGCAGGAACGCAAACGCCGACAGAAGCACCAGGTATGTCCTGATTTAAGCACTCCGGGACTTTGCCCCGCGTGTTGGGCACGGTATAATTGCAAGTTGTTGCTGTAAGTCCACAAGCAACATAGCCTGGCGCCAGGTATGTCCAAGAGCACCAAACTGGCACCAGGTAATGCCAGCCATGGGAGGAGGGGGAGAGGGGCACTGGTAATGTAACAGTTAGCAGTATTTCTTATCCCCAGAATGAGATGATTGTAATGAGAGATCCATTTTCTCGATTACTCTTGAGTACTGACAATACCTCACCACTCTCAATGGCCTAGGAATACCTCAACAGCATCCTGCAGCATGCCAAGGACTTCAAAGAGTACCACCGCTCAGTCACTGGGAAGATGCAGAAACTCACAAAAGCAGTAGCCACCTATCACGCTAACACCGAGCGAGAGCAGAAGAAGGAGAACGAGCGGATCGAGAAGGAGAGGATGAGGCGGCTGATGGTGAGTGTTGCTTTCCTCTAAGACCTTGTCTTCTTCACTGGCTCTACACCTCTGAGAGAATTGAGTACAAAACCCTCGTTATCACCTTTAAGGACCTCCACTGCCTTGTTCCTTCCTACCTCAGTGACCTGCTAACCCCTTATCAACCTGTCCGCGCTCTCTGCTCAGCAGACTCCATCTGCTTCAAGTCCCCCGCCCAGCCCACCCCACTATCGGTGGTCAGGCCTTCAGTCTCTCCGCCCCCACCCTTTGGAACTCCATCCCACATTCCCTTCACCTCCCTCCCTCCCTCTCTTCAAGGCCCGTTTCAAGACCCTCCTCTTCAACTGTAACTTCAGAAACCCTCCCTACCTGCCACCCTCCCTTCCCCCAATCGCGCCCCACTGCCTCCCCCCCCCTTCCCCCGCTCAGGTTTAAATCCTTGACTGTCCAGTGCCTTGGGACATCCTCCCGATATGAAAGGCTCTGTGTAAATTTTTATTGTATCTTTCACCCAGGTGGTGGGTGGAGGTGATGCAACCTTTTCCTCAGTGAAGGCTGGGCTTTGGTGCAGGTGTTGGCTCCTTCCCCCTCCCCTGTGTGAGTGGTCGCTGCCGTGTATGATATGTCGTGGTGGTTGTGTCCTGCAGGCGGAAGATGAGGAAGGTTATCGGAAGCTGATTGATCAGAAGAAGGACCGGCGCTTGGCATACCTGCTGCAGCAGACCGACGAGTACGTGGCCAACCTGACAGAGTTGGTGCGGCAGCACAAGGCAGTGCAGGCAGCCAAGGAGAAGAGGAAGAAGAAGAAGAGGAAGGTGAGTGGTTACAAGTGGGAGCGTAACTGGTGACATTTAAGCGCTCTCCGGGACACTATCCCGGAGTGAAAGCCGCTATATAAATGCAACCTTGTAATTCCTTACACCTTTCCCTCTGCAGAAGCCGGAGAACGTGGATGGCCTGGGCTCCGCTGTCGGTCCTGATGGGGAAGTAAGTGACCGCTCGCTGATCGTACGGTACAATTACATTTCATCAAGGTTCAAAAATCCTGTGAGAAGCGTCGGAAACTTCTGAGCATCCCCTGGCAATTCACTCACAACCTCACATTAACGTTCCACTCTGTGGACACTTGGACATTAAATATCCCTTGGGGATATTTGGAAGAGTGTTCCTGCCGGTATTCCTTCATTGTGCGTTTTGCCCCCAGAATACAGTCACTACATCTTCACAGTAAATCCTGTGAAGCGCATTGAGAAGTCTCGGAGACGTGATGAAGTTCTATATCAAATGCAAGTATTATTATTATTATCGTCAAAACTCCCAAAGGAGATTCACTGATTTCACTGCAGTTGGAAGGTCTTTAGTCCTGGTGTTTAGGATGGTTTGTAATGGAGGCCATTTCAAGCTCTCCAGGACGCTACCCCGCGTGAAGGGCGCTATATTCCAACTGCAAGTTGTTGTTGTACAATGGAAAGCATCCTGAACACTGTAAGTCTGTTGAGACTAATTGTGGCTGTCTGTGTTATCTCCTCAGCTTTTGGATGAGACCAGTCAGATGAGTGACCTGCCGGTGAAGGTGATCCACGTGGAGAGTGGCCGGATACTGGCTGGGGCCGACGCACCAAAGGCCGGCCAGCTGGACACCTGGTTGGAAATGAATCCTGGGTAAGGGACCGTTCTGTTCTGCCCACTGTGCATCGGCACAGACTTTGCTCTGGTTTTGTTCTGGTTTCAGTGCCTTGCTGGTGCTTCCTGTCTCTGTCTCTGTCTCCCCCCAGCTCGGCAGCGGGCTCCACCACTGTCAAGCACTCCGAGACACCGCCCGGCGTGAAGGTTGCTATATAAATGCAAGTTCTTGTTGTCTCTCTCACTCAGTGGCTCAAAGGGGAACTGGAACTCTCTCCCTCAATCCCTCCACATCTCCCTCCCCACCTTCACATCCTGCCTAAAGACCTTTTTGATCTTGCTTACGGTCAACTCCCCTCTCCCTCTCCTCCTGGCTCGGTGTCAGACACCTCCATTGTGAAGCACTCCGGGACGCTACCCCACGTAAAGGGCGCTATATAAATGCAAGTTGTTGTTGTCGTCCCCTTTCTGAGATCTGTTATTTTTTCCGAACAGCTATGAAGTGGCGCCGAGGTCTGACAGCGAAGACAGTGGCTCAGAGGAAGAGGAAGAGGTAAGGGTGAGGGTCTGCGATTGTGCATCAAGATAGCGTGAACTTCATCGCAAAATAATGATCCCCAAATCTGCAACTGCCAGAGAGAAGCGCTCTAGCGAGAGTCTCTACACCAATCTCCCAGAGGAGCTCGAGTCACTTGGCCCCAATTGTCACAACTCTTATACTGGGTGTATTTAAACCTAGACCCATGTCCTACTAACCCTAGCATTTGTTTGCTACAATGATCTGAAACCACTCATTGAGCATCTCACCGGGATAAACCTACTTTTGCCCACAAATATACAGTTAATTCACTTTACAGCATATTCTAGAATATTCTCGAAGACGTGAAAAGCGCTATATCAAATGCAAGGATTGTTTACTTCTCGTCGAAAGTAGTAGCTTTGTGAAGCAATGCTGTAACTTTGGCAGCGAAGCTTTTAAACCCTTGTGACTCCTTGCGAAGTTGTTGAGCAGCAAAAAGGAAAAATTGTTTGAAAAAGTTCCCATGTGGAGAAAGGTGGCAGAGATTCTCCTAATGCGCAATGCGGCAGTCACTGATTCTCGGATACAGTGCTTTTATTTTTTTTCATGAACTGTCTTTAAAATCACGTCAGGATTCCACAGACTGGAGGCTGCTAATCATGTCAGAAGACAGGTCTCACTCTGGACTACTGGTAAGCACTGTAGAATGAGTGTGAAGGGGCTGGTGAATGCACCACCTGCTTCTGTGCTGTGGTTCGAGGCTGGGGTTAGCTCCTCCTGCCCTCGGCCCCAGCACTGAAACTCCTGGATCATTCCCTCCAGCTGTTAATAGTTCACAGTAGATAGTAGTTACAAATAAATGAGAAAAAAGTATAATATATGATAATAATCCTTGCATTTAATACAGCGCCTTATCACGTCTTCGAGACGTCTCAAAGCGCTTCACAGAATATACAGTAAAGTAAATTGACTGTATATTTTGTGGGCGAAACGCGGCAGCCAATTAGACCACCTGTCTCTTCCCAGCCACACAAACCCAACAAAAGCATTCATGTTTCTCACAAATGTTTTGATAACGAAACACAGCTCAGAAAGGCTTGGACACAGGGTGTGCATTGACAATATAACCAGCTAACCGAACAATGCTGCCACACAATCATGGGGAATCCAGCGCCTTGGGACGTCCTCCTGACGTGAAAGGCGCTATACAAACATAATTTGTTGTTGAATCACATCCGTTGTGGCTCTAAAATTGCAGTCAGGATTGCAATGAATGTAACATGGGTGAAGGTGAAGGTGGCTGGGCGCTATATAAATGCAAGTTGTTGTTGTTGGGACATTTCTTTTCCATGAATGTTAACTGTTGTCCCTGCTGGAGGAGCAGTGTTAGTTTTTTGATGGATGAGGCAGTATAAATGGGCTCCTTCGCTGGGATGGTCGACAGTATCAAGCCAGTGATGTCCATGTGACGCTGCTTGGCTCTGGCAACACTGAGGTGCGGGACGCAGGTGATGAAACGCTTCTTGTTTGTGCTCTTTGCCCAGGAGGAGGAGGAGCAGCCACCCCCGCCCCCACCGCCACCGCCCCCCCCACCCTCACCTCCGGCCCCCGAGGAGAAGAAGAAAATCCAGGACCCAGACAGCGAGGACGTCTCGGAGATGGACGCCAGACAGATCATCGAGTGAGTGCGTGTGACTGTGTGTGTGTGAGACAAGCCACACTCTGGCAGAAAGATCTATAGAGACCAAAAGTATTCTCACACATTCTATAATGTGAATAACATCAACTTGCAGGAACGCAAAGCAGGACGTGGATGATGAATACAGCGCTGCCAACTCTAGTATCCGCGGGCTCCAGTCCTACTACGCCGTGGCTCACGCAGTCACAGAGAGAGTCGACATCCAATCCACACTGCTCATCAATGGGCTGCTCAAACAGTATCAGGTAAAACTTCTGTCACTGATCTGTTACTGTGCACTATCTGCATTTCTGTGTGTCTGCGTCTTTGCATATCTGGCACCTTTCTGTGGCTCTGCTCAGGGTATATGGAACTTTTTTTTTTCACCTCTCGGACGTGGGGTATTATCTCTTTGCGTCTCTGCTTGCTGTGCAGGTGAAGGGTCTGGAGTGGCTGGTGTCCCTGTACAACAATAACCTGAATGGAATCCTCGCTGACGAGATGGGTCTGGGGAAAACCATTCAGACCATCGCCTTGATCACTTACCTCATGGAGCACAAACGCATTAACGGGCCCTTCCTCATTATCGTCCCCCTCTCGTGAGTACATGCCACACTCACCCCTAACCCTGACTCTCGCCCTGCGTAACAGCCATGGCTCCCACTGTCTCCAGCACTGACCTGCACTGACACTCACATTGTATTCACAGGACTCTGTCAAACTGGGCCTATGAGTTTGACAAATGGGCACCATCTGTGGTCAGGATCTCATACAAGGTAATTATATAGAGTGTGTAGCTCGAGCACTCACTCTACAAGTTAGCTTTATAGGGGTTTACTGTACAATACTGTGTATCTTATACAATACAAAATTTACACAGCGCCTTTCATGTTGGGAGAACGTCCCAAGGCGCTGTAGGGTCAGGGATTTGGACCCGAGCTTGGGGGTGGGGGGGTTGGGATCAGTGAGCATAGAGGGTGGCCAAAGGCGAGGACTTGCGACATGCCTTGAAGGAGGCAAAGTAGCGAGCGAGGCGAAGGGAATGTGGGATGGAGTCCCAAAGGGTGGGGGCAGAGAGGCCTGAAGGCCCTATAGCGGGAACAATGTTGTGTGATGCGATGGATACCCAGTGAGTGACGGTTTCTGTGCTTCTGGTCTCAGGGCTCACCGGCTGCAAGGCGAGCTTTTGTTCCTCAGCTTCGCAGCGGGAAATTTAACGTGCTGCTGACAACGTACGAGTACATCATTAAAGACAAGCACGTCCTGGCCAAGGTTGGTCTCGGAGCTGGTACAATTAATTGCCCTGTTTGATACCCCGTTTATTTTTTAATTCATATTTTGTGGATTGTTTTGCTTGTCTGTCGTGCTGACCCTGTGCTGTTTAATGAAATCCCGTTCTAACCGCACGATGGTAAGAGCACTCTCTCTAAGAGAAACAGTTGCAGAGAAACAGTTTCCAAACTGAGACTGTTGATCGCTGATGTGATGCTGTGGCTTTTTCCAGATCCGATGGAAATACATGATTGTGGATGAGGGACATCGGATGAAGAACCACCACTGTAAGCTAACCCAGGTACTGAACACGCACTACGTGGCTCCGCGACGACTGCTGCTGACCGGAACGCCCCTACAGAACAAGCTGCCGGAGCTCTGGGCTCTACTCAACTTCCTGCTGCCCACCATCTTCAAGAGCTGCAGCACCTTCGAGCAATGGTTTAATGCCCCTTTCGCCATGACGGGGGAGAAGGTATGCGGGGGGCAGTGGAGGGAGCTGGTGTTGTGGGGGTCTGGTACAAGACTGGTACTCGGGATGCACATAACACTGCAACCCACCCCCTCCCTCTCTCTCTCTCTCTCTCTCTTGCTGACACTGCTCTCTGTGATGCACACACTCTCTCTGACAGCTCTCTGGGACTTGCACTCTCTCTCTCGCTCTCTCTGTGACTCACAATGTGTGTCTCTCTCTGTGCTGCTCTGGGGCAATACTCTGTAATGAGAGGCGCTATGTAACTGCAAGTTATTGTTGTTGTTATTGTTGTTGGTGCAGGTGGACCTGAATGAGGAGGAGACGATACTCATCATTCGCCGTCTGCACAAGGTGCTCCGTCCCTTCCTGCTGAGGCGATTGAAAAAGGAAGTGGAAGCTCAACTGCCTGAAAAGGTAGGAAAACCTGAAGCCACATCCACGCAAACAAGTAAAACCGCATCTTATGCGTCGGGATCCCTGTTAAACATTAAAATAATAATATAACATAATAATCCTTGCATTTGATATAGCGCTTTTCACGTCTTCTCGACTCTCAAAGCGTTTACAGAATAGACTAAAGTGAATTGACTGTATATTTTGTGGGCAAAACGCGTCAGACAATTGCACACCGCAGCGTCCCACAAACATTCGTGGATTGAGTGACCATGAATAATTGAATAATTATTATTATTCTTTTTGAAGGGATTATAACCCCTGGAAAAGCCATCTGCCAATCAACGAACAACTGGGTTCCTACTTACTGCTAGGTAACCAGAGGCGTATGGAGTAAGGAAACTTGCCCAACGCTTCGCCTTGCCGGGAATCGAACCAAGGTCTCTCGCTTGCGAGGCGAGTGCTCTAACCACTGAGCTGCAGGACTCCAGTGTGACATTGGTGCGCATGTTGGGGATGGGGAAGTGCAGGGAGGCATGGCATGGTTCAGGTCTGTCTGACTCTTTCGCTTCTCTCGCAGGTGGAGTATGTGATTAAGTGTGACATGTCGGCGCTGCAGAGAGTACTGTACCGGCACATGCAGGCCAAGGGGGTGCTGCTGACGGACGGCTCAGAGAAGGACAAAAAGGTGTGGAAGCTCTTCAGCTATTCTATATACTGTACGCCTCATACCAATTGTTAAGCTCAGCTCCCATCTGCTTCAGGAGGAGGGGAGGTTAAGAGATACCACGGCATTTTTGGAGGAAGAACAGGGAGTTTCTCCTAATCTCTTGATATCCAAGCGCACTTTGCTTTGAAGAAGTTCCCCAGTATGTGGTGTGCCGTCCGTGTGCGGGGTGCTGTTTATTTTGTGTCCAGCAATTAACTGCTGCATGTAATAATCGCTTTCAGTGTTCATTCTTTCTCTCGTCTCTGTGCAGGGCAAAGGAGGCACCAAGACTTTAATGAATACTATTATGCAGCTGAGAAAGATTTGTAATCACCCCTATATGTTCCAGCACATTGAGGTACGTGTCAGGATGCTGGGTAACAGGCCAGTGGAACTCTATTCTCCTGACGTGAAAGGTGCCATACAAATGTGATTCGTTGTTGTTGATGATTGAAGGTCGTTTGTACATAAACCAGGCAATACAGTAATCACCACTTTAAACATGGTAGGTGTGGGTCCATAAAATACTAACCCGCATTATAATGGGGCACAATTCTCAGCCACCCCCCTCTGCATTATCAAGGAAATGATGTCTCCTACCTGACAACCAATACAATACAATACAAAATGACACTTACACAGCGCCTTTCACTTCAGGGGGACGTCTCGAGGTGCTGGACAGTCAGGCATTTGGAACGGAGCTGGGGGGGGGGGGCTGGGATCAAGGAGGTGGGAGGGTGGCCGAAGGCACGGTCGAAGAGCTGGGTCTTGAGACGTGCCTTGAAGTGGGCAAGGGGGGAGTGAGGCGAAGGGAGTGTGGGATGGAGTTCCAAAGGATAATGGGAAAGTTGGCCATTCTTCAGTTCTGGTTTAGGGTCCAGGGAACATATGCCTCAGAAGCAAATCTGTGTTATAATACAGGTTGTACTGTATGTTGAGTTCACTCTCATTTAAGTCCAATTTATTTTTAAGTCATATTTTAATGCAGAATCCTGATCTCAAATGCCTCCTGCAGACAGCAAATGATACACTTTTCAGAGACAAGAAAGAGTGGAGGTAGATTTCTACACACAGATTATCAGTAAATCTTTTTACTGATGGGTATTAAAGCAGACTAACGCCAGATATTCTGATGTCTACAGTCCACGTGTGTTTATATCTATTTTGTTCTCTCCCTTAATCAGGAATCCTTTTCAGAACATTTGGGGTTTACTGGAGGAATTGTGCAAGGGTGAGTTACAGTCTGCGTGCATTACGTGATGAATGAAAATGAGAGTTGGATAGATCTGGGATTGAAGGGAATGAATCAACTAGAAATTGTGCAGAAATTGCGCCTGCAAAACACAGTCAATTCACTCTACGGTCTATTCTGTGAAGAGCTTTGAGATGTCTTGAAGATGTGATAAGGCGCTATATCGAGTATTATTACAGAATTATAGCGAGTGTGAGCCCAGGCGACGTCACTGACCTGTGTGTTCCTCGCTTGTACAGAGCGGACCTTTACCGAGCGTCAGGGAAGTTTGAGCTGCTGGATCGGATCCTCCCCAAACTGCGGGCCACAAATCACAAGGTGCTTCTCTTCTGTCAGATGACCTCCCTCATGACCATCATGGAAGATTACTTTGCGTATCGTAGCTTTAAATATCTCCGGCTAGACGGTAAGTCAACACCAACAATAACAACTTGCATTTATACGCTAGGGCCCTTCACGCGGGGTAACGTCCCGGAGCACTTAAAGTCACTGATATATTGAAGCTATCAGAAAAGTTGTGGATTCGTCACTTTCTACTTCCCCTCCCACCTGGCTTTCCACGCAGCACCTTCCGGTCGGTGGTGCTGTACTTTGATCTGGGCTGGGTGGTGAGGGGCTGAGGAATTCTTGGCGAGAGGTGTCGGATATGGTTTTAATTTTATGTCTTGAATCGCGCCACCACTGGGTGGTGCTGCCTCTCTGAATAGTCCTCGGTTTCCAGCACAGCAAAGAGGTCCGTCGTGTCTGCGCTGGTGACAGCTTTTGTATTGGGGCTATCTGTTCGAATCTTATCTCCCGCTCTTTCTGCTGCATCCCTGCCGTTCCGTCTCCCTGGCTGAGATGAACTTTCTGTAATGAGGTGCCCAAATGCTTCATCCCCAGTCTACGGTAACAAATGACATTTATGCAGCGCCTTTCACGTCAGGAGGACGTCCCAAAGTGCTGAACAGTGAGGGATTTGGAAACGAGCTGAGGGTTGGGATCAGAGGGGATTGGAGGGCAGAGAAGATAGGGGTAGGAGGATGGCCAAAGGCGCAGTCACTTTGCGGAATAACTGGTTCACCTCCTCTTCCAGGAACCACAAAGTCTGAAGATCGGGGGATGCTGCTGAAAACTTTCAACGAGCCTGGTTCCCATTATTTCATCTTCCTGCTGAGTACCCGCGCTGGGGGGCTGGGGCTCAATCTACAGGCTGCAGACACTGTGGTCATTTTTGACAGCGACTGGAACCCACACCAGGTTGGTACAGGGCGTTTCTCTGGGGATAGGATGGTGGGAGATAAGTCGTTGGTACACATGATATTGGGGAAATGATTCTAAGTTTATAGAAGAGTAAGTTTATATTGGGGTAGTGTATCATCCTTCCCTAGTGCTGGCTGTCCTCTAGGTAAGACCACATCTTAGGCACTGTTACTGGCTATGTATGGCTAATCTTTGATGTTGATGTTCAGCCCAATCTTTATTGCTGAGGAGAGGATGAGGCACCTCGTTTTGGGCTGTGACTTAAGCTGGAGCAGGTGCCTCTAGTAAGAAGGATATCATGGGAGGGGAGAGAGAGGCACACGGCAGTTGCTTTGGTTGTAAGTGGGTGCGTTTCCCTGTTCAGGACTTGCAGGCCCAGGACCGGGCACATCGAATCGGACAGCTGAATGAGGTGCGTGTGCTGCGGCTGTGCACAGTGAACAGCGTGGAAGAGAAGATCCTGGCAGCAGCCAAATACAAGCTGAACGTGGATCAGAAGGTCATCCAAGCTGGAATGTTTGATCAGAAGTCCTCCAGCCACGAGCGCCGGGCATTCCTGCAGGCCATCCTGGAGCATGAGGAACAGGATGAGGTGAGTGTGAATACAAGTCCACAGATAGCAGCCTCTAGACAGCACATTCCCCTCCCCCCGGACAGTCCTGTAGCTCATTGGTCATAGCACTGGCCTTGGAAGTGAGAGGACCTGGGTTTGATTTACGGCAGGGCAAAACGTTGGCCAAGTTTCCTTACTCCCCACGCCTCTGTTGACCTAGCAGTAAATAGGAACCCGGTTGTTAGTCAATTGGCAGATCACTTTTCCAGGGGTAATAATCCCTTAAAACAAATAGTAATAGTAATTTGGTCACTCAATCCATGACTGTTTGTGGGACAGTGTTGTGCACAATTGGCTGCCACGATTCACCCATAGACTATACGGTCAATTCACTTTACAGTACACTCTGAAGCGTTTTGAGACCACTCGAAGATGTGATAAGGCGCTGTATCAAATGGAAGGAATATTATTATTATAATAAGCTTCACTCACATTTGCATTTGTGATTCCTGTCTGTGTTTTAATCAGTGATACCACGAGAGTTGGGAACTTTTGTTTCAATGAGGAATTTGGAAATGTCACCACCATTTGTCTCCCCTCTCCCCGGGTGATTTTACCCAGTGGTCTATACGCTATGATAGGTTCTAACCGACAGTTCTTCACATGTAATGATTAATGATCTGAACAGATAAAGAAATAACGTGATTGAATTTTTTTTGCAATAAATGCAGTGTGAAGTCGTGAGCGCAGAGGTGAAAGGATCTGATGGACACACAGTAAGTACAATCCTTTCTACTTATTTTCTTTAAACTCTCGCCTGTATCCCAACACAACCCTGTTCCTTTGAGATGATAAACGCGATTAGGACAGTGTCTGCTATTTGTGTGCAGAGATGGGAGCGGTGGCATTATTTTCTGTTGGTGCTGTTTCATGCCAACACAGGGTGTCTGTTCTGTTGATTTATAGGGTTAGGTTCTCACTGGGTAAAATCCCCCCGGAGAGGGGAGACAAATGGTGGTGACATGGGATATACCTTGAATATATGCTGGAAAAGAGGAAGGTTTGGGGTATGTGAAATGAACGGGAGAGTGGGATTAGACGAGGTGGCTCTTGAGGAGGAAGTCACGAAGGTCATTTATCAATGGTCACCATTGACAGTGACAGATCTCTGAGATTTTTAATGGAGTTGTGCTCCTGTATCAGGCCATGGGCTGGTCGCTTCCAGCCTGCTTCTCTCTAGGTTGCCCTTTGCCAGGTCTCAAAAATTGGAATCCAGCAGAAAGGAGGCATATGGGTCAGCGTCCTGTCCTGCCTCTGACAAATGGGTTGTTAAGTATTGTGGAGTCCTGTAGCTCAGTAGTTAGAGCACTCGCTTTGCAAGCGAGAGACCTGAGTTCAATTCCAGGCAGAGGGCGAAAACTTGGGCAAGTTTCCTTACTCCACACAGAGCCTAATAATAATCCCTCCAAAACCAAAAACAATAATAAATTGGTCATTTTCAATCTACGACTGTTTGTGGGACATTGCTGTGCGCAATTGGCTGCTGCGTTCGCCCACAAATATACAGTCAATTCACTTTACAGTGTGTTCTGTGATGCGCTTTGGGACGTCCTCCCGACGTGAAAAGCGCTATATCAAATGCAAGGATTATTATTATTATTATAAGTAGGGGATGGAAGAGGAAATAACAGGGAATAATGAACAAGATAGAGTTCAGAAAATAAAACGTTGCCTTTGTTGTCAGCTTATGTATTCTGTGAAGCGCTTTGAGGTATCTTGAAGACGTGAAAAGCGCTATATCAAATGCAAGGATTATTATATTATAATATATTTTGAATCGAGGAATTAAAATTCAATTTATTGATTACATTCCGTGCCCACTGTAAGCCACTTGTCTATAACCGTCTCTATTACTAAATATAACTGTTATAACCTTCAGTTATAACACTCTCTATTGCACACACTTCAGTTACTACATTCTGTTACCCACACCTCAGTTATAACACTCTGTTTCACCATTCCCAGATATTAGCTCACTAATTCTTTGACGTGTCCAGCTTCCCTTCCATTCGGATACATTTAGTTAAGTCGCCTTCTAACTGCGTGTTCAGAAAATCTGTTTTTGTATGTGAATCTGAAGCTCCTGTGTCCAGGGGGGCTCTGTGTGTAGTCATACTGACAGTGGTTTGATGTGAATGGGGTCTGTCAGTGAGGAGCTCCTCCAGTTTCTGCAGCCTGCTACATTGGCTCTCACCAGCTGTTGTGGCATGTGAATGATTGGGAAGGGAGAGCTATTTGAGTATATATTCTCTCTCTGGCCTCCAGAGCAGTCTGTCTTATACTCTAGATGATAAGACAAGGAATCAGATCTGATTCTCTCCTTGTGCCAAGCAGTCAGGGGGAGCCAGAGCGTTGTATACGCCTCAACATCCATCTTATAAATTGAGTTTTCTATCCCTTCCCAGAGCTGGCTTAGATTCTGAAACCTGCCACAACAGTGTCCAGGTATACCAGCTACCAGCATGTAGTGTGGAGACTTAATTGCACAAGTCCATCTTGAAATCACACCGTGTAATGAGTTTGTTTAATATGTTGTGTGAGCTATCAAATTATTAATATACTGATATGGCTGCTGATATGGCTTTACTCACAGAAGTTGGGGAGAAGGTAACAAATCAGCTGTGCCTCCAGATTACTCCCTCTCCTCCCCTAGTCTTCCCTCTGGTGGTCTTCACAGTCCTTCCTGCACGCTGCTCATTGTGAGGATATTATTTGAGGAATTGGCTATAGTTGTGTTGGGATTTCCAATTCCGAGAGTTCGAAATATGACCCGACAATCCAAAATGGTGCAATAATTATTTTATTATAAGACAGTGAGCTTAATAATGTGTAAAGAAGAGCATACCACTGGTTAATCCATGTAGAACAAAAGTGGAAGAAAATTTCTTGGCTGTCGTCACGCGCTTGCCCTGGTTTCGCTGGTGTAATTCCCTCGCTCCCCTCCTGCCAGTCAGGCCCAACTGACATCTCTCTCTCTCTCTCTCTTCACTACTTATACCCTTTTCTGGACTCTAGCCAGATACCTTCTTCCCGTTCACAACTTGTCCTGCACGTACTCATCCTAATCACTCATTGGCCTGGCGCCAGCCTGATCGGTGTTGATAAAGTGAGTCGCCATTGTCTTGTCTACAAGTCTACTCCTTATCTTCCTAGGCCTAACACATGATGTTTTGCAGACCTTTTCTCCATGTCTAGCTGGTACCCAAGGTTACATTAACACTTAGCAAAGTGCACTATAGAGAGAGGAGCGATAACGGGCACCGTGGTTCCAGCCTGTGCCACATTCCGTTAGTAAGAAAGCTAATTTTCACAGTCCTTTTGACCTGTTAATACAATTAATTAAACATATCTTAAATGAATGGATATAAAAAAATCTTGTTCTATTCTTGACCTCTTCGCTGGTCTTCCTAGCTCCACCATAGACAATATTATTATTATTATATTATTAAATGTAATTAAAACTCCGCCGCCTGGATACTCACTTGCACAAAACTCCATATCCCCATCACACCAGTCCTTGCCAGGCTCCACTGGCTCCCAATTACCGAACAGATTGATTTTAAGATCCTCTCACTCACTCGTTTTCAAAGCCCTTTATGCCCTCACACCTCCCTACCTCTCCGACCTGCTTACCACCCAACCCACAACTCGCTGCCTCCACTCGACTGGGTCTGGCCTCCTGCATGTCCCTTGTGCCTTCCGTTCCACCGTTGGTGGCCGTGCTTTCAGCCACTACGCCTCAAAACTCTGGAACTCAACCGCTCCGAGATGAGACCCCGCGTAAAGGCCACTATATATTTATAAATTGTTGTTGTAGTTGTACCGAAGCCTTGTTACTTCCTTCATGTAACCTTTAATCTGCCAACATCTCATTGTAGGAGGAGGATGAGGTCCCAGATGATGAGACCGTCAATCAGATGATAGCCAGAAGTGAGGAGGAGTTTGAGCTATTTATGGTGAGTAACCAGTGTGGCACATTACCTTGTGCATTGCCATATAGATGGGAATTACATGGTTGTTAACGGGTGTGTGATTTGCTTAGAGGATGGATCTGGATCGTCGCCGGGAGGAGGCAAGGAATCCCAAACGAAAGCCTCGGTTGATGGAGGAGGACGAGCTTCCAAACTGGATCCTGAAGGATGATGCCGAGGTGGAGAGGCTGACGTGCGAGGAGGAAGAGGAGAAGATGTTCGGCCGAGGCTCGCGGCAGCGTAAGGAGGTGGATTACAGCGACTCCCTAACTGAGAAACAATGGCTCAAGGTAGGAGTGTGAGTGCGTGGGAAAGCAGCCATGCTAGGCGCTCCCACACACACAATAATTTGCAGTTTTACTTTCAGATGCACCAAGGACAAGTGTAGGGACAGAAACCAGGAAGTATATCTACACGTAAATGGGAATAAACAGGTGGGACAGAAAGGGTGGTTGAAGTCAGGACTTTGAACTCACTTAAGCAATAGATGGATTCAATCATTTAAAGATGGCAGGGTAGGGATTCTGGAAGAATGAGATAAAAAGGGTCTTCTTGATCCAAATACTCTTGTGGTCTTATAAAGCCCGATCCAAGAAATCTCTGCATCCAAACTATGTCTCGATAAGATTGTTCAAGCGACTTTCTGGAGGCTCGTCCCAGAGGGGTGAATTTACATTCACATTTATGATTTTAAAAAAAAGAGTGAAATGTAAGAAGTGAGATGGTAGAAGATTCTCAAGTTAAAGACTTTTTCTCTATGGCTAATGATTCTTTCCTGTGATTGTGGCAATGATTCCTTGCATTTGCTCCGTCACCAGCAGAAGTCGGTGGCTTCAGGAGAGGAGGGCAAATACAGGTCAACAGAAAAAGAGCTATGAACTTGCACTTCACACCCTCCGCAATCTGAACGAGGCCTCAGAAAGGATGGGTTTCATTGTATTGCTCTCTCGTACAGGCCATAGAAGAGGGCAATTTGGAGGAAATTGAAGAGGAAGTCCGTCAGAAGAAAGCCCGCAAGCGTAGTAAGCGAGACGTCGACCCACCGGTGGTCATGGCGACCACGAGCACACGCAGCAGCAGGGAGAAGGACGACGATGAGAAGAAGAAGAAGAAACGAGGCCGGCCGCCCGCAGAGAAGCTGTCGCCCAACCCACCCCATCTCACCAAGAAGATGAAGAAGACTGTAGATGCAGTGATCAAATACAAGGACAGGTTAGTGATGTTCCATGCAGGACACGGAGTTCTTTCTTGTGAGATTCATCACCTCATCTGCATCTTAAACACAGTGTTACCATATTTTGTGTTGGTTGCCGGCATCTGATGGTGTCCTCCTCATTTTTGCGGCATTCTGTAGCTTAAGTGGTTAGAGCACTCGCCTCGCAGGTGAGAAGACCGGGGTTCAAATCCCGGGCAGGCAGGGCGAAACGTTAGGCAAGTTTCTTTACTCCACACGTCTCTTGTTTCCCTAGCAGTAAGTAGGAACTTGGTTGTTAGTCGATTGGCGGATTGCTTTTCCGGGGGTAATAATTCCTTCAACACCAATTAAATAAATAATTGGTTACTCAATCCACGTCTGTTTGTGGGACATTGCTGCGCTCAATTGGCCGTCCACAAAATATACGGTCAATTCACTTTACAGTATATTCCGTGAAGCGCTTTTTTGACGTCTCGGAAGACGTGATCAGGCGCTATATCAAATGCAAGGATTATTATTTTATGCCTCACTATCAGCTTGACTTGTTCTCCACTGTGTGCCTCAGGTGCCTTTATTGTGTGCCTCAGTGAGTGAAACAGAATTTGTTCTGTTTTAAAGCAATACAGGTCGACAGCTAAGCGAAGTCTTCATCCAGCTTCCATCTCGCAAGGAGCTGCCGGAATATTACGAGCTCATCCGCAAACCTGTTGACTTCCGAAAAATCAAGGTACTGATTTCTGTTACACTTGTGCTCACCCATATTGGCTCAGTTTCGTTCAGTTAGTAACACTGAGTCAGAAGGTTGTGGGTTCGAGCCCTTGTCAGGACTTTCAGTGCACTCAGCAGTAATGAGTCTCTGAAAGAGTTACGTACCTCCCAGAAAGCAAGCTTTGCCCTACATCCACCCATCTGCACAGGTGCTGCAGCTGAGACTTTGATAGAGAGGGGTTTATATGATCCAACTGACAGTGTTTTCTCTGTAGGAAAGGATCCGCAATCACAAGTACCGCTGCCTGAATGACTTGGAGAGGGATGTGATGCTGCTGTGCCAGAACGCACAGACCTACAACCTGGAAGGATCTCTGGTCAGTAACACGATGCCGTTTCTTGTGCCATTTGACAGTGACTGTTCATCTGTTTAGCAGAACAATTTAATCACAGAAATGATGTTGTGCCCCTATTCATCAAATCACACACAATGGAAAAGCAGTGAATACACAGCATTGTGTTTCTGTATGACTCCCTCCATCCGTTTGGCTACACTGCTCCTTGTTTGTGCGAGATACATAAATGATGCACACTAGATGGCTTTCTACTAGTTTGGAATATGCAGAAATATATTCAGTTCCTTACTTTTCCATCCAGATACATTTTTTCCCCAGAGGACATGAAAAATGTGGCTTTCATCAGCTGTGTCTGAAGTAATCTCATCCAGAGAATGGTAGTTGGCAGGGTGCCTCCTGACCTAAAGCTAAGGGGATTAAGTGAGGGGATCTGACATTTTGTCCTTTTTTTTGGAAAAGGTCTGTTAATTGAGATGGGAAACAACAGACCAATTGACAGTGACTGACACTTTCTGTTTGTTTCTTAACAGATCTACGAAGACTCGATTGTGCTGCAGTCTGTCTTCACCAGCGTGAGGCAAAAAATTGAGAAAGAGGAGGACAGTGAAGAGGACAGTGAGGAAGGAGAGGAAGAGGAGGAAGAGGGCTCGGAATCTGAATGTAAGACTTTGGGGGGAGTTCTGTTTCACTCACTGCCATGGTAGTAAAAAAAANCTTTCAAATTAAGACTGAGTTTAAGGTTTTTCCACAATTCTGTGTGATCTACAATTTTGTAGGACTTGGACTTCCAAGCTAAGACCAAGTGGAACTTTAGGCCTCAGTCAAGTGCAGGATCAGCCTATGCTATGATGTCCTCCCACCCCCAGGCTCCCACATAATAATAATAATAATCCTTGCATTTGATATAATGCTTTTTCATGCCTTCGAGACGTCGCAAATCGCTTCACAGAATATACTGTAAAGTGGAGTGATTGTATATTTTGTGGGCGAAATTAAGCCAACATTTTGCCGACACTGCGATAAATATTGTGGCGGCGCCCGCTAATCTTTGTTGCCATTCACCGAAAAAGAGTCAGATGAGAGGGAAATTTTTTTTTTAAATTCCCTTTTGACAAAAGGTTCATGTCTGGGCATCACAGCCTTCCAGATACTGTCAAAAGCCAGAACTAGGAGGCTGGTTACTGTATACTCACACGTCATAACCTCTCTCTTTTTCTCCCTCTCACTCATTCAGCTCGCTCAGTGAAAGTGAAGATCAGGCTGGGCAGGAAAGAGAAAGGATCAGATCGAGTGAAAGCTCGCAAGAGGTCGAGCCGTATCTCCAAGTCAAAGCCTATTGTCAGTGATGACGACACAGAAGACGAAGTAGATGAGGTGAGAGGCACTACCTGAGCACATTGTGGAGTCATGATGAAATATTATAAGACTCATAAACCGCTCTACCTTCCAACTCTTTCGGGAGGAAATCCACATCACTATCACAAGCAACAACACTGCCCCACCGCCCCCGACCTCTGACATATCATCTGGACATATTGCTGACAGGACTAGATCCCCTGTAGCCTGCGCACTTGCTGAGTTTTCATCGCTCATTGTGGTGAGCTGATGCCAACTCCTTGCCCTGTGAACATTGGGGAGAAAACATCTATGGGTTACTGACATTCATGGCCTGTGCCCAAGGAGTCTGTTTTGTTTTGCTTTGCCCGGGAATCGAACCCAGTTCCTCTCGCTTGCGAGGCAAATGGTTTCAACAGACTCCAGTCAGCCTATAGAGGTACTGCGAGAAACTTGTAGCATATTCAGAATCTCATGAATTTCCGAGCTGGGAATTGGAATTCTCCCATGACTTGGGAGTCACCAGGAGTTGCAGGCAGAGGCCTCGAAATTTTAGGGCTTGAGAGGAAAAAAAAGAATTTGATTTCTGAACAGAAATGAACTGAAGGAAGCAAAACGCTTTTCTTTAAAACAAATCGTTGCCATCCCAGGTGATTTATTTATTGAATCTTTATGTGTGCTTTGTCCTCCAGGATCGCTCGGGCAGTGGGACGGAAGAAGATTAACGTTGGGAGATTGTCCTGGGTGTGGATCTATGCTGCTGGCTCTGCTTGAAGCGCAGGAGTGAACCAGCGGCGTTGCGTTCTGCCCGTCAGCTAGCGATGTAGTGTACGTTTTTTTAGCATACCATGTAAACTTGCATATTTATAGCAGGAGAGAGAGGAAGGCATGTAGGATTAACGACTTAGTGTCTCCGATGTCGAAGCCGGTAGTGTTCACAGTGGCATTAACTGCACAAGTCTTTTCTGAGCTGCCATTTTTGTACCAGAATTCGTTCATTCCGACCGCGCTGAGTGGCGCAGCTGCTAACTTTAGGTGTGTTGTGATTTAATTCTAGTTTTGGTTCCTGCTGAGATTGTCGTACTGTGTAATATATATCCATCAGGTTAATTGTTAAATTAATCAAATTAACCGAACGGGGACAGCAGTCAGCGTTGAATGGGTGACTTTGACACTAACTTGCCCCGTAAATACATCATTTGACCGGACGGACAGCCAGTGCGCATCATCCTGTACAAACATTATGACTTGAGAAAGTTCGGCAAAGAAATTAGAAATTTGGGAACTTTTTAAAAAATATATATTTCCTTTCTCCATGCGAGCGCAACCAGTCAGTCAGTCACACGCAGTGCCTGCCTCATTGTAGTGTGGCTTGTGTAAGCATGTGTGTAGGAATTCACTCCATTACTGTACTGTATTTTAAACAGGTCAAACCGCCCCCCACCCTTCTCTGCACCCACAGGAAAATCATGTACCATCACTGAAGCTCACGATTACCATGGAATAAAATACTTGACTGTGTCTGACGTGTATTATCGCCTCTAAATTAAATCAATGCTGCTTAAACTATTATAGAATTTAAACCAATATTCTGGCAGCATTCTGCAGGCGCATTGTTGACCATAAGCTATAGAGGCAGACTGTGATGAGCAAACACTCGCTGTTTTCAGCATTGCTGGGATGTGTGAGTGGATGTTTGTGGCTAGAGTTGAATATGGCAACAATAATAATCTTTGCATTTGATAAATCGTCTTCAATGTTGAAACATCTTAGAGTGCTTTATATTCAATGTCACTTTTTTCATGTCCTCTCGACATGAAAGGCACCATACAAATGTAATGTTGTTGTTGCTGTTTTGAATATCAAGGGTCTTCCCTTTTGTCTAATACAAATTAGTGGTTGAGAGCAACTTGGGGCTGGTGCCACTGTTTCCTGCTGCAGTTATTCCTGATCAGAGCACTAGATCTTAATGTTCTGAAATAACTGCAAGCATTTATCAGAAGAGCAAGACCTCAGTACTGTGGTTATTGCTATGATAAATTCCGCACTGTGAAAAGTCCCCTGGAAATGGGGAGACTTTTTGAAAAGGAAATTTGTGGAGTTCAATTCCCAGCAGGGTGAAACCTTGGCCAAGTTTCCTTATTCCACATGCCTGATAATAATCCTTCAAGAGAAAAGTATAACAATAATAATTTGGTCACTCGGTCCACGACTGCTTGTGGGACACTGCTGTGTGGAATTGGCTGCCGCGTTTCGCCCACAAAATATACAGTCAATTCACTTTACAGTGTATTCTGTGAAGCGCTTTGTGAAGTCTAGAAGACGTGAAAAGCGCTATATCAAATACAAGGATTATTATTAATAATACATTTCAGCTTCTCAAAGCTATTTCGTCATAGCAGCTCCGAGTGTATGTCTGAACTGTCTCACGGGGGGTGGGGAGGAGGAAGGAAACCTGCCGATTCCTGGCAGGGTGAAACCTTGGGCAAGTTTCCTTACTCCACACGCCTGCTAATAATCCCTCAAGAGAAAAATATAATAATAATTTAGTCACTCGATCCACGACTGTTTGTGGGACACTGCTGTGCGCAATTGGTTGCTGCGTTTCGCCCACAAAATATACCATCAATTCACCTTACAGTGTATTCGGTGAAGTGCTTTGAGACGTCTAGAAGACATGAAAAGCGCTATATCAAATACAAGGATCACTGTTTATTATTGTTTTATTTGACAATGTAACAAGATTATTATTAATACATTTCAGTTTCTCAAAGCTATTTCGTCATAGCAGCTCCGAGGTATGTCTGAAATGTCTCACGGAGGGTGGGGAGGAGGAAGGAAACTTGTTCATTGTTTTTCAAAAGGAGCTTTATTGTGACCAGTGGGGCTGTGGAAAGTGGCCCTCCCAGATGAATTTCACATCAATTTGGGATAAATACCTCATCCCACAGAAGATGGGGTATTATATTTCCCTGACACTGTTGGGACAAAGTCCTAAACTCCCTCGAGTGGTATCAGCACCCCAGGGTTTCAAACTAAAATACTCACACCAGTTTAAAATTAAGTGACCAAAAGAGCTTGTGAACTTTAAAATTTACTTTGTTTTTGTTCCGTCCACTATGGTTTGTAGGAACAGGAACAGGCCATTCAGCGCCTCGAGCTGTTCCGCTGTTCTATTCAATCATATTAGCTCATGGCTGATCTAAACTCCAATTTTAAACATTAAACATTACAGAGATGTTAATGGGGCCCTGGTAACCTATCCGTCGGCAGCTGAGTTGTGTTGCCTTTTGAAGCAACTCTAGGCTGCTTCAGTAATCGCACTCCCTTTCTCAACCCCCCCGCAAACCGCCCACCTCCCCCCCCCCCGACTGCCCCACGCTACACATTTCCTCCTAAACCACGTGTGAAGGAGGGCAGGGTTTAAAGTGGCCTGATCAAGCTGAATCATAAAAGTCCCTCCCACATTCATCCTTGCCCTCCCACGGGAGTCTATGTGTACTTCTAGCACAAGCCCTTGTGACTGCAAAGAATTTAAAGAATTCCTTCTCTTAATGGGGCTCGAGGTGTCACTTTGAGTGTCAGTAATGTCTGCAAATGTAGGGGTTCAAACACAAAACCAGCCTCGCCCACATTTCGTTTCATTGATCCCCGCATGCCAGCAATCTTACTGGTAAAGTCCCCTGTTGTGTGTCGATCATGATGACCACTTGCAGTCTGTTTCCAAACATCAGAGTTCGAGGATTAGTATTTCCTAGTGAGTACCTCTAGTTCTTTAGACTGCATTTGTTTCATCCACAAAAAATATACAGTCAATTCACTTTACGGTATATTCTGTGAAGCATTTTGAGACGTCTTGAAGATGTGATAAGGCACTATATCAAATGCAAGGTTATTATATTGAACGTAGATGAAAAAGCAGGAAAAAAAATAGAAAAACTCCTTTTTTGGTATGTGGTCTGAGGTGTGAGTCCCAAAGATGGCTCAGAAAGACTTGGAATGGTATGATCCATAATGTCACTCAAAAGATCAAGTACATAACCTTGGGAGTATGTGGATTGATAGTTCATTGGCTGTGGAGATGTGGCCAGCTCAAACAATCTGTCTATAGGTTTCCATCAAAAGGGAGGAGCTGCTCAGTAGTGTATAACTTATGCCAAGAAATGCTTGTCAAGTGTGTTTAGTCCTAATCATAATAATAATTCTTGTATTTGATACACTACCTCATCATGTCTTCGAGACGTCTCAAAGTGCTTCACAGAATATACTGCAAAGTGGCGTGACGACGTTTTGCGGGCAAAACGCGGCAGCCAATTGCACACAGCAGTGTCCCACAAACAGTCGTGAATTGAGTGACCGAGTTTTTTTTGTAGGGAATTGTTACCTCCGGGCAAGCAATCTGCCAAGCGACTTAACAACCAGGTTCCTACTTACTGCTCGCTAAACAGAAGCTTGTGTGTGGAGTAAGGAAACTTGCCCAACATTTTTGCCCTGCAGGGAATGGAACTGAACTGAACCCAGGTTTCTCGCTTGAGAAGCGAGCGCTCTAACCACTGAGCTACGGGTCAACGGTTGATGCTGGGGAGTGACCGTACGTTTTGCAGACGAAACGCGGCAGCCGATTGCGCGCAGCGGTGTCCCGCGGACAGCTGTGGATTGAATTATTATTTACATTTTAATTCTACGAAAAGGGATTATTAACCCCTCGAGAAAAGCAATCCGCCAATTGACAGCCGGGTTTCCTACTTACTGCTGAGTAAGTAAGTAAGTAAGAGGCGCGTGGGGAGGGGAAGAGGGGAGTAAGGCAACCTGCCCCAACGTTTCGCCCGCCTGCCCGGACAGGAATCGAGCCGGAGTCCTCTCGCCCCGCTCGACCGACAACGATAAGCCGGGTCACCCGCTCCACCACCACCGGCGCAGTCGGCCGCCGGCGACGGCTCGCCCCCACGGCGCGGACCGCGGCTGCTCCTGCGTTAACCGCGCGCCGCCCGCGAAGCGCTTCGGGGCGTCTCGGGAAGAGGTGACAAAAGCCGCCGTGGCGAATGCGAGGATTATTATTAAGATGATGATGAAGATGATGACTCCCTCCCAGGCCTCTGGCACTCTTTCTCCCACACCCCCTCCCCCCCCCCCTCGGTAGGGAGGATTAAAAAAAAGCGATGGTTATGGCAGGTATCTGGAGAATGTGAGTGAGTGAGGGAGTGAGGGAGTGAGTGTGTGATGATGAGGGAGTGTGTGATGATGAGGGAGGGAGGGAGGGCGGGCGGGGGAAGTGGGAAGGGCTGAGGCCCCAAGCTCCGCCCGGTTATAATCACACCACTCGCTTCGCGCTCATATACTCGGGAATGAGAGGCGGCGCCGCCACTCAACCGTACACACACACACGCTCACACGCTGACTATCACCCCACTACAGACCGACCCGACCGACCGACCGCTGCTATGGAGAGACTCCGCGCTCTCGTCCCGCTGCTGCTGCTGATCACCGTTACCTGCCTCTCGCCGCCGCCCGCTGACGGGGAAGGTGAGTGGAGTTGCGCGCCGTCCGCGTCAAATGCGATGCTTCTGCCGACAGCGCGAGCGCGAGCGCTCCCTCTCACTCCCCCCCACCCCCCCCTTCCCGTGTCCCGCGCGAGCGTCGACCGTTGACGGTTGACCGTTGGGCAGCGCGAGGGGCTCGAGCTCCATCCTCATCCGTGCGATTTGCGCAGCGTGACCCCGGGGGTCGGGGTCGGGGGGGGGAGAGAGAGAGAGAGAGCGAGCGATGCAGAATCGGACCGATCCATCCCGTGCCCCGCGCTGCATTTACAGCCGCCGCCGCCCCCCCCCCTTTTTTTTAAATTTCGTTATTCGGTTTGAATCGTTTAAAACGCCGGGACGGGACCCGGCGCTTTCCATCAATGGAGCTGGCGGCTCCGCGCGAGCGGCCGCTGATTGGCTGGCCCGCGATCTGCCGATGCCCAGGCCGCGCCCTCCGACCAATGGCAGCTCGGGTTACGCCGGGGTGGGCGGGTGGGGGGGGGAGGGCCAGGAGTCGCGCGCCGCCCGCGCCCCCAACCCCACCCACCCCCCCCCCCCGGTGGATGCCGGGAGTTGTATGCGGTCCGCCTGGTGCATGCCGGGAAATGGAGGCGGCCCGCCTGGGTTGGACGTGGGGAGTGGGGGGGGGTTGCAGCCGCCGCCATTTTATGCATCAGGGAATGCAACTGACGCTCTTCAACCAGGAGCCAAGTGTCACTGACCCCTCCTCACCCACCCACCACCTCCACTTTGCTGCCTGATGTACTGCGATCGGATGCCTTTACCACCGAGACCCCCTGCATTTGCCTTCGAGACCGCCTCGAAGCGACACGCGGGGACACGTTGCAAAGTGTAGTGACTGTGCGTTTTGCGGGCGAAACGCGGCAGCCGATTTGCGCACGGCCGAGTCCCGCTGTGGAGGGAGTTGTTCTTTGTCGAAGGGATTATTTACCGGCCCCTCCCGCCACCCCCCCCCACCCACCCCAGGAGAAGGTCCGTGCCCATGGGCGCTGTTGGAAGCTCTTGGGTTGGGTTTTCTCAGGGTTTCCGGTCGTGATCCTGTGGGCTAAGCTGTCGACGTCGCAGCTCGTGTGGGTGGTAGACGGAGACCGGGCTCAGACCAGAACGACTGGGGTACCCCAGGGGTTCCTGCCAATGCTGGCCATTAAGATTGGTCAGTTGGGTGTGGTCCTGGAGGTTTGCCTGGGTGCAGCACCCATTGGATCGCATCTTCCGCAGAAGGAAACGAGGGGAGTGGGTTTCTCATTTTCTTTGATCACTTCCTTTATCAATACCAAATACAGAGCCACATGTGGTTTATTTTTTTAAGAGAGAATTTACCTGCCTCTTTGGTCATCTTTTCTCCCCCCCCCCCCCCCCACCCCCAGAGCACCTGCCCTCCTGATTTGGGTGCCCACTCAGCTGTGTAAAGCTCCTTGAGAAGTCCTCCTGATGTGAATTGTGCTATATAAATGTATATTGTATGGCAGTGGATGGGGGAAAGTCTCATTAATGTACCCATATGGAACTTCCATGTTGCTACCTCTATTCTTGGGAGTTCAGTATCAAATCAATCAGCTAATTCCCCCCCCACTGGACATACATATCTTTAGTTTGCACTAAATCTTTACAACAACAACAACAACAACAAGATTCCATTTATAGAGCGCCTTTCACGTCAGGAGGACGTCCCAAGGCGCTGCACAGTTGGGTCATGACCCGAGCAGGGGGGAAATGGTCAGGGTGAGGGGAGGGAAGGGAGGGAGAGAGGAGGGGGGAAATGGTCAGGGTGAGGGGAGGGAAGGGAGGGAGCGAGGAGGAGGAAGAGAGTCGAGAGGGGAGCTGAAGGCACGGTCAAAGAGAAAGGGTTTTACAAGGGTTTATCTGCACTGTAGGCTGCCTGGTGACTCCAGTTTATTACTTCTTGCTAATTGAGTTGCATTTTGTTCAGCGTGTCACTCCACTCTAATACTCAGAAGAGACAGACAAGCCACTCCTTTTGTAACATGAGACATTAGTAGCTTAGGATTGGCTGTTTGTATGGTACGATTGGGCTGTCTCTTGAAACTCAGCTGACCTTAAGAAATTCCTGTTGACAAATGGTGTTCAAGATCCTGGTTACTCAACCCAGCCTGGTCAGCAGTGGTGGGCAGGGCAGCCACCTGAGCGGAGCAATCAGGCGAGCAAACATCTCGAAATAGACGAATAGTTTTTGGTGGGAGTTAGTTTGCGGCTTTGGAGTTGAAAGACGAATGGTGGAACGTCGCGTGTAAGATTGTAATTAAACACGAAGAGAGGAGGGGGTGACAGTGGAGGCATCCAGAACCACAGTGATTGAACTGCGATGTTAAATACATATATCGGGTGCTGACACATTATCACGAAGAGCACCAAATCAACAGTGGAAACCCAACATTCTGCTCCATTCAGTAATCCCACTAACACCAACTGCCTTTGACTGAATGGAGTTTGTGATTGGTGTATAGGACATTATAATACAATACAAATTTATATTTGTATAGCGCCCTTCCATGTCGAGAGGACGTCCCAAGGCGCTGGATAGTCAGGGATTTGGACCTGAGCTGGGTGGGTTGGGATCAGGGAGGGTGGGAAGGTGGCTGAAGGCGGGGTTGAAGAGGAGGGTCTTGAGATGTGTCTTGAAGGAGGCAAGGGAGGGTGAGAGGGGACGGGAATGTGGGATTGGTGGGGGCGGAGAGGCTGAAGGCCTGACCGCCGAGGGTGGGGTGGGCTGGGCCGGGCGGGCGAGGTGGAGCAGGCCAGAGTCTGCTGAGTGGAGGGAGCGGACAGGTTGGTAAGGGGTTAGTAGGTCACAGTGGGGCAGGGGCGAGGCCATGGAGAGACTTGAGGCGAGGTTTATATAACACGGTCTTCCTATGGCACGTTGTCCATTTACAACTCTCTAGTAAGCAGACGACAGTTAATACGCGGGGAGGGAGGGGAGGATGCGGAGTGAAGAAATGTGGCAAAGCCCGAAATGTATGTAATGTGCTGGACTTCAACTTCCTCTGCACTAGAAGTTGGCAGCGATACAGGACTATCGCTCTGCTCTCTGTTGTAAGAAAACTCTTTGACCATGACTTCTCAATGCTGAAGCTTTCAAGCACATTGTGCTGCGATTGGATGTGTTTGGATAGCTGCCTTGTCAGGTGGCTGCTCTTGAATTGACTTCAGTTAGTTGGGTTGTTTGCGCTCGGGGAGGTGGGGGCCGGGTGGGGTCTCTTTCTTCTTTTCCCCCCCCCTCCCTCCACGTACAAAACCCCCTTTAGGTAAATCCCAGCGTCGAATGGCTAAATAGGGAAAAGGCAACCAGAGGCAGATTGAGCCATCATTGGGGTCTAGGAAGCAGGAACGAAGGTTTTCTGTGACTTTTGTTATGTAAATTGCAGCTTTTGTCCGTTTCGGTTTCGAGAAAGGTTCAGGCAAGACTCAGGGTGGAAAAAGTGAAAAACCCAGGGAAATTTTAGTTTGTCAAACTCTTGTTTTTTCCCCTTCACGGCTCACTTGTTTTGCAAATTTACTGACTCAACGACTAAAGGGATGTATGTGAGAGGCGAAGCAATCAGCCTTGGATTAGTGCCAAACGCTGATTACTAGCACTCCGAGGTGACGTCTGACGTGAAGGAAGGGCACAATATAAACGCAATTTGGTGGTGGTGGCACTGTTTTGTGGTGGTTGGGGAGGAGACTTAGTAGGGTTTCAAACACGCAGTTACTGTATTTTACAGTCAAATACTTATGAAGCTCCACCAGGGTGATTTGAATACGTAATTGAAAAATAAAATAACATTCCTTGCATTTGACATATCACGTTTTCGAGACGTCTCAAAGCGCTTATTACTGTACGCTTGGCCTCTTTATATTGGGATGTGTGTGATATCCCAGCTGCGAGAGTTGAGCTTGATTAAAGGAGGATGGTTCCCTCTGGTTTATTTGAGAGAAAGTTGTGTGTATTTGCACGAGGGGGGGGGGTGCTTTCGGCGCCGGGTGTGAGGGAGGGAGGGGTATATCTGGCATTGGCACTAACACGGCGTTTGGCCCTCCCGAATCCCCGCAGAATGCGGTGTTGGGATGCAAAGCGTGAATCAGACCATTGTGCGGAGAGTGATCTCAGTGCCTAGAATGCGGTGCTGCTGTTCTGCTTGGGTTGCGCTGTGGGTGTGAGCCGTCAATGAGTGTGGTGCGGACAAACAGAAGTGTATTGATTTTTGCAGGGCACTGTGAGCGCCCCACACGGGTCCGATAAATGGGTTGGGTCCTGGCGTTGGCTCTGGGGGTTTGTCAGTTTTGAAAAGTGCAAATAGCGGTGATCCAATCTCTGCTCCCACAGCAAGTCAGCTCACTTTAACATCCAATAGGCGCCTGTTCCGGGGGCTGATATTGTTCTGAGTGAGTCAGCAAGTGAGTGAGTAAAGCTTCCTCCTGCACACCCTCAGGTCCTGGTTTGCTTCTGCCTTCCTGACGTGCTTTCTGTCACATCATTCTGTTTTACTTACTTGACCGGTTTTGCAAGATTAATGTACGTTTCCGCCCCCCCCACCCCCCCACACACACATACTTCGTTCAGCCAGGGCTGGAGTTGGTTGTGGATCAAGGGGAGCATTGTCATTCATCGAGACTTATCTGTAGACTTCAACCGTCGTGTCTCTATCTATTTACTTTCCTAATATTTATTTGTTCGTGATAAGCACCTTATCAAGCGATAACCGTTTCCATTTTCCAATTCGTACGTCAGTTGGCAAGGGCTTCACAGTGCGAGCTGCTTTGAAGCGCGAGGGCTGATGGTGTAGGCAGGAAATCTGTTACCACAAGTAGTAATAACACAATTTTTTTTACACACACAATGAATAAATTTAAAATGAGCAAGTAATGGTGCCCGGAATTCAGAGAACTCTCTCTCTCTCTGCTCTTCATAATAATTCTGTGAAAATCGTTTATCTTCAACTATCTCAGCCAATTGCGCACAGCAGTGTCCCACAAAGTTTTGCCCACAAAATATACAGGCAATTCACTTTACAGTGTATCCTGTGAAGCGCTTTGAGATGTCTCGAAGACATGATAAGGCGCTGTATCAAATGCAAGGATTATTATTAAACGGTCGTGGATTGAGTGACCAAATTATTTTTTAAAACTTACTCATTGTTTTTGAAAGGATTATTAGCCCCAGAACAAAGCATATACACTGTAGTGGTTTGAGGCAGGAAACCAACCCAATTTGTTCAATTTCTACTCTTTTTGATGCTGTTAATGTAAAGATGATTGTTTATTCCACCAGGGGGGATCCTTTTGTTAGAGAGGCAGGACATGAACATTTTACAAGTGTACACAGCTGTGTGGCATATTGCAAAGAGCGGGCGGGTGTGTGTGATGTTACACCCCTGTAGTATTAATGATAATAATAATCCTTGCATTTGATATAGCACCTTATTTCGTCTTCAAAGCGCTTCACAGAATGCACTGTAAAGAGTAGTGACTGTGTATTTTGTGGGCGAAGTGTGGCGGCCAGTTGTGCGCTGTTTACCGATCCGGTCCCGGGTGTAGTGATTGAATGCAATGTCCTTTCTGTTTCAGTGTTTACTGGATTGTGTGAAAAGGGGAGTTTCCGCTGTGGCAACGGACGGTGCATTAAAGACCACTGGCTGTGTGATGGCCAGTCAGAATGTGAGGATGGTTCCGACGAGTCCGTGGAGACTTGCAGTGAGTTTCGCTTGATTTTTTTTTTTGACGGGGTGAGGGGAAACCCAGCAATCTCAGGGAAATTCGAGCCTGTTGTGGAAGAGGGGAATGGCAAGGGTTTTGTTAGTGTCCAGGCACGTGATGACCAAAGCTGTACTATAATAATATGAATAATAATCCTTGCATTTGATACAGCGCCTTATCAAAGTGTTTCACAGAATATACTGAAAAGTGAATCGACTGTCTTTGTTTTGGGTGAAAATCAGTAGATCATTGAGTGATCCGGACAATATCAAGCTTTGGTTACGTGGCTCTTTGTGGTTTTGTCTTGCGCTCTGCCTGCTACGTTCATTTGAATGGTAATTTGATTATGTGAATAATAAACATTTCACTCCCTCCCTCTCTCCCTATCCTCCGCAGAAAATAAAACGTGCAGTTCTACAGAGTTCAACTGCGGTGGGCGTATTAACAAGTGCATCCCCAAAACCTGGGTCTGTGATTCGCAGAAGGATTGTGAAAGTGGCATTGATGAGCAGAACTGCCGTAAGTAATACTTTGCACCGATTCCTATTCGGCTGTAATATTATACAATATTACAGCCATTCGGCCCAGCTCTTGATTGAGTGTCCGTACGTTCCCATTCCCCCGCCTCTTCTATTTCTTTTCCTTCCAAATATTTCTCCCAATTCCCTTTTCCCTTAGTTATCACGGATTTTGCTTCAATTGCAGTCCTGTGAGGAAGCCACGGGTCCTCCTAATCCTTAGTGATTTTTGACGATGATTACCATAGGCTGGCGGGCCTTCAGTCCCTCTGCCCCCGCGCTCTGGAACTCCATCCCGCAGTCCCTCTGCCTCTCTCAGCCCCTCCCTCACCTCCTTCAAGACCTGTCTCAAGACCCTCCTCTTCGACCGTGCCTTCGGTCACCCAGCTACCCCTTACCCTCCCACGCTCCACCCCCTCCTGATGCCAACCCCCAGCTCGGGTGCGGATCCCTGACTGTCCAGCACCTTGGGACGTCCTCCTGACGTGAAAGGTGCTGTGTGGACATCATTTGTTGTTGTTGCTGCTTGTTTCGCGAGAGAGAGGGAGGGAGGTATGGGGTGGAATGAGATGTTGCTGCTCAGTTTCTGACGTTCTGTGTCTTGTCAACAGCAGAGAAAACCTGCACTACCGACGAGTTCCGGTGCAATGACGGAAACTGCGTCTCGTTGACCTTTGTGTGCGATGAGGAACCGGACTGTCAGGATGGCAGCGATGAGGTAAACTGCCCCGTCCCGACCTGCAGCCCCGAATACTTCCAGTGCAACAGCAGTATGTGTATCCCGCGCCTCTGGGCCTGCGACGACGACGCAGACTGTCCCGATGGATCGGACGAGTGGCCTCAGAACTGCGGCGGCCGACAGCCCACTAAGCCAGTCAACCCCTGCACCGGCCTGGAGTTTCGCTGCAGGAGCGGAGACTGCATACACATGAACTGGCGGTGTGACGGCAACGAGGACTGCAGGGACAAGTCGGACGAGGAGAACTGCGGTAAGTGTCAACAACAACTTGCATTTGCACAGCGTCCTTCACACAGGCTAGCGGCCCGCAGAGTCTGACCCCGCGTCAGGGGTGGGAGTGGGTGAGGTGACCATAATCCCAATCAAATCCCAGATTGATAATAATAATCCTCGCATTCGATACAGCGCCTCATCACATCTTCGAGACGTCTCAAAGCGCTTCACGGGATATACCGTGAAGTAAATTGACTGTATATTTTTTGGGGGGCGAAACGCGGCAGCCGATTGCGCCCAGAAGGATCCCCACAAAAAATAGTAGTGGATTTGAAGGGACCAATTCATTATTGTTATTTTATGTGTCAAGCTGTCGGATTCAAGCCCCAAGTCTCAGGATTTGCGCTCGCGGCACAGGCTGTTTGTATGGCGTTGGGTCTGGAGTAATGATGTCTTTGGTTTATTTACAGTGGTTACCACCTGCCGACCTGATGAATTTCAGTGCAATGATGGGACGTGCATTCCCGGAAGCCAACAGTGTGACAAAGAGTACGACTGCCATGATCTGAGCGATGAGGAAGGCTGCATGAATGGTGAGTCGGGGGTGCTTTGTTACCGTAAATCACGTTAAGAGGGGTACAAAATACAATACACGGTGCGTCGGGAGGAGGTCCCAAGGCGCCGAACAGTCAGGGATTTGGACCTGAGCTGGGGTTTGGGATAAGGGAGGGTGAGGGTAGGAGTGGCCGAAGGCAGTCGAAGAGGGGGGTCTTGAGACATGCCTTGAAGGATGCAAGGGACGGAGCGAGGCAAAGGGAAAGTGAGATGGAGTGAAAGGTTGGGGGGTAGAGAGGCTGAAGGCCCTGAAGGTTGCTGGAGTGGGCTGGGCAGACGGGGGACATGGAGTGGGCCGGAGCCCGCTGAGCAGAGGGAGCGGGCGGGGTAATTGTCAGACGGAGCGCTGTGGTGGAGCGGAACCTATTGCCGTGGAGCAAGTATGAACGGGGCACGGGTTCCTGATCACATTGTGATGTGGAGTCTTGTCTGTCCCTCTGCCTCCAGTGACGAAATGTGAAGGTCCAAACAAGTTCAAGTGCAAGAGTGGAGAGTGCATCCATATGGACAAAGTGTGTAACCAGCAGAGGGACTGCAGAGACTGGACCGACGAGCCACTGAAGGAATGTGGTACGTCATCTCCGTTCGGTAGAATTTCACGGAATGTCACGGCACAGGAACATAAAAATTTGCCGCCGAAATAAGACCACAGGTCCATCTAGTTCACCTCCCACTATCCCTGCAGTCGCTTGACATGTCGTGTCCCAAACTATACACTGTATCCCCCAGAAATTATTTTCTATTCTCTTAATTTGTCGAAACAATGACATGTTCTGCTTCCACCATCTGTCTCCCGTGGGAGCCTGTTCCATAAGTTTACTACTCGCTCGCTCACTGAATTAGTGAACTCTGCTATGACTGAACGTTCCTGGTTTTCTCACTTGCAGGTCAGAATGAGTGTGTGAATGGGAACGGTGGCTGCTCGCACATCTGCAAAGACCTGAAGATTGGGTACTCGTGCCTCTGCAGGCCTGGCTACAGACTGGTTAATAAAAGCAAATGTGAAGGTAGGCGGAACACGTTCATTCATCTCATACTCTCTCTCGCTCAAGGGTGTTATTTTCTCTCCCTGACCGTCATTTGCTGTGCGCAATTGGCTGCCGTGTTTCACCCCCCAAATATACGGTCAATTCACTTTACAGTATATCCTGGAAGCGCTTTGAGACGTGAAACAAGAGGAACACTCATCTAATACTCTTTGAATCCCATTATGCCAAGAACACACACACACACACACACACTCTGCTTCTGGCCAAAGTGCAACCCATTACTGAGGTACACAACCCATTGAGCAAGGGAACAGGTGAGAGGAATATTCTAACCGTTCTTTGAAACTTTCAGATGTCGATGAGTGTGAGAACATGGACAAGTGCAGCCAGATCTGCATCAACCTGGAGGGTGGCTACAAGTGCGAGTGTAACGAGGGCTATCAAATGGACCCAGTCACTAAGCAGTGCAAAGCGATCGGTAAGACCATCTCTCTCAAACAGCCTCTGCTTACCATTCAGGGCTCACTTTCGACCTACAAAACAAAATAAAAAATTGCTCACTCAATCCACGACTGTTTGCGGGGACACTGCTGTGTGCAAGTGGCTGCCGAGTTTCGCCCACTAGTTTCATCGAGTTTCATCCCACAGATCCCTGATCGCCCAGCGCCTTGGGACTTCTTCCTGACGTAAAAGGCGCTGTGTAAATGTAAATTGGTTGTTGGTGTTGGCTCCCAGGCCACTGCGTCACGATGACAGGTTGATCACTGTGGTGGGGGGGGGGGTTGTTAGCTTGTCTCCCAAGGGCAGAGGGTAAAGGTGACCGTCAAGACTGGCTGTGTGACTAAGTGAAGTGTCTCCCCTCTCGCAGGTACAGTCGCCTACTTGTTTTTCACCAACCGGCACGAGGTACGCAGACTGACGCTGGACAGGAGAGAGTACACCCAGCTCATCCCCAGCCTGAAGAATGTGGTGGCCTTGGACATGGAAGTGGCTGAGAACAAGATTTACTGGGCTGATCTCTCGCAAAAGAAGATCTATAGGTGAGTTACTGACGTTACTAGAAGACACTCGGCTATTCAGAGTCCATGAGGCTGTCTCTCTCTCTCTCTCTCGCTAGTAACCAGTAACCTGTCCGCTCCCTCCCCTCAGCAGACTCGGTAGCTCCACGCCCCCGCCAAGCCTGGCCCGTCATCGTCAGTCGGGCATGCAGCCTCTTTGCCCCCCACCCCTCTTTGGAACTCCATCCCACACAGTCACTTTGCCTCACTCCCTCCCTTGCCTCTTTCAAGCCCCTCCTCTTTGACCACCCTCCTGCCTCTGCCCTCCACCTTCCCTGATCCCAACCCTCCCCACCGTTTTCCTAGACTATGAGCGTGTTTGTTTTTCTGTGTGTGTGTGTGTCTCTCGCTCTCTCTCTCTGCCTCTCTCTATCCCCCCCCCCACCTCCCCCTCTCTCTCTGCCCTTGTATTGCTGAGTGTTCACGCAGTGAGTGCTGTTGTGTATTGATGATGGTTCCTGTCTTACAGTGTTCTGATGGACAAGGCCAACAATTCCTCCCATCACGCGACGGTGATCGGGACAGAAATCCAGGCACCGGACGGCCTGGCCGTGGACTGGATTCACGGGAACATCTACTGGACGGATTCCGCCATCAGCACCATTTCTGTGGCCAACACCGCAGGTTCCAAGAGGAAAACTCTCTTCAGGCAGGAACTTTCGAAGCCCAGGGCCATTGTGGTGGATCCAGTTCATGGGTACGTGTGTTTGAGAACTTATGTGTCTGCGATTGGAGGGAGGGAGAGAGAGAGCTGTACAAGCTGGGAGGGTGGGGGTTCTATACTCATGGAGTCCTGTAGCTCAGTGGTTGGAGCAAGCAAGAGGACCTGGGTTCGATTCCCGGGCGGGTCAGGTGAAACCTTAGGCTAGTTTCCTTATTCCACATGCCCGCCTCTGTTTATCTAACAATAAATAGGAACCCGGTTGTTAGTCGATTGGTAGATCTCTTTTCTGGGGGTAATAGTCCCTTCTAAAAAAAATGTTTTAAATAATCTGGTCACTCAATCCACGATGGTTTATGGGACGCTGCTGCGCACAATTGGCTGCTGCGTTTCGCCCACAAATTATGCAAGTCAATTCCCTTTACAGTATATCCCGTGAAACACTTTGAGACGTCTCGAAGATGAGATAAGGCGCTGTATCAGATGCAAGGACTACTACTATTTATTAATATGTTAGTGCAACAATGTACATGCGTCGTCTGACTGAGACAGCACAGGGTGTGTGCTGTGATGATATAATTGAAGGTATGAACACAAGGGTAACATGTGCTGTTGTCTGTGTTGCAGGTTTCTGTACTGGACTGACTGGGGCAGCCCGGCCAAGATTGAGAAAGGGGGTCTGAATGGTGTTGACCGTATGACTCTGGTCATTGACGGCATTGAATGGCCAAATGGCATCACTCTCGGTGAGTAACCAGGACTCGGGGTGGTGGTTTTGTTCCTGTGGGGGGAGGGGAGTGAGGGAGAACATGGCCTCTTTGCCCCATGGCACTCGAACCTTCAGCCTCTCTGCCCCCACCTCTGGAACTCCATCTCACAGTCCCTCGGCCTATCCCACTCCCTCCTTAGCCTCCTTCAAGACCCGTCTTAAGACCCTCCTCTTCGACCATGTCCTTGGTCCCCCTCCTATCCCTAACCCTCCCCATCCTCCACCCCCTCCTGATCCCAACCACCAGCTCGGGTGCAGATTCCTGACTGTCCAGCGCCTCCTGACTTGAAAGGCGCTGTGTAAATGTCATTTGTGGTAATGGAGGCAATATCTCCTTGTTTTATCGGCTGAAGAAATTGGAACCTGTGGTGATTGTGTTGGTGATTGGGTTTCAGATATGCTGAATCAGCGGCTGTATTGGGTGGATTCCAAGCTGCACACCTTGTCTAGTATCGGAGTTGACGGCAGTAACAGGAAAACACTAATCACCTCGGAGGAGAAGCTGGCACATCCCTTCTCGGTCACTGTGTTTGAGGTAAGCAGCTGTGCTGGTCTATAGGCAGCAGAGAGGAACCAATCGCAGTTCATTTTGGTTTAAGAATAACTACCTCTCGTGTGATCGATTGATTTACAATCAGTTTACAATTGACCAGATTGATCCCTTCAAGAAAATAATAATTAATATTTAGTCACTCAATCGACGGCTGTTTGTCAATCCGCACTGCTGTGCGCAATTGGCTGCCGCGTTTCGCCCACAAAATATACAGTCAATTCATTTAACAGTATATTCTGTGAAGTGCTTTGAGACGTCTTGAAGTGATAAGGCGCTATATCAAATGACAGGGATTATCATATTACAATCGATCGGATTAATGCTCATCAATCTTCTGGACGGAGTCACTCTGGAGATGGAGATTGTTTCTTTGACTAATGGCTTTGTTTGTCTCTTGTTGCAGGATAAGGTTTTCTGGACGGACTTGGACGATAATGCTATATTCAGTGCCAACAGATTGACTGGGGAGAATATTCTAACTGTGATCGAGGACCTGGAAGGTCCAGAGGACATTGTCCTTTACCATCACCTCAAACAGCCTGAAGGTCAGTCCTTAGTAAAGCCTCATAAAGCGGTAAACTGATTTCCCCGCAGCATCTCCCTGGGAGGGGGATAACCTTTATAAAATGTTCTTGATAATCTTGGCTACTTGTTCAATCTTCCTGCTTCGTTGTACGGTTGGAAAATACAAATACAAAATTACATTTATGCAGCGCCTTTCACATCGGGAGGCACTGGGTGGACACTGAGGGATTTGGACCTGAGCTGGTGGGGGGGTTGGGATCGGGAGGGGTGGGTGGTGTAGGAGGGTGGCCAAAGGCGCGGTCGAAGAGTAAGGTCTTGAGACGTGCCTTGAAGGAGGCGAGGGAGGGAGAGGGACTGTGGGATGGAGTTCCAAAGAGTGGGGGCAGAGAGGCTGAAGTCGGGCGACTGCCGATGGCGGGCGGGGGACGTGGAGCAGGCTGGAGCCCGCTGAGCGGAGGGAACGGACAGGTCAGAAGGGTTTGGGATATTGGGCTGTTATCGGCCGGATATTGGCTTGTACTGGACGGCCAGTGACTCTAAGCTAAACGTCTGACCATGTGTTCCCCCTTCTGTTCTAGGTACCAATTGGTGTGAGAAGAGCCAGCTCCCCAATGGAGGTTGTGAGCATCTGTGTCTTCCAGCTCCTCAAATCAATGGCCACTCACCAAAGTACACTTGCGTTTGTCCTGATGGGCAGCACCTGGGACCAGACATGAGGCAGTGCTTTCCAGGTTAGTGCTACTCAACTGTGATCCATCACCACAACCTCCTCTGCCTGGTCCTCGCCTTCAAGGCGCTCCACAGCCTTACCCGCTCCTACCTCTGTGACCTGCTAACCCCTTGCCAACCTGTCCGCTCCCCCCCCTCAGCAGGCTCCGGCCTGCCCCACGTCCCCCTCCCAGCCCCGCTCCACCATCGGCGGTCGGGCCTTCAGCCTCTCTGCCCCCACCCTTTGGAACTCCATCCCACAATCCCTTCACCTCGCTCCCTCCCTTGTCTCAAGACCCTCCTCGTTGACCACACTTCGGCCACCCACCCTCACCCCAACCACCACCCATCCCCGCTCAGGTCCAGGGTCTTGGGACGTCCTCCCGACATGAAAGGCGCTGTGTAAATGTGATTTGTATTGTATGTACTGACTGATGTCCTTTTTTTCCTGTAATAGGCGGCGACCAGCGGAAGGTACCTGTAGTCCGGACAACCCCAAGAGCGATCCCTAACCCAGCTAGACCTGCCATCACCAAGGCTCCGTCAGCCAGCACCAAGCTTCCCTTCGTCACCACCGCCACCAGGAAGGTGACACAGTCCAAGGCCGTGTTTCCCACCGTGCACGAAATGAACACAGTTTCACAGCAAGGTACGGCTGGCTCTCAGGCTCTCCCTCTCTCCTACCCTTACAGTCTCCCTTAAGCTTTCCTTTTGGGATGTCCCCCTCACGTGAAAGACCCCACACAGGCGTAATTTGTTGTTGGTGGTGTTGCTTTAGCTTCTGGCTCGCTGAAAGTCTCTCCCTCGAGTTGCTGTTCTGTCCTCTATGAGCTGCTCACTGTACTGTGTCCGTATCTGTTGCAGCCCAGAACAATATCGCGGCTGAAGCCACCGAACAAGGCCACAAACGAGCCAACGCTTTATGGATCGTTTTGCCTTTGGGTAAGTATTTATTTTTCCCCATTTAGCGTCGCACAGTGTCACGGGAAAAAAACTTAGCTGATGTGGAGTCTGTCTGTAATCCTTAGACGTTCCCTGTTCCTGGTGTCGCTAGTTTAGTGGTTGGTGCATGGGGTTGTGGTGTCTGCCAGTCTGGTGTTTAGTAATTGCTCATCCCTTTAGTGTAATAGTTTGTGGAGTCCTGTAACTCAGACTTTAGAGCGCTCGCCTCACAAGCAAGAAGACCTGGGTTCGATTCCCGTCAGGTCAGGGCGAAACCTTAGGCAAGTTTCCTTACTCCTCCCACACACACACACACACACACACACACACACTCAGCAGTAAGTAGGAACCCATTTGTTAGTTGATTGGCGGATCGTTTTTCCAGGGGATAATAATCCCTTCAAAAGATGTATAATAACTTGCTCACGGCTGTTTGTGAGACGCTGCTCTGCGCAATTGGCTGCCGCGTTTCACTCACAAAATACAGTCACTGTACTTTACAGTATATCCTGAGAAGCGCTTTGCGACGTCTCGATGACGTGATAAGGTGCTGTATCAAATGGGAGGATTATAATTGTTATTATTACTAAATGCAGGTGCCATTCTTGCCTTGGCCAAGCTTGCATACAATCCCTGCCTCCCCCCCCGCCCCCCGTGACTAGGCTATGATCAGTGATTGTACGCACTACCCTCTCCACCACATGCGGAGACGCAATCAATCCCTGTGCAATCTGTGGGCTGCTCGTGCGATTGCTTACCCCCCTGTGCCCTTCCTTGTGTTTCAGTGCTGCTGAGTCTGCTGTCAGCCGCTGTTTACTTTGTCTGGAAAAATTGGAAATTGAAGAACACAAACAGCATCAACTTCGATAACCCCGTTTACCAGAAAACCACCGAGGATGATGAAATCCACATCGGCAGGAATCAAGTGGGCTACACCTACCCCACGGTGAGTCTGCCTTTAGTGGTGTTCAGTTTACGTGTGTGTGAATGTTTGCTTGTGTGTGTGACAGTGCGTGTGAGAGCAGCGTGTTCTGTGTGACTATGACTCTATGTGACTGTGTGTGTCTCTCTAACCGGAGGAGTGACAGACAGACAAATTCTGATGTTTGAATTACTTATTTTGCTTCACGTACCTATCATTGTGCCGACTGTATAATGACAGCTCCTTGGGACGTCCTCTTGACGTGAAAAGCGCTGTGTAAATGCAATTTGTTGCTGTCGAGGCTAACTGCGCTCTGACAGGTGGGTTGCTCTGTGTTTCATGGTGTGACTGACCCCAGACCTTCCTTCTCTTGCAGAGAGCAGTGGTGAGCCTGGAGGACGATGCTGCATGATGGACTAAGTGCCTAACACCCACACACCCTCATGCCCTAGCAAAGCTGCTTTCTGAACAGAATATGGAGGCCAACCTGCTGTTGCACCGCCAGGTTATCCTGCCTCAAAACTCCAACTCCTTTTCTTTCAACTGCTAGAACATGGCGCGGAACACAGAGGGTGATCTTCTTTCTGTTCGTTCGTAGACTTACACTGGAAAATGTGCTGTTACAGTAACAATTGGGAGAGATTTTCAGACAAAAGGTCTTTTCTCCTCTCCCCCCCCCCCCCCCATATACACGTACTGATCGATCTCTGAAATGAAGTCTGGACCGGAAGAGGAATCTGGTGACTGAGCGAGGGATCAGCAATGCCATGAAGTTAGCGACTCGATTGTACAAGTATATGTTCTTCTGAAGGATGTTGTGTATATTTTGTAAATTGCATGTTTCATTTTGTACAGTTGTGGAGTAAGGATTGGGGGAGAGAGGGGGAGACCTGGAGTCAGCGTCCAGTGACGTCTTGCCCAATTTTATCCCCTCAAACTGGAATTGAGTCATACAATCAGTGCATGTTGCAGCGGGTGAGAAGCTCAGTCAGAGTATTGAGTCTGTGCTGGCTCTCTGTGTCTAGTTTGTGCTAGAAATATTCCCTTATTCCCCCTCAAAAAAAACAAAGTGGTGGGGGGGGAGTATAGAATACACAAGTCCTGTCGTGCATTGGTTAGAGCACTCACAATGCAAGACCTGGGTCCTGGGTTTGACTGCTGACCGGACAGAGCGAAATGTAATAAATAAATAACTCCTTGTGTTTGGTACAGCGCCTTATCACGTCTTCAAGACGTCTCAAAGTGCTTCACAGGATGTAGCAAGTTTCCTTACTCCACACGCACGCCTGTTTACCGGGACAGTTGGGAGACATTATTTCCACTGCTCAGTGACTATTTATACGGCAACTATTTAAAATAAAATAAAATAATGAGCAAATGGGGCGGTTGGAGCAGGAGCCGGCACAGACACGATGGACTAAGTGGCCTTCTGCGCTGTCAAATTTCTGTGGTTCTCACCCGATATATTTGTCCAGATCCTGTTGTTTTTTTTTCACAAGTTGTTGTGGATTTTGGCTCCACAACGACGGATCAAGGGCTTTGAAAACGCAGTATTGGCAATTAATTCTATTAACCCCGAGTGTGAGGGGAGTGCACCTTTGTTTAAATTTAAACGGACATTTCTCCTGCCTGAGTTTTAATTTGATGAAGACATTGAATTGACTCCTGAGGGTGGGTTTGAGTGATTTCCCCACATTCCTCCCCCACCCCCACCCCCAGCCAAGCCTGAGCCCAGCTCACACTCCAGGTTGTAAATACGTACCAATGTTTTTGTTGTGCAAAAGAAATGTTTAATAATTGTGATGTTGGTCAGTATATGTATGTTTTAAATGTATTGAATTATTTATTCTGTGGACGGGTGGGGTGGGGCGACCATCAGTTACTGTCCTGGCTCAGACGTAGTAAAGTCCATGTAAAGCTCTTAACTGAGGCACAGTACAAGACTATTTTTTCGTTAAGCGGTTCAAGAGTTCAGGCCTCCCACAGTGAAATGGCTTCCTTTCTTTCTGGTTCAATGTTTACAGTTGCTGTTGTAAATGGACATTATAATTCTTTTTTTCTACTACGTCATTTCTCTTTCTAACTTGTTGAATTTACACTTTTTTTAAAAACAAAAAAAAATTTATTTATATAAAAAAAATCACAGAAAAAAGAAAAAGTGTTTTTTCAAACGCAAGCCAAACACAAACACGATGGGGGGAGGGGGGAGAGAGGGCAACGGAGTAAGGACCAATGTGGCCCCATCCACTCAAACCTGTGGCTGTGACTCACATTGTGAACGTGGAGTTGGTCACCTCTCTCTCTCTTGGGGTCTAACGTAGAGGGTACGTGTCTCACGGACCTGTGTCTTAATCACATTCAATGCCTTTGTATATCTCCGATTCAATCACTGTGCACTTAAATTGTTTTTTCTGACGCCAAATCTATGAGTGAGTTTTGGAAGGCTCACTAGTTTGGCTGCTGGAGTGTTTACAATCCCTGCCTCCAGTCAGCGCTCATCCCGTTTTCCCAATGTGGGAGCGAGTGGAGTTTCCAAACCACAGAAGGAGTTAACAACTGTTTATATGTGAGCGATTTTACTGTAGGATCTTTGTACTCCACGTTAATGTCTTATTACCTCTGTTGCCAAGTTACTGCACCCTCTTTCATCCCCACCCCTTTTTTTTATATAACTTTACAAAGCAATCAGCTGTAACTGTGACTGTTTGTACGTAACTAACTTCCCCTCCTGCCAAAACTCTGAGCAGAGTTGCGGGGGGGAGAGGAGGAGGAGGGGGCGCGGAGAAAATCTGTTCATCTGGCCCGATTTTCTATTGTCAACTTTACAATGCAATCAAGGTGAATAAAGAGATTGGAAATCAAACCGGCTGAGCTGAGTGTTTATGACCGATAAGCATAATAATCCTTGCATTTGATACAGTGCTTTGTCACTCGCCTGAGGTTTATCTCAAAGCGTTTCACAGAATATACTTTAAAGTGAATTGACTGTATATTCTGTGGGTGAAACGCAGCAGCAAGTTGCGCAGTCGTGTCTCACAAACACTCGTGAATCGAGCAAACAAATTATTTTTTATAAAGGGTTATTACCCCCGGGAAAGTGATTCGCCAATCGACTAACGACCGGGTTCCCACGTGCTGCAAGGTAAAGAGGTGTGTGTGTGGCGTAAGGAATAATAATCCCTCCAAAAAACCCAAAACAATAATTAAATTGGTCATTTTCAATCTACGACTGTTTGTGGGACATTGCTGTGCGCAATTGGCTGCCGCGTTCGCCCACAAATATACAGTCAATTCACTTTACAGTGTGTTCTGTGAAGCGCTTTGGGACGTCCTCCCGACTTGAAAAGCGCTATATCAAATGCAAGGATTATTATTATTATTATTATTATAAGGAAACTTGCCTAAGGTTTCGTCCTGTGTATTTTGTAGGCGAAACATCTATAAAAATCCCATATAGTTTGCACTTCACACTCTCAGCTACTTACTGCCTTGTTTTGCCTAAGTGCAAGTCCTCTTGTTGCAGAACATCGTGGGGAGACATTAAAACACTTGTGCTTCACTGAATGCGGTTAACACTTCGTATCGATGCTGACTGCAGAAGCCACATACTCAAACTGCATATTTTTAACAGCACCTCAACACATTGCAACATCAATGATTCACAGGGAATTCATGTCAAACGTAGACACTGTACTTGTAAGCAAATACAACTTGGCTAAGAGGAAGTGAATGATCAATAAGACTGGATTGTTGGCCAGGATTGTTGGGAGAAACCCGCTTTGCCTGGTAGACTGTTAACAGACTGGGTTTAATGATAATAATCCTTGCATTTGATACAGGGTCTTATCATTTTGTGGGTGAAACTCAACAGCCATTGCGCACAGCAGTGTCCTCACAAACAGTCGTGGGTTGAGTGACCGCATTTACATTTCCTTAATAGCCTCTTGGGGTGGGGGGGGGGTGGGGGGGGGTGGGGGCGAGGAATGAAAGGTGCAAATAGCATTACAACACAGGAAATTGCTCACATCTTTATAAGCTTTATCTGATTACACCACAGCTCCACTTGTCGCACACACACACACACACACTGCTCTGTCTCTTGGCAATCCCCCCCCTCCCCTCCACCAATAAACCTTTGCTCCGTCGCCACCTTACCCCCGAAGATCTGCCAATTGACTGACAACCGCATTCCTACTTACTGCTGTAAACAGGTGTGTGTGTGTGTGGATGGAGTAAGGAAACTTGCCCAACGTTTTCCCAGTGCCAACTCACTTTTGAGTGAGTGAATGAATGAATGAATGAATACTCCTAACCCCCAACACAGACTTTACTCGGACACACGTCTCTGTTTACCTTTTTTTGGGATACAAAATCATTATACATATTTTCCTTTGCCCCTCTCTCTCTCGCTCTCTCTCTCTTGCTCTCCGCTCTTACACTGCCCTCACGCCGAGCCGATAAGAGTGGGGTCTCCGTCTTCCATCCATACCGCACAGATGTGTGCTAACGCCTGAAACACACTTCACGTTCCACCAGAACACGCCTGAAACACGCGGGGGAAGAAGGGGTCAGAGACGCTTACTTTTTTTGGTTATATAAAAATATATTTTAGTTTTTAGCCTTTTTTTTAATACGCAGAATCCCAAAGAGTAAGAATCTTTGTGCCGCCCGACCCTCCCGGGCTCAGTCTGTCTGCTGTTCGCCCTATTTTCTCGCTCTAACTTATTAGCTCTATCTCTCTCTCTCTCTCTCTCTCTCACACTCACTCTCTCCATCACTCACTGTCTCACTCACTCTCACCCTCTCTCTCTCTCTCTCTCTCTCACACTCCCTCCCTCTCGCTCACTCACTCCAGCGCCGCCAAAGGGAGGAAAATAACTGTTCGAACGTTTCTTATTTGTGGGGAAAAAAAAAGAAAACACACATAAAAATCCAACTTGTTTTCACTTGCTCTCCCTCTCCCCCTCTCTCCCTCCCTCCCTCCCTCCCTCTCCCCCTTTCTCTCACCCTCCCACTCCCTCCCTCCCTCCCTCCATAATAAAACAATAAAGACTTTCATTCCAGATGTTTACTGACAAACTTCGACCTCAACAACTTCCCGAAGAATCAGCTCATTAAAGTGGTTTCCCGCGTTGACAAC